ATTGCTGGCAGAAACTGGTTGATTATATGACATGCGCACTTAAGGCCTGCAAGTTGACAAAATAATTGCAGTAGATAACAGAGAGAGTAAATGTAGACAGTATTGCTAAAAATCATATCGCACATTTGTCCACTTAAGTAAATTTACTCTTAATTGATCTTGCATTTCGCACTAATATTATTGAGGATTTAATACACTTTTTTTGTTCTTTAATTAAATGCCTATTATTGCTTAGGTATACATTTAATTAAAGCTATTATTAAGACAAACAATTGTAAGACTCTAAATTTTTATTAATTTTTGAGCTTTTACAACAGAGTCACCGGAATCAGGTGTGCTTAGTTTCGTAAGATCGCTTATTGCGGCGAATACATTTCTTTGACTTCCACAGAGTGCCATATAACTGCTGAAGCGATAGTGGTGTGTGTGTTGATGGTGTTTCCACAAATGGAGGGACCTACAGGTTATTCTAAGTGGTTGTTAAATTTTTATAAACTTTTTTTACCTTTTGTGTAGTCAATACGTCTATATTCGTAAAATATTATGAGTGCATAAGTTCATGCCCGATTTCAAGTGCAAACAAAAATTGAAATTTTTTGAAGAAAGCGCTTTTATTAATCAATTATGTATTCGCCATCATGTTCGGCAATCCACTCCCAACGTTCAACCAATTTACGGATGCCTGATTGCGCGGTTTCTCGTTAAAAAAGGTGTCAAGGCGGTTTTTGACGTCTTCCATATTTTTAAATTTTTTCCCATTCAAATTATTCTGCAGCGATCGAAACAAATGATAATCAGAAGGTGCAATGTCGGGTGAATATGGGGGATGCGGCATGATTTCCCAATTCATCTCCTTCTGTTTCGCCAGGGTCGGTTTTGCAACATGTGGTCTGCCGTTGTCATGATGAAAATGAACTCCTTTGCGATTGGCCAAAATCGGACGTTTTTCATCAATTGCTTTCTTTAATTCTTCTCCAGCTGGCAAGAGCTCAAAATAGATCACGCCTCGGATATCCCACCAAATGCACAGCAGTACCTTCATCGGATGCAATCCACCTTTCGACATCGGTTCCGCCCCTTCGTGTGCCTGTTTCCATGTTCTTTTGCGTTGAACATTGTTGTACAGGATCCATTTTTCATCACCAGTCACGAGCCGATCCAAAAAAGGTTCGTTTTTGATCCGTCGAAGCAAAGAAATTGCTGTTGACTTTGTTTTTTTCACTCAACTGATGTGGCACCCATGTATCAAGCTTCAAAGTGTACCCAACCTTTTTTAAACGACAAAACGCAGTTGATTTGTTGACGTACAATTCACTGGCAACTTCTTCCGACTGTCACCTTTCCAACGATATTTAATATGTATATATTTCTTTCACGAGCGCCACTCTCAAACGATTCGAACGGCATCCAGCGGAATCGGGCACGAACTTATGCACTCATCCAATATACACAATGGTAAATATTGATGGTGATAAATACCGAGCAGATATAAGGGTGGTAAATGATAATCTTATAACTGAAAATTTATTTCTTGGAAAATATAACTGATTACTGAAGATCAAATGTTGTGAAAATAACGAAATTGGGTTGTCATATATTGGGTTGTCTCTTGTGTTTTCTGGCATATTTTACAAAGAACGAACATCTGAAAAGACAACTGAATGAACACGATTAATTTTTAATAAGCAAAATGGCGGCCGCAATGGGTCTATAGTTAGCATTACGTACTGTTATGTCGATTCCAGGTTTGACTAACATCCAAAATTATAGCAAGTTAATTTTTCCCGCCCCTCGGCAGGGAATGTCAAGCTCGCCGAGTGTATTTCTGACATGAAATAAAAGCTACTCATGAAAATCTACCAGTTGTTCGGAGGCGCCTTAGAATAAACAGTTGGTCCAATAAAAGTAGACAAGGCGCTTTGCCTTCAATGACTTCACTCTACAATTTTCTCAAATTTATGTAAATATTACGAACATTTAAATAATACCGTGAATAAAGCTATATAGGCTAAGTGCCAGCTACATAATCCATGCTTTCATCTCATTATTTAAAAATTGTGTTCTGAAAGGTGTACGTTGACACATTCCCGACCAGAAGGAATACACGGTGCTGGAAGCAATTACTCAATGTGTCAGCAAGACTTTGCCGCAAATGAGGAAATACGTCGCAAGTTATATTAAGTAGCAAATATATGTATATTTATTTCACAAGCATTTCATAAAAAATGGAAGCGATACGCATTTCGATTCCGACAAGCCAAATTCTTTGAACTAAAATCAACTGGATGACATGGACTCATTCATACGCAGCAAGATACTTCATGCATTGCTTTTCCCTTGGCTGCATGTTAGTTAGGCACATATGTATGTATATCTGGCACTTTCCGTAATAATTTATTAGTCAAAGCCGCAGGCAATACATCAAATTATCACGCCATTAAAACACTCAATGAAATATTCTACTTTGGCTTACCGTCCCTATTATTACCTAATAGGGAAATATTTTTACATCAAAAGAGCTTTTAACAACTTTTGAATTACGCTCAATTTTGAACACTGGACAATTGAAGAGCGCCAACATTTTAACATTCATCAAGAAAAGAACCGAAAATTCGAATAGTTGCCATATCAAGTTAAGGGATATTCAATGGTCCTCTGGCCTCACCGTAATATTACAAACTTGAATCCAAAAGAACTAGTAGATGTTATGACAAATGCATTATTCACGACGGAAGTTTTTGTTTCCAAACGAAAAACACAAAAATCATATTGAACGAACACGAAAAATGGAATCAAGGATTCGATCAACTTGTTCACGAGTAAATGCTTCTTATATAATAGAAACAGTCGCAGAAATATTTCACCAAATTTTTACAGATAATTGGCGTTTTGGGACATCTAAAGCTAACTTCAAACCCAACATAGATACAAACATTCACGGATTATATTCATTTATATTTTTATTATATTATTTTATTTTTCTACAGTTATCATTTATTTGTTCAATATACGAGTAAAAATAAAAAAAGTTGATATTTTTTTATTGATTTAACTTCCAATTGCCCAAAAAATAAACGTTTTGCAGAGTTTGGTATTCATTTTTATAATAACACTAGTCAACAAAATACCACTCCACAATTTGTGAAAAGCCAAATAAATTTCCGCAGCAATAAACGGAACGGTCTCCCCGCATCATCTCTAATTTCTCGCCTGGAGCTGATCCCGAGCTCCACCATATAAATTGTAATTGTAAATCGCGGAAGCGATTTTTCGGCCGACCTCCTCCTCCAATATGTGGTTATGCGACTTGATGTTTTTCCAACAAACGGAGGGACCTACAGTTTATACAAAGCCGCCTTCAAAAGGCTGGTGGCTTTTTTACGAGGAGTCATTATTTTATGTCCGAAATACACTCACAGGAGTGGATATTTCCTGTCGACCCTATAAATACATATTGTAAAAAGGTGACCCTCTTTAATTTTTCCTATGGAGTTCACATCCGAACTCTATTAAGAGCCAAGCAACTGGATGGTTAAATTCAATTCCTAAACATCCTCTCCTTCCGAACCACCAAAAGTTAGACAGGTTGCCAACCAATATTATAACAAGAAAAGAATGAGATCGAAAAAATATTGGTTGCAAAAATTAATTCGACTTGCTCCCAAAAGATGGCTCCAACCGCAAGTTGGCGCCGAGCTGGATGCGGTTATTTATGGCATTGGAAAGGTTTTACATCTGTCAACAATAATTAGTACGCATGAATAAGTGTTTCTGCCAACAGCATTATTTTTTGCCCCTTCAAAATTACGGGAAGTTTTAATTTTCTATTTTATTTTGAAGAAAAGTGCAGCTGAAGGCCATCGAATGCTTATGAAGCCTTCTGTTGAATCTATGTCAACCGATCAGTCATGCAAAAAGCGCTTTCGACATTTCAATAGCGATCATTTTAGCGTCGAAGGCAAAGGCCGTTCTGGTGAGACAGGACAGGTGTGGTGTACAATGAGCAGCTAAAACCGGGTGAAACCATTGATTCGAAACGTTATCGACTACAATTAATGCGCTTGGGCGTATTGGGCATTATATAAAATTGACATAAACAAAAATCATCAATAAGATCTTGAGAAAAAAACATTGTTAACGAGTGTAACGAAAGCTAACCATGGAACGTCCACTTAATGTGGGCTCTAATAAAAGTGAATAAGAAGTTAATTGAGCTACATAAACTCGTGCGTGGTAAAAGCTATTAAAAAAGTCTTACCTCAAACGGATTGTTCATATGGAAAATTTTGAATACTCAACGACAACTTTTGAATTTTAGCAGAACATATTTTCCTCCGTAAATAAAATATAATAGACAAATTGACATCATTTTTTTCCATTGGTTGAAACGTAAATACTTTCTTCGGTCATGGCGAGAACTTCATAAAATATATAAATATAATATATAAATGGCGCTTTGTAACAGCTGAAGCGGTGTTTAATCCACAAACGTAATGGCAACGTAGGCCGAGCTTTCGTTGAAAAGCTCAACTAGGGACTTTACTATTTTGAATTGTTTTAGTTTTGCCATTTGATTTTTTTTTTTTCATGCACTTCTTTGTTGACTTTGGTACAGAACTTTGCAGAATTTTGTTTATTTATTTACTCCTCAACGGCAGCTTTCATCTGAGTTAGCACTACCACAGCATGAGTGTCATATTGTTTTGATAAGAAGTAGAATTTTCCCCAAAAAAATCCGCATTTAAAATGTGCAGATTTTATAAACTTTTTTACTTAAGAAAATACAGAAAATCTACGTGTCTTCTTCTTTAAAATTAAATTTAAAAAAATATTTGTATTTATATGTAAATATATCGAGGTGAAATTATCGTAACTCAAAAAAGTGCTTTCTGCACCGTAGTACTCACTGGTCTTCTACTCAAAATGTTACAATAAGTCTTAGCCAAACAAACCAGTTATTTGTGATTGTCTGAAGAGTTGGTCAGTACTCTAAAAGATTTTAAAGCAGAGAGTGCGTTGTTAGCAGTTTGTTGACACGTCATATTGTTATATTACGAAGGCATGGTTTGTGTTCATATAAAATATAAATAAATAATTTTTAAAGGAAATATTATAAAAACAAATAAATAATGAAAGTCATTGATAAAATCGAACCAAGTACTAAAGCCATTCAGTTGTAAGTATTTTCAATTGTCTCTTGGTATGAATATACATACGAGTGTGTGTGTGTACAAAAGCTAGCAAGTTTGTGTTGCTACTTTAAGTGTAAGAGAAAGAAATTAGCTGCCATATAAACTAAAGACTTTGGATGCAAACCTATTTTCTTCAGACGTGCATGCAAAAGTAGCTTGTTATACGAGTATTCCTACATGCTTTAATGTAATTTGAATACATTTTTAAATAAGCAGATGTATTTATAAATATTTTCTCGTAAAAATGCGTTAGTTCGCTTTCTTAAATTATAGTGTGTTTATGTGATGTAATTTATATGAAAACCTTACCGGCTTGGGTGAGTTTCGCGTATATATATACTATAGTTTGATTACATACATACATTTGGATACTTAGAGGCAAGTTATACATTATTATTATTTTTTTTTTAAGAATAATAAGAAAATATGCGTTATTATTTAAATGAAATCGCACTGAGTGAAGAGCGAAGTGATAAATAATGATTTCAACATAAAAATTCTAACTTGGTAATAAAGTGCCGCATCCGTTATATTTTCCGCTTGAATCTTAAATATGTTGGAATGCAACGGTGGTGCTTGCAGAATCGTTATCGCGATTTAAATACAGATTTGCGACTGGTCTTATTCCAGTAAAATTTTTATAGACTTTAAGATTGTGCGAATCTGTCAAATATGGGCATGGCTCCGCTCATTTTCTTCTGCATGTTGTTGTTGCGTATAATAATTAATTCTTTCCATACAAGTTTTAGCAAGTAAAGGTGTTTTTGTAAGATTGATTGATTGCCTAAAAGTAATTGCGGACTTTTTAAAAGAAAGTAAATGCATTTTTAATAAAACTTAGAATGAACTTTAATCAAATATATAATTGCCATTTTGTTCAATAACCTTTTGCCATCTTCCTGGCAAATTTAGTATTCCACGCTCATAGAACTTCTGGCCTTTATCTGCAAAAAACTGAACCAAGTGCGATTTTATAGCCTCATCATAACCGAAAGTTTTACAGTAAACATCCAGTTAATCGTTTGGTTCCTTAGAAGCAGCTCAAAATATACGACACCCTTCCAATCCCACTAAACAGACAGCTTAACCTTCTTTTGGTGGATATAACCCTTTGAATTGGTTTGAGCTGGTTCACCATGCTTGGACCATGATCGTTTTCGACTAACGTTGTTGTAAACAATCTATTTTTCATCTCTATTTATGATTCGTTTTAAAAACGGATCGAATTCATTGCGTTTAAGGTGCATATCACAAGCGTTGATTCGGTGTGTTAAATGAATTTCTTTGAATACATGTGGTACCCAAATATCAAGCTTTTTCACCAGTCGAAGACTTTTTATGTGATAATGAACGGTTGATTTTGGTATATTTAACTTCTCTCATATCTCACGCTCAGTTACATGACGATCCAATTCGATTAATGTTTGGATTTGGTCATCATCAACTTCATTTGGCCGACCTGAACGTGGCTCATCTTTAAGTGAAAAATCTCCAGAACGGAATTTGCGAAACCAATTTTGACACTGTCTTCCTTTTAAGGCTTCATCACCATACACATCTCGTAACCTTTTAGCAACCTGCACCGCGTTTTTTCCTTTACGGAAATAATAAAGTAAAATATGACGAAAATGCTAATTTGTGGGCTCCATATTAAAATTGACGCCAAACAAACAAACGCATTTTTTTTAAAGCAAGCTAAAAGTAACGGCTAATAACTGACAGAAGAAATAATGCAATTACAGAGTCACAAGCCGTTGAAAAAATTTGTCAACGCCGACAAAACGAAAAATCCGCAATTACTTTTTGGGCAACCCAATAAATGTGCTGTAAATGAGTAAAAAAAAACATGTTTACATAATTTCATTTTTCTATGGTAATATAAGTTCTGACAGACTTGAAAGGGTTATGAACATTTTTACTGAAAATGTTTTCTTCCAATATATCCCACAAAATGTTAGACCATCGTACTTCAAGAAAAATTGGAAATTTTTTTTGAGCTAATCTCGAGCTTATCCAACTAAAAATCTATTTTTATTAAATTATACCTATTTTTTAAACACTTTATTTATTTGCACCATTTTCGAAGATCAGGGTCGACCTTATAGAATACACATCCAGCGGTTTCCCATTAATATAATTACGATCATATCTGAACGAATAGGTTATATGAGGTTTGGTGTCTCAAGCTTTCAGATTATTTGTTAGTGGTCTAACTGTATCATAGTACTCAATTTTTTTATTTCTTTAATGGCAATGCGTTATGTTTTGACCAAAGCCTCATATCTCAACAAATCAATGTTAGTGATCTTATTTGTTGTTGTAGTCCGATTTCGATGGTTTTAGATTCCAATGAGCAATTTCTTATACAGGTGGTGTATGACAAAATAAAATCTGATCATATCCTTCTGGTACTGAAATACTTCGGATCATGTATAAGAACTGTGAAGGCTTTCTACCTACCTGCTTTTTAGTTCTGCGAGTTTCCACTTCGATTCAATTGTGCAAATTTACCTCTGTCAGCTCTGCAACTCTAGTGGCAAATTTGGCTTTAAAACGTACAAATTCATTAACAAAAGAGGGCATATGCATGTATAATAACATGTTAAATTGAGGAAAGACGAAGTTATCTACGACTTCAAAGTTATGAGTGTTAACAGTAACGTTGAACTCACGGAACGATTTTTGAGTCCAATAATGTTAATATCATCGGCGTACGCCAGCATCTGCACACTCTTATAGAAGACTGTACCTTCTCTATTCAACTCTGAAGTTAGTACCATTTTCTCCAGCAATAAATTAAAAAAGTTTCACGATAAGGAATTACCCTGTCTGGTACTGAACGGCTCGAAGAGGTCCTTCTTCATCATGACTGACCTTTTGGTGTTGCTCAAGGTCAGTTTACACAGCCGTATAAGTTTTGCGGGGATATGAAATTCAGACATAGCGGCGTAATTACAGCTCCTATTCGTGCAGTCGAAGACGGCTTTAAATTCGGCGAAGAAGTGCTTTGTGACGATCCTCTTATCACGGTTATTTTCTGATATTTGACACATGAAATAATCAATGGTTGATTTACTCGGTCTAAGGCCACACTGATCAGCCACTGATGACGTCACTGTAGCTTTGGTGAAGTCCAAAATTGACGAAGGCGCACGATTGACACAAGAAATGATAGTTAATGAATTTAGCCTGAATTGCGATTATTAAGTAATCATCTAAGATACGCGAAGATATCTCTTCGATGGGTACAACAAAATTTTAAATGAGGCCCTAAAAGAGGCTCAAGTGCATTTCGCTCAATTTTTTCGTAAACAAATTCGAAAATAGTCAGTCTAGCAACCTTAATAAAGTCATAAGTGGTGACGAATCTTGGTTCTATAAGCACGATCCTGAAACCAAACAGCAGACCACGGTACGGAGCCCAACAGAAGCAACCCACCCGTAAAATCTAACCAACACAAATCAGCAGCAAAAGTAATGATGTCAGTTTACTTCAACCGATCTAAAAACGTTGTTTCTATTCCACTAGAAAGGGCCAGATGGTAACTGCGAAATAGCGCATCCAAGAGTGGTTACTAAAAGTTTTCAAAAACTTGTTGGAAAGCAGGAAGAAAGAGAAATTGTGGCGCTGGTTCTTACATAATGACAACGCGGCATCTCCCACTGCTGAAATAGCAAGAAATCTTATTGCGATCACTGGAATCGCAGATACGTCCAGCATCATAATCTGGCTGTATTGCGGATATAGCACTTTGTGATTTCTGTATATTTCATTATTGTGTATTGTTATTTATTTCTTTACAAAAAATAAAACGAAAAGTCTTTAATAGCAACGAGGAGCTTTTTTATTCGGCTAATGCTGAACTTGATAAGCTTAAAGAGCAAGCTTTTGAAGACTGTTTTCTGAAGTGGATCTATAGTCTTAAGAAGTGCATTGAAAACAATGGGGTTATGTAAAGAAGATAAAAAAGGACAAAGTTTATGAAAAATATTTTTTTGTTTGTGCTTTTTTCTGGTCAACTTATTCGGTTAATAAAAAATAATTAACCGCCTTTCTTTAAACTTATATTCTTCTCTCCACTGCTAATATCTATCTATTCAAATAGATTTCTTTTCAGTCAAAGAGACTTGTTTAAATATAACTCAAAAATAACCGATCTTTTTAGATATAAAATAAAATACACATTATATTATCTTCGAAAGTTATTATTTTCCATTTGACTCAGTACAACATTTGGAACGATCAACCAGCGCATGCATAGATTTTTTTATGTCATTTATAGGAATGTTCTTCAGTACCTAGGTTACGGCTGCTTGAATGGCCGGGAAATCATCATAAAATGCTCCCTTCATCTTGGTTTTCAGTTTTGGAAATAAAAAATAGTCACATGGTGATAGNCGGCGCATATTTTAACTAAATCCGATCACTGTAACACTTTTTATAAAGCATTGAAGGAAGAACAAAAAAGCGGAAGTGAGATATTTGACAACCTTATATAAAGTTCGGTTATTTTTAGGACACACTGTACTGTGTGTACATTGACAGGGCATGCGTTGAGTCAGCAAAGTAGGGAATATTGCATGGTAAGGGCCAGATGGCTAAATGCTATAATTTCCCAGGGGATATATTTGAGTAGCCGAGCAGCTAAGCTTAAGACATAGTTAATCTGTAGTTTATTGCTTCGGTTACAAATATTAAAATTCGCTTTAATAACTTGCAATTTCCATTTGCAAGAAAAAACCATAAGTAAGGAATTGGAATTTTAATCCAATACACAATACATATGATATACACGCTTATACTTCAATAGATTTGTACACCTGATCGTGTGTAAAATTTCATAACTAAACACCAATCTATTTAATTAATTTTGGTTTATTTTATCAAGACCAATTTATAACATTGAATTTCGATCTGCGCAAGCCCAGCTCATACGTTTTTTGGTAACGAAAAATAAATTCAATATTTTCAAATACAATAAGTTTATTTAGCCATGATTGTATATAAACGAAATGTAGTTTCTTCTTTGCTATGCCTTTAAAAATTATTTTAGATACATTAATAACACATATTTTAATAAAATTAACTTTTATTTTTAGGAACAGGTGGACAGTGTTTTGGGCGATCACAGTTTTGACTATTTGTACTCGTTACTACAAAGTGACTGAACCTGATCATGTTTGGTAAGTGTGCTTATATCATTGGGAAATATGAAATTATTATAATAAACCAAACCAGTTGTCAAACCTAGTCAGCGAATGACACATTAAAATAAAATTTTTTTAAGTAAAACCTCCCATTAGCAGGCCCATTTTCACTGTTGCCGGTAAAATAAATTTTGTTACTTTTTTTTAAACTTTGGTATTCTGGCGAACTGGTTACATAAATTGAAAAAAATTTGGCAGCACTGCTTTTTTTGTCCATGTCAAATTACATTTGCCAGTTGGTAGAGTAAAAAGAGGAGCATTCATTTACATATTTGCATTTAATTTGTTGTTGGGAAGCAAATTTTCCCGACTTTTACTTTGACAATCGATTTTGAAATATAGCGCAGAGATCGTGAATCAGTAGGTTGGCTCATAGCAGTTAGACAATCGCTCGCAACGAATTCCTGATACGATCCGTAGGAAAAGATATATATTGTTGAAAGAAACTTCAAATAAAACGGCAACTATGCCTTTTGTCTAAAAAAATTTTTGATTTAAAATACATATGAAATTGAACACCTACGCCATGCGATCAGGATATCTTAGTATTTCTAAAGGGCACGGACAAATGAATGTACTAAGCCTACAATTGCTACAGAAAACGTTGAACGGTTCCAAAGGGTGCAAAATAATAAATAGAAATATATTGTTGCGAAAATGCGATAGAACGAGAACCTTCGATAGCGAGCAACTCGATTAGTCTACACTTTCGTCTACGAGCAGCCGACTGCTATATAAGGGCGACACTCAGCTGCCAAGTTATGTTAGTTAGAAAGTGAACTCGTTGGTGACAACATCAGTATAGAGTCGTAAAGTAAACGCGTTGGAGATTACATTTAAGTAGAGTAAATTGTGAAAGTTGATACTAGTGATTGTAAATAGTAAAGTTCATTGTAATTGAATTGTGAATTACTGAGTATATAAAGGACATTGGATTAGTTCTTTATAAAGAAAGAAACTGCAAATTAATTTGGTGATTTTTTATTTAACAATCCAGAGATCGTACTCGAAGAATTCAGAAAATCATTGAAGTTGATTTATCAAAATCGTAACAGTATGTTTAGAAGAGATGATTTTAGTGGGATTATTTCTATAAGCCCACAAAATTTTTTGAGGCTACTATGTATGTATGACCGATAAAAACTAAATGTCTTAAACAACTACCAGAGTAAAAAAGAATTATTTTCTAAACGCTCCATGGGTGAACGGCAGGAGCGCTCTCAACTCTGGCAGAAATGATAAATATGCTTGACCCTTGCCCTAAATTATTAAGTCACTTATCTAATAATATCTTGTTAATGAGCAAAAGTATTTGTAATAAAATTTATTTTCATATTTATAATAATATTTTTTATATTAGCAAGAAACAATTAGTTGAATAGCTGCATATTCAAGAAAGGTGGTCTAATCTTCTTTGCAGGATAAAGGTGGATTTTACCTCTTGATTTTTACGGTTTTTCAAGAAGGTTAGCACCAGTCCAAAAGTTTCAAATACGATTTAGAGCCGTGATTTTTTATCACGCTGCTACTTCAATTTGTGTATGTTGTTTTTTCGAATGGAAATTTTTCATAAGTTTGTTATCTTGGAAACAACGCAATGCCAATCCAATCATCAACGGTCAGTCTTTAGAAATGAGTCGTATTTAGTGATGTGGATCTCCCTTAATTAGCGAAAAACCCAAATAATTGCTTCATAACCAAGTCTTTGTTAGTGCAGATACGATTGAATATGTCAAGCTTCTGCGCTATATGACGAACTATTGTATCATATGCAGGTCGTATATATAGCAGTTCATTTTGGAAACATATGACCTATTTATATGAAAAAAAAAGATTAAAAAGAAAATAGTTAGGCGCGTCTCGGATGTCATTTGAAAATGTCAAAACCAATTAGAAGATACGACTAGTTAGTTTAACTGATCGATTGATCCCAGAACCTTGATCAAACGCCCCTAGATCCTGGTTAATGGATTCATTTTATCTTTCCTAATATTCAAGACACTTGGAGTGTTATTTGAAATTCAGGAGCTTAATGATGGTGCAAGCTCTTCAAGGCAATCGAAGTAGAAATTTCCGAGAAAACAATAACGGATCGCACTGAGAGCTTCCTCCTCATCTATATCCATGCAGCTGTGGCAAACGCCGTTTGAGAAGATACGCCTGAGTACCAAGTAAAAGACATTTTACCTCACACCACTCAACACACTTTACACCGAGCATACCATAAAATTTCATGGAGATGAGTGTCCAATAAATATCTAATATCTGCCTAATATTTCTAGTTTCTTACTTATTTGGAGTCATTTAAGAAAATATGGTATAAACCATGAATTCTTTTAACTTCTAGCTGGGATGAAACGCATTTCGGAAAAATGGGTAGCTGGTACATTAATAGAACGTTTTTCTTCGATGTCCATCCACCATTGGGGAAGGTGAGTATGATGCGTATGTGCATATTGTAAGTATTAAAAAAATCTGATATTATCCAAAAACGTTGAGACAAATGTTACTTGTTTTCAAAAGATATTCCTATTTTAAGATTGCCAAATGAATAAAGATTTGGTATTTTTAGATTTAACAAAAAAAAAAAAAAGAAAGTCACCAACGTACCGAACTTTTGTTTATCCCCTCGTATGTACCGCTGAAGCGATTTTCGGCCGAGCTCCTCCTTCAATTTGTGGTTTTGCGTCTTGATGTTCTTCCAACAAATAAGGGGACGGTCCTATTTAAACTAAGCCACCTCCGAACGGCTGATGGTATTTTTACGAGGAGCCTTTATTTAATGTCCGAAATACACTCGAGGGGTGATCTGCAATCAGAAAATTTTACTTAATTTTTTATTTAAATTAATTTTCTATAACTTTTAGTTTCAAAAATTGTGTTCCAAATGTTTCTCTGTTAGACTCGTTTGCAGCCAAAAATTTTAGATCAGAATTTTTTTAGGTGATTTGAATTTTGAAGATGATATAACTGAAACGAATGAACCAGTATCAAGGAAAAAATTTAATTTGCGTTACCAACAAAAAATATGGCTTAACAGTGTAGTTCCTAAATTATTGGAGAAACTAAAACTAAATTAGTATCAGGTGTACAACTTTGATTCCGCCTTTTTTTTCAAAATTAAAAGCTTTATTGCGAAAAAGTGCTTACAGATATATTATTCAAAGTATTGTCCTTCGCTAGCGACAACCTTCTCCCATTTTTCCGGCAATTTTCGTATCCCGGCTCGGAAAAAAGGAGTCCTTTTTGACGCTATCCATGAAGCAATCCATTGCCAAATGAATAAAGATTTGGTATTCTTCGAAGGATTGAAAATGTTGATTTGCCAGGCCGTGTGCCATCGAAGGGAATAAGTGGAAGTCAGAAGGGGCGACATCTGGGGTATACGGCGGGTGGGGCAATACTTCCCATTTCAGCTTTTTCAGGTACTTTTTGACCACTTTTGCGACGTGAGGCCGAGCATTGTCGTGTTGGAGGATGACTTTGTCATGTCGCTCTTGATATTGTGGCTGCTTTTCTTTTAGCGCGCGGCTAAGGCGCATCAATAGCGTTCGGTAGCGATCTCCTATGTTGGTTTCACCCGGTTTTAAGAGCTCGTAGTAAATCACACTGAGCTGATTCTGTTCCACCACCATGTTTGTCTTCGACATCGAAATGACCATTTTTAAAACGTTGAAACCACTCCCGACACGTTCTTTCACTCAGAGCAGCATCACCGTAGGTGTCTGAGAGTATTCGATGTGCTTCAGTTGCATTTTTTTCGAATTGTAACAGAAAAGTAAAACTCCTCCCGCAAATGGCGAGAATTAGGCACATAAACGGACATTTTCGAGCGTGAATAATACGAAAACAAGAACAACTGTCACTGAAACGGCGATGACAATTCGTTAGGCACCGTCCACACTCACTTTAAAGGCATTATCATATATGTATTTCAACCAACCTCAGCCGGTACAGCCACCTATCGGAAAACGGCGGAAGCAAAGTTGTACACCTGATAATAATGGGTACAATCACTTGTTGATAACCATTGATTCGATGATTTACGAAAATTCGTCGATACATCGAGTAAATTATTAGACTTTTAAATCTTTGAAACGATTAGATGTATTTTATCGATTTATATCGAATATCCCCAGGGTATGGCATCGAAAACTTTAAAATCCCGAATGCTTTCATACTTCCGGAGGACAGCTTATTTGTTGGCTAAGCGGGGTGTACTTGGTCCGAGACCGCAAGTAAATACAATAAAAAAATGGTTTCACTGCTCTTGTAGTTTCTGAGTTATCAGGATTTCTGTATTTTATGTTTCACTGCCATATAGTTATTTCCGTTTATCTAAATTTTCCATCAACTCTTATAATAATTATATGAATCTATTACAATGCAGATGCTTATTGGACTCTCTGGTTACTTGACTGGGTATAATGGCACTTTTCCATTTGAGAAACCGGGTGATAAATATAATGGCACTCGCTACGAGGGAATGCGTTATGTATGAACTAACTAGCTACCTCAATAGAATTCCTTTTTTTTACTCAAATTCTTTATAGTTTTGTACTACTTTGGGAGCGCTTATAATGCCCATGGCTTTCGATACCGTTTATGAAATGACCCATTCATGTGAAGCAGCCGTGATATCTACGCTTTATTTATTATTTGGTAAGTAAAGGATCATATATGTAAAAGCAATAGTTTAATCTGATATTGATTTCTCTTACAGATGTTGGACTTTTAACATTAAATCAATACATACTGCTCGACCCAATTTTGCTCTTCTTCATGACAGCTTCAATTTGGGGCATGACAAAGTCATCGAGCCTCACTTCAACTGGATCATCTTATACCTTTCGTTGGTGGTTTTGGCTGTTCTTTACCGGCACCATGCTAGCATGCACAACTTGTACAAAATTTGTGGGTCTTTTCGTGGTTATGCTTGTGGGTTTGCACACAATTTATGAGATTTGGATAATATTTGGAGATTTGGAAAAACCATTTGTAAGATAATTTGTTTTCCCATATAATTATAATTACTGTATTTAACAAGTCTGTATTAGTGATTGGACAAAGAGGAAGTAGGCGTACAAGTTCCAAAAAACATATTTCCAATACGAGGTGTGTTCAAAAAATATCGCGAATTTTGTGTTTTTTCAAAAATTATTTATTTATTCATGAAGATTTATTTTGCCCCCTTCAAAGTAATCCCTATGAGATGTTATACACTTGTGACGGTTTTTCCAATCTTCGAAGCACTTCAAAAATCATTTTTTATCTTGTTCAGCTCCTCCTTCGATGCTGTCTTTATCTCGTCAATCGTGGCGTAACGCCGTCCTTTCATGGACCTCTTCAGTTTAGGGAACAAAAAAAATCACAGGGGGCCAGATCTGGGGAATACGGTGGCTGCGGCATCATTAGTCTGTTGTTTTTGGCCAAAAAGTCGCGCACAAGCAACGATGTGTGAGCAGGGGCGTTATCGTGGTGCAAAAGCCAATTTTTGTTCTTCCACAAATCCGGCCGTTTCTGGCGGATTGCTTCGCGCAAATTGCGCATAACTTTTCCTTATTGACCCTTCTACCCTGTGGCAAGAACTCATGATGCACCACGCCCCTGCAATCAAAGAAAACTGTCAGCAAAACTTTCATTAAAAATTAAAAATCGAAGACCATCCAAAACACGTGCAAGCAAAGCAGCTGTCAACAATTAAGTGAACATTCAAAATGGCCGAGCTTGTCGGCATAAGTGACAGATATAAGTACCAACATAACTCCACAAAAAAATCGAAATTCGATTATACGTAACCCGCGAGAATTCAAAATTCACGATTCTTCTTGAGCACACTTTGTAATTTGTTCAGAATTTAACATTCATCAAATATTAGCTTTACAACCACTCACAATTCAAAAATTGAAATATTCAACCTAAAATTTCTCTCTCTTTTCTTATTAAGACCTCTTTAAGAACGTTTATGTTTAGTCAACCAGCACTATTTTTTGTATTCGAATCTGAATACTCGTCAAACTAAATATATAAAAAAAATTCAAAATTCCTGCAGTCTATTTCCTCTATTCCGGCAAATTAGCTTATTATTTTATTTGTATATATAATTTTAAATTTTCATGAAGATGGAGAGTGTTAAGCAGCTAACCTGTCGAGCATTGGCCTTAATTGTTTGGCCAATTCTACTTTACTTATTCTTCTTCTACGTTCATCTTGTTGTCTTGAATCGGAGTGGAAACGGCGATGGCTTCTACAGTTCAGCTTTTCAATCACGTCTCATTGGTAACTCTTTATATAATGCCAGTATGCCACGCGAAGTAGCTTATGGAGCAATTGTAACTATAAAAAATCATAAAACTGGAGGAGGATACTTACATTCTCATTATCATTTATACCCGAAGGGAAGTGGAGCGCGGCAACAACAGGTAAATTAATAAATTTTAATTTGAACACCCATACAATATTGTGATGAGTTTTCTGAACCGGCTGCAGTCTAAACTCGTGAAACGATGCCGGTGATAGAAGTTGTGCGATGCATCCGAAGCAGAAGAAACAATTTTTTTACTTTATTTTTTATGAGTGGCCCTTCTAAATGAACTGAAAAAATACCGAAGAAGTTAGGAAATTCCAAATTTTTTCGGAATAAAAGAAAATCTCAAAAAAAATCACTTCAATATATTTAAAAAAAAAAAATGTTTCAATAATACTTTTTCCCGACATTAAAGGTCAAATAGAAGATACTATAATACTGAAGCCGGATACTGAATTTTCGCTAACATCGAAACCGAAAATAAAACTCGAGAAAACGCGCTTCGAAGTGCTGTTGAATTGGCCACTAAAAGACAAATACCTTTTAATCCTTAAGATGTAGAAATTAGTGATATGCTTTACAAAAATACTCATAATCATTTCAAAAATGCTTTCGTTGTTTGCTTAATATTCGAATTGAATTAACCAGTCATTACTTCCTTAATACCCAATTTCGGTATTAATCCATAAATTTTCTACTGGGCTACTGGATTATTAAAAAAGCGTGTAAAAAGAGATTTGAAGCTAAACTTTGAAGACGTTCTACGATCTGTCTATGGGTGATTCCAGAACTAATCACATTCTACTTGATTGATTCATGCCCACCTTCTTCTTCTTTATTGGCGTTGACACCGCTAAATTATAGCGAATTATTTATAACGCACCATTCATCCCTTTCTTGTGCTGTTTGGCGTCAGTTGAAAATACCAAGTGAGGCCAGGTTACTGTACACCTGATCCTTCCAATGGAGTGGAGGTCTTCACCTTCCTCTGCTTTCCCCTGCGGGTACTGCATCGAATACTTTCAAAGCTGGAGTGCTTTCATCTATTCTTCATCTTGATTTTCTGGTTCTCAGATAGACGAAACTATCTACGACTTCAAAGTTATGACTGTCAACAGTGACGTGACAGGAAACATTTCGTCTTGTCCTTGTTCACCACCTTGTAACTCGAACAGTTCATGGTTTCATCGTCTGTGGTATTTGCCGTTGCCAACTCTTAGAGGAGCATAAATTTTACGCAAAACCGTTTTCTCGAAAACTTGAACATAACGCCGACTCATCAGATATTGTCATCGTCCATGCTTTCGAGCAAAATATAGCAGGACGGGAGCGACGAGGGACTTGTAGAGTTTGGTTTTCGTTCGTCTGGAGAGGACTTTCCAATTGTAATCCAAAGTAGTACCTGTTGGCAAGAGTTATTCTGCGTTGGATTTCAACTCTGATATTACTATTGGTGTTAATGCTGATTCCTAGATAGACGAAATTATCTACGACTCCAAAGTTATGACAGTCAACAATGACGTGGGAACCGAATCGTGAATGCGATGACTGTTTGCGTGATGACAGGAGACATTTCGTCGTGCCCTCTTTCACTCCCAGACCCATATCCTTCGCTTCCTTATTTAGTCTGGAGAAAGCAGAACTCACGGCGCGGTAGTTGAGCCCAATAATGACAATATCATTGTATTATTTTCTACAGCACTAAATTAAAAATTTGCACGATAAGGAATCACCCTGTCTGGTATCGAACGGCAGGGACAGGTCCTTCCCGATCCTGAAGGAACTTTTAGTATTGCTTAACTTCAGTTTAAACAGCTGATTGGGAACCGGAACCGAAAGGCTTTTTGGATTGTAATTAAGAGTTTTTAATTCAATTTCATTCCCATTTTTCATTGCTTCCGAGTGTCAGTAGATATTTTAGGAACCACTACGTTTCCTCATTATATTTCTGTCCAAAATACCCTCTCTGAGAGGGACTCGAATCTGGGGTATCCGCAGCAGGATAACTTCTCGAAAATGAGTTAAATTAACTCAAAGCCAATGTCTATGTAAAAACGACGCGTGTACCCCGAGAATAAAAATTCTTTCAAATAAAATTGAGCAGAGTTTATTAAAGTTATACCGCATTTTGCAGTGGTTTACGGAAAGGTTAGAAGCAAACCAATAATACAAAAGTTCATTTCGATTTTAGTCAATGCAAAATTTAACTGAATTAAAAAAATTAAAAATGCTGAGTTCTATTCCAAAAAAGTACCCCATTGCACAGAGTCTGTTAGACTTCTTAATCCTTTTCACGATTCCGTCATGCTCGCCAGTATGCCATCTCCAGATAAATTCGACAATAACCAGTCAGTCCCAGTTTTCTGATTGGTAGACTCCGCTTGCGGGATTATAGCAGAGGTGCGTTAACTACAAAACCTAATCAGCCTTGCCGCGTCTCAACTATGTCAATGTTCCCAACCCGCAAAGAATCATACGCAAAATCCATCTCTTCAAGAACACTCACCTCATTCGGACTCATCAAATCTTGTCATCATCCATGCCTCCGCACTATTTAAAGCTTCATCGACATCCTTTGTCGATGGATAACTGTAAATTACTGCAACTGCCAAACTCGCCTTAAATGTCTACTAAATCTGATAAACTTTTCCAAATATTTGCTGGTTTTTCGATACGATTGCGGTAAAACCAAACGTGAGAGTGGTTTTGCGGAACTTCGTAACTTCACTTGTAGGACGCTTTCCATTGAAGCGAGCATCTCCTCTGACTTCTGTGACAATATCAAAGTTTTCAGTTCGTTGATATTCCCCTAGCCTGGCCCAAGTATCTACCATAGAAAGTACATCCACATAACAAACGAGTCGGTTCTCTCTAACAACGTCGTTGTGCTTCTAAGGATTCTGATAGTATAATAATTTTAAATTTACCAACGTTAAAAATTTTTGATACTTTAATTATTAAATCACATATTATTTAATGTAATGCTATATACATTTTATATATATTTTTATAGCAAAATCATTTACATATTTTTTCAAGCTTTCTGAATTTTTACCTTTCCTTTATTACGTTAACTTACAACAGGTCACTACATACACTCATAAGGATGATAACAATAAGTGGCTCATCAAACCGCACAACAAAAACGTAGGTAAACAAATAAAATACGTCATGCATGGAGATCTTATAAGACTGGAACATGTTGCCACAAAACGAAATCTGCATTCTCACGGTGAACTGGCTCCAGTGACTAAACGGCATTTTCAAGTTACAGGATACGGCGAGGTAAATAAGTCAATAATTTTTAAATTTAACCATGAAAAGATTACAAAAATCTCAAATTTATTTGAAAATAAGCTGTTCAGCTGAAAAAAAGAAATTTTTCTGGCTGAGCATCCCACGAAGATCCAACATTATTCCCAAGTTGTCTAGGCTTGAAGATTAGAAGGAGAGGACGCTCTGATTTAGTATTAGCAGAGGTCTTAGAAAATTAGATATATATATTAATATTATATATAAATATTTTATGATATCCATATGATTTTTAAGAAGATTTTTTGGCGCGCTCTTTCCAGGTTTGGGAAATTAAATAAAATTTTTGGTGGTATTGTAGGCATAGCTTTCTGCACAATGGGAACTCCACCTATTCCACTTTTAACCGACTGGCAGCATTCGGAAAGCTAGGGTTCGTGTACTGGCTCGAGCAATATGCAAAAAAGAGATTGTCGAGTTAGTTATTTCGCACAGGATTTAAAAAACTTTTCAGAAAAAAATTCTTCGAATTAACTATAGGGCGTCCTTTTCTTGGTAAAAACAAATCAGCATACCACAAAGAGCCAATATTTTCATTTTTCATTCCAATGACACAACAAAATCCTTATGTGAAAAATTCCAGTAATGCTTACCCTCAAATCGTGATCCTTGCCTAGCGAGCAATGCAAATAAGTTTAATCTTTTAACATATATATATATATATATTGCGAGCCAACGCCTGCTCGCAGCCGCACTTCTGGTGAACAGACGCTACTTTTAGACTTCAGCGAACCCTTAAACCGAATAAGTCGGAGTGGCTCCACTGAAGCTTCCTCGCATAAGTTACCACATCTTTAACAAATGTTCACATTTCCACGCATGACGTAAGCACAAGAGTAGGAATTGAGTATAGCCCCGCGACCGTAACTGTGACCAGAAGCTTGACTGCACCCCCGATGAACATGTTTATTGTCAATAAACGATATATTAATGCTTACAAAGTTGAGTTGAGCTGCTGCGGCTCTGGACACTACCAGCGGACTTACGCCAATAAGACCATTATGGTGTCACATTGCGACTCCTGTCTTCACCTTCTCAAATGGTCAACAGGTAACATTAGTCTATGATCACCAGTAGAGCAACACCTCGCAGCTGGCTTGCTCCAAATCCTTCTCATCAGAAATGACGTTGAAACCAACCCAGGTCCAACGGATTATTTCTACTGTGTTTGCCACAAAAGACTCAAGAATTTCTCCATTTAGATTAGATATAAGCAGTGAAATGGCTAGAGCCATTCTAAGGTCTGTGCAAGCCTTAAGATGCATAAAAAGTTGTCAATACGTTATGTGGCCCATGCTGCCAGCGGCAGTGGCTTCAGTACCTTTACCCACTTTGGGGTTCCGTATATCTCCCCGCAGCATGAGTCCCACCAATCGCAAAACATAAAAGTTGCGAGTGCTGGTCTGATAAACCACTTACCCTTACTAATCTAGATTGATAGGCCTCCCGACTTTGTTTCCGTGAACCCCCAGACTTTTGTTTAACTTCAAAAAAACTAACTGGCTCTGGTTCACGGCATTTATCGAAACGCCTTCAGTGCTATCCCCACTTCATCTAACGTTACAGTCGGTGAATATTTATTCCGCTAGATCATCGTTTCCCAAAGTGCAGAGTACCACAACGGCCCTTAACAAGAATAAGAATTTTTTGAATAGCAACAATAGCAAATATATCCATATAAATATTGTTACTTCTGCTTTTAGGATGGACAAGGTGATGCTAATGACATTTGGCGAATTATTATGGTTGATAATAAACGCAATGCGAGTGTAAAAGCCGTTACAACAAATTTCTTGCTTGTTCATTATATGCAAAATTGCGCTCTTACGGCAAGCGGAAAACAGCTCCCGAAATGGGGATTTGAGCAACAGGAAGTCTCTTGTAATCCTAATTTAAGAGATAAAAATGCATTTTGGAATGTTGAAGATAATAAAAACAAAAAGCGTAAGTAAAAATTTCAGTAATGAATAAATAGGGAAATCATCGGCAACATAATAAATTTGAAATACAGTGGCCCAATGAAGAACTCGGACATACATTCCACTGTTATTAACAAGCAACTTCAAGCTAGATCTTTTTTATCCAATTGATATTAAGCATTTTTGTTTTTTATGTTTCTATAGGGTATCCAATAAGGATTTAGAAAATACCGATAACAAACAAATTAAATAGTTTATAGGTCTCCTATACCCTTACTTCAAGAAATTAACATGTGGCATGCTAGAATTTCGCCAAAAGAGAAGTCGGACATTTCGTAATACTACAGTTGCTTGGCCTTTTAAAAAGGAGCATCCCACAATTAGTTTGTTTTCGATTAAAAATACATATGTATATAATCAAACGTAATAGCTTAGAATAAAATTTCAGTAGTTTTTTTGGAAGAAAAGGTGAAAAAGTTCAAACATGGGTAGACAGCGTGGACAAAACTCAGTTGAAGTAAGGAAGTTAATTATTAGTCACTTTGAAATAGGAAAAACCATTCGGGAAATCGCAGAAATTATGAGCAGACCCCGCTCGACTGTGCATGACGTGATTAAACGATTCAAACAAACAAAACCCGTGGAAAACAAAAATAAGTCTGGACTACCGAAGTTGTTTTCATCTGCAGATGAGCGGTGGATAGAGCAGCAAATCCAAACATGAGCGCTCCCAAGCTCTCAACAGAAGTTTTGCAACATCTCAATATAAATTGTAATCCGGAGAGTATCCGAATAGTCTTACGAAAAACTAATTGTAATGGAAGAAGAACCTTTATAAACGAGGTTAACCGAATCAAAAGTATAAAACTAGCAATGTCATGGTGATAAGGATTTTCAATTCTGGAAAAAAGTTTTATTTGCAGATGAAAGCAAATTTAATATATTTAGGTCAGATGGACAGTCGTATGTTTGGAGAAAACCGACTGAAGAATTGCTAGAAAAGAAAGAATTTTCGTACGACTGTTATACACAGAGGGGGCGGCTCAGTAATGGTATGGGGTTGTATATCCGCAGCTGGTACTGGAAATTTGCGTTTCATAAATGGTAATATGGACCACAAGCAATATCTGACCATTTTAAAAGAAAATTTAATGCAAAGTGCGGAAAAGTTGGGAATTAAAGACAATTTCCAGTACTACCAAGACAACGATCCCAAGCATAAAGCACTTGATAATCATCTATGGCTGATATATAACTGTCCTAAAGTGCTTGAAACACTTCCTCAATCTCCCGACATTTACGTAATTATACATCTGTGGGCTCATTTGGAAAATACACTGAAAATGCATGTTATTAGAAATAAGGCAGACCTAGAAAACACTATTTTGGAAGAGTGGGGGAAAGTAAATTCTTTAACATGCAAGAAGCTAGTTGAATCAAGAAGACTGAATGCTATCAGAATAAGTAAAGGCTTACCGAACAAATATTAAAAATATTTTGTTTCTCTTTAAATAATAGTTGTAAATTCTATGTTATGGATATGTCCGAGTTCTTTTTTGTCATTAGTTTTGTTATATTGTTATGTTCATATTATTATTTTTTTGTTTAAAGTCATAGAACTTGTGTGTCCGAGTTCATTATTGAGCCACTGTATATAAAAAAAATACACATAAACAAAAATTTGCAGAAAAAAAATTATTTAACGTTACAACTTTCCAGTCTGAAAAATGGGGATTTAAATACTCAAAGAAAAACCGCATATCGAAGAGCATGAGCACCATATTTGAGGTCTAAAACTAGATTATGCAGCCAATACCAATAGAAATTTTTCCCTCTGTCATGCCTTTTTATACAAATTTTTCCAAAAATTTTGGAGCAATGTCACAAAAAAGTACAATAATTTATATCTACATGTGGGGAAAAAGGAAGGTGAATTTGTTTGTAAAATTAAAAATCTTTATTTATTCTTTTACATCAATTTTACACCAATTATCGAAGCATGTCAAATATTTACTTTCTGGTATGACCTTTAGAGAGCGCGCCGCTTCACGTTTTATCTCCTCAATCAAACGGTGTCCTCGAAGTGGTCTCTTGAGTTTTTGGAAGAGCCCGCAGTCATATGTTGCTAAGTTCGGCAAATACGTTGGTTGGGGAAGGATTTTCCTAGAATTTTCATCAAAATGGTCACGAAAAATAAGTGCTGTGTGCGACGACTTTTTTCCATAAAATCGAGTCTATTTGAAACCAAACAAGATTTGACTTTTCGTAGGCCCAAATAGTCTTTCAAAATCATTTTTACAGATTTAAGCACTAATTCCCTAATTTAATTGACGTGTTGCACATCAGTTGACGTTGATGGTCGTCTCGAGCGCTTTAAGTCATCAACACGTTTCCGGTCCTCTTTGAAGTCTTTGTACGACTTATACACGTTCTTCTGCAACATAGTTGAGTTCCCAAAAGCTTTTTGTAGCATCCTCAACGTTTCAGCAGCCGAAACTTCGTTCCGCCAACAAAATTTGCTCGCACTGCTTTGCTCAATTAAATTAGACATTATAAAAACCGCCGAAGCCCTTTTTTGTCGTTTACGACATTGACATGAAATTTGGCATAGATTGCAATAACAGTGCTGCCAACATTAAAAAAAACTAACCCGATATATAAAACTCGCGAAGCTCAAATTAAAAATTCACCTTACTTTTTGCCCACAGGTACATACGGCTTAAAGCTCTAATTACAATCTGGCCTAAAATGAAGAGCCATGTTTCTGCTTTCGATGAAAGCAAATGCAAATGAAAGATTGCACCTCCCATAACTCAAGTTCAATTTGTATTACGCTGAGTAATTCATTTAGGAGGTATATTTTATTGTAATATTTATGATTTATGCCGCGGTAGCCGAGTGGTCGCCATTGCCTACTGCCATTCGGAAGGCTTGAGTTCAAATCCTTTCGTCGCACTAACATCTAAAGTTATAGAAAATTAATTTAAAAGGGAATGTCCACCCCTCCGAGTGTATTTCGGACATGGAATAAAGCTTCTCATAAAAAAAACCATTAGCCGTTCGGAGGCGGCTTAGTATAAACTGTAGGTCCGTCCCTCCATTTGCTGGGAAAACATCAAGACGTAAAACCACAAAAAAGAGGAGGAGCTCGGCCGAAAATCGCTTCAGCGGTTACCAAGTGTCAATTATTCTATGTATATATACTAGATATACCCGGCAACGCTTCGCTGTCTTACATACGAGTATTCATCGAATGCATGAAAAATTAAAAATGTGGTATCTTTTTATCATAACTTCATTTGCTCTATACTGGTGAAAATACAAACATTTTGATTTTACGATTGACTTTGATCCTTTTCCCGGAGAGAGGAATAGTCCGACTTTTTGAATAGCCAGTCCACGGACCACTTTACGGAGAGAAGTGTAGTTTTCCTGCTCAAGTAAATCGTACACTAAATAATATTTTTCCGACTATATCAGAACTTGGTCCACTTCCTGAAAATTTGACGAAATTTCAAGACCATCGGTGGGTAAATTTTGGAAATTTATGAAGAGTACTGGGTCTTTTGACCCTGTTTAACAATATCATGTTTGCTTCGTAGGCACCTTTATGTCGAAAAAACCTTCACTAATGGAATCCTCATCTCATAAGCTTTTATAGAGGAAAGACTATTTGTAAATCCATTTTTGAAAAGCATGAAATGAAATATAAGTATTTTAATTAAGTTAAATATTAAAGTAAGTAAGAACAAATTTAAAGTGCACGAGCGAACCTTACTCACACATTCGCAGTGCTTGATTGATTATTTGATCATCTCCAAGGGCCAGAACACTCATAACTAATTTATGTTGCATACCTCCACTTTTCCTGTTTTCATTTTAATTTTTTTTATATTGTCTAACGTATTCATTTCAAATTAGTTAAAAGTGTCAACCTCAATATGTATGCACCTGGATTTTTTTCGACATTTATGGAATCACACGCGGTTATGTTTCAAGGCAATGCCGGACTGAAACCAAAAGAAGGGGAACTGACCAGTAAACCGTGGCAATGGCCAATCAATTACAGAGTGAGTAAATTTTACATATAACAATATAGTTTTCAATATCTTTTAACACCACCCTAAACATGAAAAGAATTAAAAAAAAATAAAAATAAAAATGTTTTCCTTGAATCAAATAGATACTCCATTCAACAGCGATTGATCTGAAGCTGGCATAACTATATATCGCTCAGCAGTTCTAAAACCTGCCATTTTTACCATTTGTATCCTTCGTAAAACTTTTCTCTCGCAGACTACCAAAGCCGACTCAACGAATATCGACATCCTCCACACCTCTGTATCATACAGCAGAACATGAATGATGACTGACTTGTAGACTTTAGTTTTTGTTCATCGGGAGAGGACTATACTTTTCAACTGCCTACTCAGTTCGAAGTAGAGCCTGTGGAAGGCGTGATGCCTTGAAGCCTCGTTTGGTATAAAACGGCTCGGAAACGTCCTTCTCAATTCAAACAGCGCTTCTGGTATTGTCCACCGTCTGTTTACACAGTCGGCCAATTTTTCCATGAATAAAAAGAAACATTCAGACATAGCGACATAGAGGCAGCTCGTTACACTGCTACTGCCTCCATCCGACTATGGATTCACTCTCCTAACACAAATGTGAAGCGAAAATGTCCGTTCTTTTATATTGCGTTTGGACAGTGACGATGTCAGCCTTTAGTACCAGGAGGACATCAACCAACTGAGAAGCGGCCTCCGCCCAATTAAAAGATCGGTCTTAATCCTAGCTCTTAATACGCTGACCACTGTCATTAAAACCGAAGTCTCTCATGCTAGAAATTGCAAACTTTTTTTAAGCTGGTTTAAAGGTGGCGGGTCGCAAATCCTGCGCACAACCACTCTAGGCTCCCTCTTGGGTTAAATGCTGCAAAATAAAGCTGCATATTAGTGCGCAGAACAAAGCTATGAGAGAACAACTCACAACTCATACTATTGTTTTTACAAGTATCACACGAAATAATCGAACGGCGCAGTAAAGCCCTCTTGATTTCAAAGTTTTCGCCAAATAAGACACCAATCGAAATTGGTAGCTTCTTTCAATCCAGTTTTAACACTTAAAAAAGACCGACAGTTTACCTGTCCTGATTCGTTTCAGCTTCTATTGTTGGCATTACCAAGTACTAGGAAGAAGCTGTGACATAGCACTTGTGGTTCCCATACCTTCTTCCTTCCCATGGAAAGCGCCATCTTGTTTGCTTACATTGAAAAACAGCTGAGATCACCTGAGTTCTACATTTTTTTCATTAGTTCCTTTTCTCCGACATTTTGTATTTAAATTTCCCTCATTCTATCACGATTCGCTATCACTCGCTATACTCTCCTTTTGGATAGGATATTGCCTTATTCGTTGATTCCTTCATTTTCTACGTATTTATTCTACAAATCTTTCATTCCAACGATGTCCAACTGGGCCGCAGCGGTTATGATGTTATATAATATTTGACAGGCAAGCCCTGAGATTGACAGGCAAATGTAAACTGACAGATTTCTATTGGAAGAGTGCATAAGTTCGTGCTCGATTTCAAGTGCAAACTAAAATTGAAATTTTTGAAGAAAGCGCTTTTATTAATCAATTATGTATTCGCCATCATGTTCGGCAATCCACTCTCAACGTTCAACCAATTTACGGATGCCTGATTCATAGAAATCGCGCGGTTTCTCGTTGAAAAAGGTGTCAAGGTGATTTTTGACATCTTCCACACTTTTAAATTTTTTTCCATTCAAATTGTTCTGCAGCGATCGAAAGAAATGATAATCAGAAGGTGCAATATGGGGGATGCGGCATACTTGTAAGCCTCTACGATGCTGACAATTTTTTCTGCCAGTCACTGATGCATGTTCAAACCTTCGTTGAATTTCCACAAATAATTTAGCTTTAGCAGGATAACGAACAATTTTTTTTTTATTTTAAAATAACTACGATATACACGTATGAACATACATTCATATAATTAATAATACTGATATTCATAACATTTTTTGTCACTTTCTTTGCACATAATAGGGGCAATTCTTTTCCGGAACTTCTTATCGGATATACTTGCTGGGAAATCCCATAATTTGGTGGTCCAATTTGATTTTTCTAGTTGCGTTTTTGTTCGTTTCGTCAATAATTGTCATTAAACAACGTCGTTTAAATGGTCGAAAACTTCGTGAGAATAAGGCGATAAATCAGCTAGCTTTGCCTGCTTGTAAACCAGCAATCACAATTAACGGTAAGATGCAATAAATTGTTACAAGTAACATATACTTCCATACAATACAAACATACATATCTCTTTGTATACCGTTCAATATATTTATTATGTATTTATTATGTCATTATCTTATTCAATTTATAATTTTTTTATGGCCAATAATATATTATCAATTTAAAACCATATGCCAAATATAGAAAGCAACAAAACACAAACGCGAACCGAGATTCGCCATGTGATTCTCTTCGCGTTTAGGCGTTTAACTTACAGCCAATACAAATATTCAGTGAATAGCAAGTTGCATATGGAACGATTGCACCCTCCCTAAAGACTATTTCTTAGTGGTTCCGAAGATACCAGATCGGACATTTTTCTGTAGGGGACTAACCACGAGTAGGTCGACCAAAATCTTCCACTAATGTCATTGTAGCTCTGGTGAAGTCCAAAATTGACGAAGAGGCACAACGGCACAATAAATTATTGCTAATAAATTGGGCTTGAATGTCACGTAGAAATCGCCTCGATGGCTACCACGAATTTTTAATGAGGTCGAAAAAGAGGCTCGAGTGTATTTTGCTCAATTTTTCCTAAACAAATTCGAAAATGATCAATTCAGCAACTTTAACAAAGTCATTACTGGTGACAAATCTTGGTTCTATAAGCACGATCCAGAAATCGAACAGCAGTCCGTGGTATAGAGCCCAACAGAGCCAATCCTACCCGTAAAATCTAAGCAACAAAAATCAACAGCAAAAGTAATGATGTCAGTTTACTTCAACCGATCTAAAAACGTAGTTTCTATTCCACTAGAAAGGGCCAGATGGTAACTGCGAAATAGCGCACCGAAGAGTGCTTACTAAAAGTTTTCAAAAATTTGTTGGACAACAGGCAGAAAGAGGATTTGCGCCGCTCCTTTTTACATCATGACAACGCGCAATCCCCCTTTACTAAAATAACGAATAATTTTATTGCAATCTCTGGGATCGAAGAAATACGTCCAGCACCAAATTCCAGATATAGAACCTTGTGATTTCTGATTACTTCCAAAAATTAAAATTAAAAAGTATAAAAGAATAAAAACCTTTCCTAGCTACGAGTAGATAATGAATGAGGTTGATGCTGAACCTGATAAGCTTAAAAGGCAAGATTTTGAAGACTGTTTTCAGAAGTGGATCTATAGGCTTAAGAAATGCATTGAAATCAATGGCGATTATGTAGGGAAAATAGAAAGAGACAAAGATTAAGAATAAATGCAAATAGAATTTTTTTTATTTTTTTTTTCTGTTCAACTAACAGAACTTAAGCTTCTTTAATTCAAATCGTGTTCAGCGATGAAGCTCATTTTTGGCTTAATAGGTGCGTAAATAAGCAGAATTGTCGATTTGGAGTGAAATTCAGCCAGATGCATTGCAAGAGCTACCAATGCATCCACAGTTTGCTGCGGTTTAAGGGCTGGTGGCATTCATTGGATCGTATTTCCTCAAAGATGATGCGAATCGTAATATAACTGTGAATGGTGAGCGCCGATATCAAACTTTTTTTTGCCCAAAATGCAAGAGCTTGACTTGCACGAGCTGTGCTTTCAACAAAACGGTGCCACATGCCACACAGCACGCGTAACAATGGACTTATTGAGAGGCGAGTTCGGTGAACATTTTATTTTTATACGTTCGGGACCGCTCAATTGGCCTTTAGACTATTTTTTGGTGGGCTAAGTTAAATCTAATGTCTATACAGACAAGCCGGCATTGATGCATTGGAGGACAACATTGAAGTATTTATTCGAGGGATACCCGCCGAAATGTTGGGAAGAGTATGCTAAAATTGGAATAAGCGGATGGACGATTTGAGGCGCTGTCACGGTAAACATTTGCATGAAATAACCTTTAAACATTCAATTGTATGGACCGTACTATCGATGCAAATAAAAATTTCATGCATTTTTCTGCATTTTATGTGTTTTTTATTTCGAAAAACTTTCCTATTAGTTCTTAAAAAAATTAAGCCAAAAATGTGCTTCGAAGCGAGCGCGGAAGAGCACGCATTTCGATAATCAAATTCAATTTGCAAGCGTTGTGCGTTTGTAAGTCTGTAATTGTAATTGAGTGTTGCCAAAAAGATAATAGCTAAAATATCACCCTTTATATATATATTGGTATATATAGTTACAAAAGCGAACTATTCATCATTAGAATCAATTTTTCCACCGATATTTATTACTATCACAAACTATCCAAAATCAAAAAATTATTATTTCTTTATTACAGAAAATGGTGACGAACTAAGTTGCTCTCTGAAAGCGGCAGCATGGTTTTTTATTGGATGGCTTACACATTACCTTCCCTTCTGGGCCATGGGCCGGATTCTTTACTTTCATCATTACTTTCCAGCTTTAATATATAATTCACTGTTAACAGGTGAGAATGCGTATTTATAATTTATTTTGATATCCGTACAATTAGTTTATGGGAAATATTATTATTGCACACACGTAGGCACATTTTGTTTATTAAGTTGTTATAAATCTAGGTAAAAAATATTCAATTTTGATTGTTCACTCCGGTTTAAACAAAAAGTACTTAACCGTTTTGTTTAGATTATTTTCTAAAACAAATTATACAGAAGTGTTTAGGGGGATGGGACCACGAGTAGAACCACGTGCAGAAGTTCAGTGAGGAAAGTTTTTGACCTGTGAGTGACCAGAAACGACTGTTTTGCTTATGGTTCAAGTAGCTCATGACTTCTGGTGTTGGACCAAAATTTCCCTGGGTAGCCAACTAACTTCCGGTTGTAGTTGAGCTACAGTGAGAAGTCGAATCCCTTGCGGTTGTTCGTAAGGTTTGGGACACACCACAAGAAAAATAAACGGCAATGAAAAATCGAGATATGCCTCGGATGAGTGACTTCCTTAATGACCCACCGAATATCCGGACCCTTAATGGGAAGGTGCCGCTGCCCAACTGGTTGAAGTCGTTGTCAAAAATAGAGGCTGATATCGCCGCCGTCTTATAAGTGTGATGGATAGGACAAAGAAGGAAAAAGAGGTGTGCTCGTGAAATATACTACAGCGGCTAAATAAAGGAGTGCAAATTTGGTGTCGGAGAGTCCGTCGCCCAGTGAATGAACGCCTCGCCACAAACACATCAAAATTAAATTCCTCAAAGCAACGGTGACTTATGCTCATGTTCCGACAGAAAAGAGGGACGATGTGACCAAAGATGTCTTATATGAGCGTCTTGAGCTTACCGATGAGTGCTGCCCCGTATCGATGTCAATATTGTGCTTTGCGACTTCAACGCCATAGTGGGCAAAGAAAGTGTCTTCGGTTCAGAAAATTCAGCCCTCACGACGATCCATCCCCTAAGGGGTTGATGCTGATCGACATCGCCGGGGCACGAAATATGGTTGTGTAGCACAAGAAAATTTACCAAAATACTTGGCTGTCTCCAGATCGAAAAACTCAGAATCATATCGATCATGTAGTGATAGACGGAAGACATGTCTCTGAGAGCCCTCATCAGCAACTCCATATAAGGAAACTGTGGAACGGCATGTTAAACTCACTACGTAACAATTGGTTTTTGGCAGGGTCAGAAAAAGAGCTGGTACGATGGAGAAGCTTAGAGAAATCCGCCCGTAAGATACAGAGGGGTGATCTAGAGACAGATGCTCACAGCAAACTGAATTTATGGAAGAATTACTTCTCCACCCTGTTGAATGGCAGTGGAAATGAAATACCTGGAGATGGTGTCCCAAAACCCAACTCAATGACAATGGAAAAGACGTTCCATTAACCGACTATATCGAGGTTCGATTAGTGATTGTCCGCTTAAAACAAAACATTCGCAAAAAAATGATCGACACCCACCACTCTTTGCTCGATCTTAAAGCAACCCTTCGACAGTATCCTCTACAAGAATGTACATCTGCTGGCGTACGCCGATGATAATGACACCATTGGTCTCAACAATCGCGCCGTGACTTCTACTTTCTCCACGACTGAATAAAGAAGTGAATCACTATTAACACCAACAACATTGTTAGACTGTAAATGCAGTGCAGCATCACTTTTGCCTGGAGGCGCTAGTTTTGACTGAGTAGGCAACTGAAAATTAAATTCTGCTCCCAACGAATGAAAACCAAACTCTACAAGTCGGTTAACGTTCTCGTCCTGCTATATGGCGCGGTAGCATCGAGGATGACAATATCTGATGAGTCGCCTTTGGGAGCCTTCGAGAGACAATCTTGCGAACGAGGAAGAGGAATACCTCCATTCCTTTATTTCCAATTGGGGCCAAACAGTAAAGAGAAGAAACTAATATTCAAATACACAGTAGTACAAATATATATATATATATAAGTTATTCATAATAGGTGCATAATAATAATTGTCGTCCCTTTTATTTACTAAATTAGAGAAAATACTTACTATTCCGAAGTTTGAAATTTTATCTTAATGATTTTATCTACTTTATTTCCAGGTGCTATGTATAACTATCTATCAAGCTACCTGCCAAAATGGATGCAACAAGCGCTGTTTGGGGCAATAATATCTGTCCTAACCTACAGCTTTGTATTGTTCTCACCACTTGCTTATGGAATGAGCGGTCCTTTAGCTAATGAACCAAATTCTGCAATGCATAGCTTAAAGTGGCTGTCATCCTGGGAATTCTAATTTTTAAATATTAATTAAATTATTAAATTTTCATCTCATTGAATTCTTATAATACTCGTAGCCTTTTAAATGACTCATCCACTGAAAGATTCATTAAACTTTTATATTAATTTCATCAAATATGTAAATATATTTTATTTATTTTTTAATAATCAAATAAATAATGTAAATGTGGTATTTCTAATTTAAAAGTAAATAAAAGGTCAATCTCCATGGGTAACACATCGGATAATAGAGACATTATTTTTCAATAACTCATCGGTAACAGGATGGTTAACAGAGATATTTGTCTCCCACAACTATCAGGTGAACAATTTTGCTTCTGCCGTTTTCCGATAGGTGGCTGTACCGGCTGAGGCTGGTTGAAATACATATATGATAATGCCTTTAAAGTGAGTGTGGACAGTGCCTAACGAATTGTCATCGCCGTTTCAGTGACAACTGTTCTTGTTTTCGTATTATTCACGCTCGAAAATGTCCGTTCATATGCCTAATTCTCGCCATTTGCGGGAAGTTTTACTTTTCTGTTACAATTCGAAAAAAATGCAGCTGAAGCACATCGAATGCTCTCAGAAACTTACGGTGATGCTGCTCTGAGTGAAAGAACGTGTCGGGAGTGGTTTCAACGAACATTCACGGCGCCAAGGTTATGATTTGTATTTGGTGGGATCAGCTCGGTGTGATTTACTACGAGCTCTTAAAACCGGGTGAAACCATCACAGGAGATCGCTACCGAACGCAACTGATGCGCCTTAGTCGCGCGCTAAAAGAAAAGCGGCCACAATATCAAGAGCGTCATGACAAAGTCATCCTCCAACAGGACAATGCTCGATCTCACGTCGCAAAAGTGGTCAAAAAGTACCTGGAAACGCTGAAATTGGAAGTCTTGCCCCACCCGCCGTATTCCCCAGATGTCGCCCCCTCTGACTTCCACCTATTCCCTTCGATGGCACACGGCCTAGCAGATCAACATTTTCAATCCTTCGAAAAATTGGTAAAATGGATTGCTTCATGGATGGCGTCAGAAGAGGACTCCTTTTTTCCGAGCCGGGATACGAAAATTGCCAGAAAGATGGGAGAAAGTTGTCGCTAGCGAAGGACAATACTTTGAATAATACAATATATCTGTAAGCACTTTTTCGCAATAAAGCTTTTAATTTTGGAAAAAAACGGCGGAAGCAAAGTTGTACACCTGATAGTTGCTAACGATTAGAGTAACCTATGCGTTTGTTTTGAATAATAGATGAATTACGAATCGGGTAACAAAATTAATTCAAAATTAGTAAGGATGAATATATATCGCATTCAGTCTGGAGAAAGCAGAACTCACGGAGTAGTTGTTGAGTCAAATAAAGTATACCTCATCAGGGCATACTAGTACACTCTTATAGAAGATTGTACTCTCTCTATTCAGCTCATTCAGGGCATGTTATCGTCCGACCATATTCTGCAAAGTAGTTAATGCATGTACCTTGTCAGCTCTTCACCGCCATGTTTGAATAGTTCTGCCGCTAGGCCGTTAGCTCCAGCCGGTTTGTTATTTTTTAAGCGAGCGGTTGCTACTTGAACTTGTTCATGATCAGGTAATGGAGCGTATTTTCCAAGGTCATCGATTGGGGTTTCAGGTTCACCGGTTCATGGTCCATTTTCACTGCTATTCAGCAGGCTGGTGAAGTGTTCCCCCCATAAGAATGCTTCAGAGACTCATAAAAAGCTTATTTAGCCAAATCGTCCTTCTCCTCCGTCGGAGCGTGGGGGTAAATCAATGAAATGTTGAAAAATGTCGCTTTGCCGCGGATTGTGGCAAGACGCTCATCTACCGGGATGAATGCCAGTACTCGACGACGGAGTCTCTATCCCACCACAAATCCTACACTAAATTTGCGCTCATTTATTTGGCCGCTGTAGCAAATTTCACAAAAACCTACTCGCTTTCGTCCTTGTCCCGTCCATTGCACTTCTTGGACGACGTTGATGTCAGCCTTTAGTTTAGCGAGGACATCAACCTGTTGGGCAGCGGCACCTACCCAATTAAGGGACCGGATATTCCAGTTGCATGCCCTCAATTATGATCCTTTAAACGTGTGCGAGGGTCGTCATCGTAAGGGGGGTCTCTCATCCGAGGCATGTACAAATTTTTCATTTGGGCTAGTTTATACGTTGCTGGTCTCAAACTCTGCAATGACTTCAGTGGACTAGTGGCTCCACTCTAATTGGCCGTGACCTAATGCTCCAGACGGGATGGTTACCGCTTCTTGCACAAGAGTTGCTCACGTTTCCAGGTCGTACCACGTGGACGATTTTTTATTCCCACCGCTTTAACTGGACTTATTTCAATATCTCAAATTAAACTACAAATTCCAGCCTCACGTGAAATATTTTACCTATATATATGTTCGCATGACATGTCATCGAGTGCAAAATCAATGTAAAATCAGTTCTTCATTTTTGATACCAGAGGAATTCATACTCATTTATTTCTGAGAGCACGTTACTGATGTCGGGTATAGAAGTTGTTATCGTGTTTAATTTCTTACAATAAATAACAAGACTGTACTTTCTTTAACCTGACGCATACCTTTTTGGATAGTACCATACCGGTGAATTGTAGGGGGACGGAAAAGGTTAGAAGATAGTTGTTTGATTTGTTTTTGACTTCTTTTAGGGAGATAGGAAATGGATAATAGACAGGGTGTACTAGTTGCACTGTAGATGTTCGAATTTCGCCGTTAACAGTCGTAGTAAAAGTAAATTTTTCGTTCGGTTCGGTAATAAGTCAGTTTACTTTTTTGTCAATTAGTCTATTTGAGACTGTTCGTATGTAGACATGTTGTTCTGTTCGAAAACCAAGGGTGTTTATAGAATTTGAACATGTTGCTGGATTGTTTTGTATGTTTTGAAAACTGTTATTACCTAAAATTCCGTGAAAAGACGGTCTGAGAATAACAAAGCATCTATTTTTCACATCACTAAGTGACAAGGGAGTCCACTCTATTTTTTTTTTTTTTTTTTTTTTGGGAAAAAAAATTTTTTTTTTAATTTTGTTTATGGTGTGTCATTATTAAACGTTCACCTTTCTATCACCAACATTTTCAAACCAACAAAATTTTCCCCTGTTTTTGGTCAACATTTTTTTATGCCAAGGATATATCGTGTGTATGTTTGTTCGCTGCGCAATGTTGTTATTCTACAGCTACGGGTTAAAAGCTATTCTTATACGTTAAAGCATTTATCCTTAACAAATCTAAGTCCTGTACTTACTAATCTATGTAAGACAATTTTAAAAATTTCTGACCTAACCTCTTCAAACGCAATAACTACTTTAGCCAGCTGGGAATTATCATGTTTACTAACTTGTCCTACTATACTTACCTGTCCTGCTATGCAAGGGGTTAATCTATCGTTTCCCGGGCTGTTGTGCGATCTAAGAATTCGCTATTCTCTCATCCGACCTACTCTCTCACACGGGGAGCCACTCGGCCCCGCTGCTGAAACACTAAAGCCCACCGTCAACATCATTGGACGTCATTGGACATTATCAGTAGGGCCTTAAACCTGGTAAACCAACCATGCGTTAAGTCTTGGAAAAGATCCGTGAAAGAGGATCGACACACACCACCTGTGCGTCGATTTGAAAGCAGCATTCGACAGCATGAATAGGAGCCGCTTTCACGCCGCCATGTCTGAATTTCGTTTCCCCGCAAAATTTATGCAGTTATGTAAACTGACGCTGGGCAACACTAAAGGCTTCGTCAGAATCGGAAAGGACCTCTCCGAGCCTTTCGATACCAAAAGAGTTTTTAGACAGGGTGATTTCTTATCATGCGAATTTTTTAACTTATTACTGGAGAATACAAGATGCAGAGCTGAATATGGAAGGTACATTCGTCTAAAAGAGTAGTAGAGTGTAATTCTGGCGTACGTCGGTGATATCTACATTACTGGCCTCAGCAACCGTAGCGTGAGTTCTGCTAGCTCCAGACTGGATAAAGAATTGAAGGATATGGGTCTGGTAGTGAACGAGGGCAAGAAGAAATATCTCTCCTCGGCGTTCTCGTCCTACTATATGATGCGGAAGCATGGACGATGACAACATTTGATGAGTCGGAAGGAGTTTGCGCAAGATTTACGATCCTCCACGAGTTGGTAGCGACGAATACCGCAGACGATGAAACGAAGAGCTGTACGGCTTATACGGCGACATTAACATAGTTCAGCAAACCAAGAAGCTGCTTCTACGGTGGCTGGATATGTAGTCTGGATGGGTAAGAATACTCAAGCTCTGAAAATTTTCGTTGCATTACCCGACGGTGTAAACGCAGGAAGAGGAAGACCTCCACTCCGTGGGAAAGACCAGGTAAGTAAGAATTCATCGGATATACAATATAATTCGCACTTTCGGCCGAGTTTCTCCTCTAATATATGGTTTTGCCTCTTCATATTTTACCTACAAATGCAGAGAACTATAGTTTTTCCCCAGCCGCCTCCGAAAGGCCGATGGATTTTTATAAGGAGCTTTATTTTTCATGTTGAAATACACTTGGAGGGACCGCAATTATAAAAATTATTTTGTTCAGCGGATAATTTAATATATTATATATTATTTACATATGTAAGAAGGAAGTATTGTGTTTAAAAATAACGGTACTTACATATTAGCACCACCGCAGCAGTAGCTTTATGTAAAAATGTCATTGACATCTTGTGGTCTTCGGACCCAAGTTCCTAGTTTGACCAACACTTGCTACGCCTTGAAAATGCACCCTCTCCCAAAAATAAATAATTGGTCCTCAAACTAAAAAGCAGAACATTGAGGACCTGAAAACGCAGCTGACAACCGATTTCATCTTAGGTACTGCCAATGGACTCAACAATATTACTCAACTAATAATTTTTTTACAGGAAGTAGCTCCGAGCTCATCTGACTTAAAGCTGGTAAGTAACGAGCAGGTTTAGATACGGGCTAAGTCTGCAGAGGTCTAAAAAAAACGTCGTGTCTATAAAAAATGTGAATTTTTATACATACATAATGCGCTCAAAACTCGCGGATAGTCAGTAATGAATATTTCGAATTTAAAATAAAGGGTAACGAAGAAGCATCTCTCGAGCTCCAACAATACAGGCATTTATGAAGTAAAACCCTAAGAGACTGAAAATTTACAACTGAGGAGCCCCCGGCATGAAATACCCAAGTGCGGAAACTCTCAACAGTATGGTCACGTCAAAACTTACTGCCGTAGAAAGCAAGTTTGTACATAGCAGTCAAAGAAACGTCGGATCTGATAATGTCAGATTTGCTATATGAGAAGCTCTAATGCCTTCTCCTGAGAAAAATAATACCTGCTAAAATGAGAGAGAATAACGGTCATCGTCCCAAAACTCAGAAAATGTTTTGTCTCATAAATCGCCATTGAAATTTTTATGCCCAAAATAAACTACTATAAAACCAGTGTGGACCTATGGGATACTGCTGAGGGGTGCATCAGCCAACTCCAACATAGAAATTAGAATATTTGTCGACTCACCCTACTACGTCACAAATGATCAGCTTCAAAGAGAACTCAAAACTTTCGCTGTCTCAGAGGAAGTCAAAAAGCATATCATATCATCTAAACTGAGATTACTAAACCATTCGAATGCACACATTATAAAAAACTTAACATCACACCCGCCTAAAGAAAAGTTCAATCTTCTTCTTTACTGGCATACACACCGCTTTCCCGATTATAGCCCTGTTTGCTCCATTCATTTTTTCTTTTTGCTGTTCGACGCCAATTTTTATCTCATACAACTCATCCTTCCTTCGTTTGCGTTATTCGCCGTACTCAAACTAAAACTCTTAACGCCGCCTCATAATATGTTGTCAATCGTCCATGCCTCCAGAACGGGAACGATGACGGAGTTGTAGAGTTTGGTCTTCGTTTGTGGATAGAAGACTCTATTGTTGAATCTACCCAGTCCAAAGTTGCACCTGTTGGCAAGTGTGATACTGCGTTGGGTTTCAAGGCTGACATTATTATTAGTGTAAAAGAAATAAGAAACTTGAACAATATTTGTTTTCATTATTGTTTTTAATTCTATACTATACTATTTCACAGATATTTCATTATATATTATATACATACTTATATTTTATTGCTTATCAGAACTTTTAATTTAAATAAACTTATTGCACTTTTTTTCCTTGTTAATCAAAGCTGGAGTTATTTTCACACAGGCGTCACTTCCATTGTCCTTTATTCGCTTGTAATATAAGATCTTGAAGTGATTTGAATTCTAAATTGTTATAAGTTTTTAAATAATCTGAGGCATCTTGATCGTCTTCATACAAATTTTCATATAAATAATCTGCATCTGAAGTTGATGATAATGACGCTGCAGTTTGTTCGATTGTACTATCATAATCAATTATGTCATTTGTTTCGGATACCTCTTCAGATCCCCTTAAATTTGTATCCTCAATACCATGTTTACGATTGAAGAGGGTAAGTAACTCATCAATTCTTTCCACCGGCATATCTGAAACCATTCTCACAGCGATTTTTCGCCTCGAACGTTTCAGGTCTTCACCCGATTTTTTATCATCATCATTCAGTTCAAAGTTTAATGATGTTTTTAGCGTGTGCTTAGATGACGGCAAATTTTTTACTAATGAACGATAAAAATTCGAAAAATTGTCGATTTTTTTCTCTTGATTTTCACTTTTCTCATGGATCGCGACATATTTGGGATTCTCTTCAATAAAGCGGTTAACAAGGTTCATTGTATATTGTTGATTCTTCTGAGATTTTAAAAGTTCAACTGTAGATGGAATAATAATATAGATTAGAATGGTTTAGTTAAACAACAATTGCGTAAATGAAAATCTATTATTTATCAATATTAATTACATAACTACCTTTATCCGCAGATAGTCCCAATTTTTGCTTAAAAATATTCCAGTCATTTTTAGCAGGTTTCAATTCGTTTTGTGGAATGTAATAACCATATGTCCGTCGAAGAACAAGCGCGAGTGTTATTAATAAAGCGATCAGTTTCATATTTAAAACTTGCCAATATATTGATATTCGTAGTGTTTAAGATGGATACTCTGATGTGACTAATATTCTTCCACTTCCTACACGACCTTTTATACGAAATCGGTTACAGAACCGCAAATAACAATATCGCGGTGGCACCAGTTATTAGCGAAACCTGCACTTTATACACAAGACAGCTCGGTAAATAAGTAGTTAAAGCAAATTCATGTCATATTTAAGTAATTTGTCGCGAATGGAATGTTGGCGACGATCAGCCAATAATCAAAGAAAGATTTTCTGGTTATTGTACTCGAGTTCTATTCAAAACGCCGCAGCAATCCCAAATGGCACCAGCCAAGGAATGTAGTAGCACTGTCGTCCTTGCAGGTACATCATTTTGTGTATATTTATGTATCTATGTATATGCAAAATATGAGTTGTGCGAATCACGGTGTGTAATGTATTTTTTCAAATGTTTATACCTACGCATACAAATATACAAATCTACATAAATACATACCTACCTACTCAAGTGATGTGCATTGCCAAATGATGTTTTAGCCTTCATTAACGCTCAGTAAAATGGTCAAGTCATTATGAGCTGTGCTCTCGTCTTCTAATGAGTTTAAATTGCATATTGTCTAGCACTCTTCAAAGTCGTGAATGTATATATATATATATATACGTATGCTTTTTTATTTTACTGGCTGAACACGCCTTCGTCGCTACCTATATTTGGATTTAACTAGTTTATGACGCGCAATTTCGGAGACATTCCTACCGACTTTATTTTGGGTAACGACGTACTTGAGTGAAAATAGCATTTGGAAATGATAAGAAAGTTGTGTGAAAAATTCATTTCATTTTTATATTTGCTGCATATTTGTTTCTTGGCTAGCCTTATAGGTCAAAAGTCATTTCTTCCTTTTTTGTCAGGATTTTTCGAGTTCATCGTCTCTAGGCAAATAACTCCGGGTTAAGATTTCATTAAAAGCATATGCTCTCTACGAGTTTCAAATTTTCCATTCAATGCACGAATTATGCATTTGGCTAGACACCGACCAGAGGAGACGCGGATGTACATATGAATGTAGATTATATTTTTCTAGTTGGTGAATATACTAATGAAGCTGGCGATGACATGTCAAGTACATACATGCAACAAATAAATATGTATAAAATATATGTATATTTATCTTAAAAAATATTTATAATATTAGCTGTTAACTATATATATTATATATGTTTGTATTGTATTGTTTTTGACTAGTTTCTTTTATTTTTTTTTTTTACTTATCTCATCTTCACTATATATTTTATTATAAAAAATTTGGGTTATGTGTATTTTGGAATTCTCAAAAGTGATATAAAATGGGGTTATTAAAAAATTTGGTGAAAATTTTAAGCAAAATGTAACAAAAATTCTTTACTCTCCGTTAAATATTATCACGCAAAATGCCCGGCGTCACTATGAAGGATGTAGATAAACATGCCTTGGTTTTTTTTTTTTGTTTTTGTGCCTTTGTGGCAACAGTCATTTATGTTGTGCTTATTACGTATCATAATACAGTGATATCAAAACAGTTAAATTCAAACTCTAATTAATATGTTGAGTTGCGTTGATGTGGCTGCTGGTCAACCCCAGCACACTTAGGCCAATAGGCCTATTGTGATACCGCTGAGGCTCCTGCCTTTACCTTCTCAAATGATTGAACCATTTTGTGTACCTTATAAGGGCAACGAGATTTCCAATGTTCACTGAGGCCAACTTAGCGATGCAGTTGAAGAAGTGTTTACAAAGAAACTTGTGTCGCGCGGATGTCAAGGCTTGACAATGGCAGAGGTAGTGCTGGATGGTCTCCTCCTCTTTTTCGTCCCTATAGCCGCGACAGAAACCGTTAGAGTAAAAGCCCATCCAAATGCCGTGAAGCCCCACTGAACATTATCCAGTTATTATACCCGTCGCTATGTTAATGGAGAATCGGTAGATTAAGATGTTTAGATTTTTTCGCGTCCACCTATGGCCATAGCTGTCTGGTCACGTTATACGTAATCTCGTTCAACCAACGTGAATCAGCTTCTATGGTAAAGGCCAGTTTGAGCATGTTCTTAGCCGTGGATAGAGGTAAGCCAGCACCACGTGCGTGTTTTATTGTAAATAGAAGGATTTTTTCCCTTGCTAGTTCGTCTGCCATGCAACTACATGCGATGTTCCTGTGTCCAAGTACCCAGACCATGGTAGGACTACAATTCGTTGAGAGTTCGTTGAGAGTGTTTCTATAGTTTGTGGCCACTTTTGACGTTATACCGTTAGATTGAGAAGATCTGGTTGTTACCTGAACGCAACCACACTCCCATCGACTGTAAATATGGCAATTTACTCCTAGCCGGGTGCGTTGGTCGTTTCCCACTCGCATCTGATTTCTGTTCGGGAAAAGATTAACGATGCATACACTGGAGGTGGTGGAGTCCAGCTTCTTCGGCACTTCTGTAAGAGATAATATTTGTATGTGTTCTATACAGCAATTTTTCCAAGGTTGAGTTGCATTCATTCTTATTGCGTTGCAACCCTCTTGTAGTTTCCCATATAGGTCCAGAGTAAGGAGGATGAGAAGAGTTAAGAGTACTTTCGAGGGAGTTGATGGCAATGCTCCCGTTATCAGGATGGACGCCGTTCTTTGAAATCTGTCTAATTTGCTTCTGAAGGCGAATTTATCAAGTGCCGGTCACTAGTATATCCAGTATAGCACTACTCGGTCGTAAACTCCATCTCTTTCCTATGGCCGTTTTGCAGGCGTAGAGTAATTTGGGTGGTTCAAAGGCATACGGTTTGTACCTCCTGGTAAATAAAACCATCTGAGGGTTCCTATCGCTGTGTGTCTAGCAACGCTGGCGTTGCCCATCTCTGCGAAGATGATATTGTTCGTCAGAAAAGACTCTACGAGATCCTCTATGGTCTGTTGAAGACCCATTTCCTGAAGATCCCCTATTACGAAAGCAGGGGGAATGTAATTGAAAGCCCCCTCGATATCGAGGAAAATGCCTAGTGTATATTCTTTCACGGCAAGTCCTTTTTCGATGCTCCCAGCTATATCATGCAGGGTTGTATCAACAAGCTTACCCTTGGAGTAAGCAGGTAAGACTGCCGTGCCGAAAATCCTTTGGATTAACATGGTTGGTTCTTCCTGCTTTTGAGATAAAAATTTCTCTGGCCCTTGTCCATGTTTGTGGGATGTACCCTTCGCAAAGGCAGGTTTTGTAAATTTTACATTGAAATGGGATATCCTCCGCCCACAGTAGTATAAGAGATTTGTAGGGTTGTAAAGACCTAGTCGCCCATTCCATCACATTAAAAAGCCTTATCATTTTTATATTGTTGTTCGCCTCTGGCTTTGCGAGGAGCCAGACTCTCTCTCGACCTGGATGCCTACTATTTGCTATTTAAGCGGCACAGTCTCAGCTCTCGAGAACGTCGAGATAGTGCCGTGCAAATTAATGACGGCCTGTTCGTGTTATATCTGTATCCGATCAAGTTTCTTCGAATTAAATTCATTCAAAATTTTACAAATTGCTTGATCAGTTGAACGATTGTGAGCCACATAATCTCCTCTTAAAGCACTAAACACGGCCACGTTTGATTCACCTGTTTTGTAGTAGGTTGTGAAGCGATCCATTTTCATAAATGTCTGACCTTTAACTAAAGTAAAACAGGTTGGCGGCCGCGTTAGTCGAGTGGGTATGCTGCCATTTGGAAGGCTCGGGCTCAAGTCCCCTTGCGAACAACATACAAAAGTTATAGAAAATTTATTAAAATAAATAATTAAGTTAAATATTCTAATTGGGGTCGCCCCTCATCAAGTAATGTCAGCTACTCCCTGTGTAATTCTGTCATGAAATAAAGGCTCCTCTTAAAAAAACCATCAGCCGTTCGGAAGTGGATTAGCATAAACAGTAAGTCCCTCCATTGGTAGGAAAAACATCAAGACGCAAAAACCACAAATAAGAGGAGGAGCTCGGCGGAAACTCGCTTCAGCGGTGGCAAAGCGCAAATTATATATAACACCAGTTTAGTTTGATAGATGCCAAAACACGGGCGTGATTATTGAAATAACAAAATTAATAACCCTACGTTTGCTAGCTCTGCAGCCCACTTATATGGTTTCTTTTCCCGTTTCATCTCTCGATATCCCTTATTTCGCGCGTGGTGTGGTCCGTTGCAACTTTGCTAGGTGGGCAGCATATTTTTCTCTAATACGATACGGGAATACTCATCGAATTAGTACTTCCGTTGACGAAAACCAATTGTTCCTGTAGTGGAAATGAAATGCCATTGCAAAATCCCTTATATCGAGCTACTGAGCGTTTTATTGCTGGCTGTATGTTTGAAGCCTTTCTTGTGTTTGTTGACGCTACTATTACAACATGATTGATTTGGAAACCTGATTTTCAATCCGACGTCAGCCATGTAGTTAAATTTTATAGTGCCAAAATCTGGTTCTACATACAGCCATCCGGGTACAGGTGAAGTCGAGCACAATCAGCCCGGGGATATTTTGTCCTGGAGGCTGAAATTTTCGACTGTTATACCGAAGACACATTCTATGCCCACCTTGGCGTCAAAACCTCCAAACTCCTCTAAGACCTTGAACCATCTAACCATCGCTTATTTTTGCACTATATTGAAGGCTTTGTTTTCCAAATATATATTATATTTTAAGTTAATGTCATTATGCTTCTTTCATGGAAATCTTTGCCCCAATTGGCAAAAAATTGGGATAATCGATTCTCACAGCCTCTTCTTAAGACCAATTCATCGCTAGCCAAATCATTCGCCATAGACTACAAGGTGAATGCATAAAAACCGCCCAACCAAGCTCTCGGAACTTCTAGCGGGTCACTATGCCGGTGTATGACGTGAAGCACAAGTCCCCCTGTTAGACAAAGTGGGTATCTTCTGGGCTGTTGTTTCTTTCTTCAGTTGGTCAAATTGCTGACTGTGAAGGTCCGAAATAACAGTTTGACTATAAGGTAGCAGATGTAAGTGCTTCACTTTTCATCACCAGTCACCATCCACTTCACTTGGTTCAGTTTTGTTACGATTCGCAGATAGAAATTCGATCCATCAGATTTTTCTCCTTAACTCATACATACATACAGCTTATTTGTGTAAACAGCTTTTTCCAGTTCCAGTTCAAAATGCTGAGATGTGTTAGGTTAAGACAACCACAAAATTGTAATATTATCGATTTCGAACATATGTAGCTTATACTAAAGGTTGGTATGCAGCTATGTGAATGGATATTTCAAAGGAAAGAAGATATGCAAACGTAAAGAACCAAAATGAGAAAAGATTCTACCCTCTAAAAACCTATTCCACCCTATATATGTATGTATGCTTATGTTCAAATGGTTAAAAAAGATTAGAAAGTTGTAGAATTTTATGAAAAAAAACAACAGCAAATACTACATACGTTGAATAGGTCTTTTTATTTGTAACGAAATATACATACATATATATTATAAGTGAGATTATTTACCTGTGCTTTCGTTTTACTCTAAAAACTTTAGAATTAGGCATAAGAAAGATGAGTTTCCCCACATAATTTTTGTGCAGTTTTTTATTTGGAGTTTATAGTTTTCGTTAGAGCTGCGAACCAACCTTAAGCTGAAAACGTTTGCGTCTTTTACAATATTATTACAAGGGTTAAGATAATGACAACTTTGACGTAGAAGAGAGAGAGAGCATTTTACTCTCTCTGAAAGGACTATTATGTATGTTTACTCTTTTTGAATTGAGAAATACGGATATGTTATACATTGTACAGATGTGCATAGGTATGTAGGTACATACACTACACCGTGTAGTACGCACAATGTACAAGTTTTGTTATAACTTGAGACCTAGTCAATAAAAACCACCCTTCTGAATTGGTTGTTTACAATTTTGTTTCCTAAAGCAACTTAATATTATTATAAATTCTTTATATATCATGCAAATTAATAAATCAAGGAGTTTCGCATTACTCGATAATACTAAAGCAAATAATCAAAAGTTTTTGTTAATAGCTCGGGTTATATCCACGCTTTAATGTGTTCCTTGGGATGTTAGTTTACTAAAAACTAGTGACCTTCGTTGCTATGTTTATATGTATGAATATGGTAGGTACATTAAATTACAAATGTCATTCGACATACTTCTGTACAAATATTTACATGAAATATTTATAGAGTGCATTTAACTGTATTATAATTTAAAAAGTATTTCGCATTGCATGATTCCTACAGAAATATAAAAGATATTTCGTGCTGAACCAAATTTCTTTTCAAATCAAAATAGTGTATTTCTTTATTTCCATAGGGATACTGGTGCACATCAGCTGTTGAATGTTCCTCGATCTAACACTGTTGCCAATACAACATGAGATGGGGGAACGCTGTCAGCTGCAATATGAGAAAATTTGAGTAAGTTTCGCTTCTAATTATCTTTGGCTGAGCTATCAATCAGTTCAGTGTTGCACTATTTGATTGTATTATACACATTCAACTAAAGCAGTTTCCCATCCAAACTCATATGTAATTTTGTAAAATTTCACAAGCACGAATTTTCGCAAAAATGATATCCGGAAACTTTCTGGTCTTAAATTTGGGTTGACTTCGATATGGAGGTCATGTTGTTGCAGGGGTTTCCCAACTTTGCTTAGCAACAGGTTGGTTAATCTAAGTCATCGAGCTCATCTAACGGGAGGGACAGAAAACGAGTTGTTTCGACTTATTCAGACCAGAGGAAGATGCAGGGGCGGGTTAGGTGATTTGGTTCTAGGGGGGACTCGTAACATGCATAACATACTTTAGGTATGCCGAATCTGGTTTGGTAAGAGTTTAATCAATATGCTCCAATCAAGGTCCTGCGGCCAATGTTTTGGCATGCTTACAACTTCTACACCTGCGTCTAGTTTGTCCTCGGTGAGCAGATTGGTGCAGCGTAGTTTAAGACCAGCCGGCCAATGGCTTTGTACGTTGTCAATGAATTTTCTTTATCTTTATCGACCTCTCTGCAGAACCCCTTGTTTATTTTTTCTTAGTCTTGATGTTTGACCTCCAAATTTTGCCGATGATTGACGACCACTCAGGTAGCCCATGATCCACCTCGTCAACCCAGCCGATAATGAGGATTATTCAATGTCCTTTAGTGGCACTAAATGGATGACGGGTGTCAACATTTTTTTGCCAGATCCAGTGCGATCAGGACAGTTCGCGCTTAAGGTGGATTGGTTGAAGCCATTGACTACCTGAGTATTTATGTGATTAAGTGCTGTCGTGTTACTGTGCGCTTTGTGGAAGCCATGCTGATGTACTGCAAGACTCAGATGATGTGGGTAAGTCGAAGCGGTAAGACCTCAAGTGTTTTCGCCACTGGGGAGAAAGGGAGATATCGGCCGAAGCGACTCTCCTTTGTTGACTGATTTCTCCGGTTCAAGTATCGGTACCACTTTACCCTTTTCCCACATACCGGGCATTTTTAGGGTGGTCAGAGACAAGTTGAAGATTCGAATGGATTCAAAAAACTTTCGTTTTTTCGTTGAGCATCAGTTTTCGCAGACTTGTCGCTTCATTCTGTCAACCGAAGGGTGTAGTGTAAGAAGTCGGCTTAAATAGCTCGCGCATTTCTTCGAGTCCGACGAGGCGCAGTCACCGTATGAAATTCTAGTACGACCAACATCCAAAAATTATAGAAAATTAATTTAAATAAAGATTTAAGCTAAATTTCCTAGTTGTAGTTGTAGGTTGTATTTCTGACATGAAATAACAGCTCTTTATAAAAACCATGAGCCGTTCGGTGACCTTTTTATATAAAATGTAATTCTGTACAAAGCCCAATTGTACACTTCGCGTCTCGTCGGGTTTGACAATGATTCGACTTTGACCCAGAGGTAGGTTGCCACTGAAGAGAGGTTGCCGGATCTTAAGACCTCCTCCGACTATTTATTCTTATAAATGTTAACTATTTGCCGAATCAAGACGGTGCCACATGCCACATAGCACATGTAAAAATGGACTTTTTGAGAGACGAGTTCGGTGAACATTTTATTTCACATTCGGGACCGGTCAATTAGCCGCCAGGATTGTGCGATTTAAAGCATTTAGATTATTTTTTGTGGGGCTATGTTAAATCTAATGTCCATACAGACAAACCCGCTTCAATTGACGCATTGGAAGACAACTTTGAAGCACTTATTTCTGAGATACCGGGCGGAAATGTTGGAAAGGGTACCCCAAATTCGGACTAAGTGGATGGACCATTTGAGACGCAGTCACGGTCGATATTTGCCTAAAATAATCTTCAAACCTGTAATTATATGGACAGTACTATCAATTAAAATAAATATTTCATGCATTTTTCGGAATCTTCTGTGTTTTTTGTTGTTGAAAAACTTTCCTTTAGCTCTTAAAAAACCACCAGTTAAAATGACTACGAAACAGCAAAGTGAACACGACAATTTCATGTGATTTCCACCTATACCCTATACTACTTCTCAGCATCTGCAAGAAGTAGAGTTTTGTTTAACTTGCTATTTTTGGCAATCTGGCAGCATAATTTTTCGTAAATTTGTCAATCCCTTTCAGATTTAAATAGAAAATCATGAAATAAGTTTAAAATTTTTTCAGCATTTATATTACGATACTGGATTGAATTACTTCAAAGGAATAATAAATGAATAAATACAAACATAATAGATTTAATTTCAGACATGAAAGTGTCCTTTTTGGCATTTTAGTCATACCTATCATTGCTTATCGTATAAGTTGGCGAGTTTAAGAATCAACATTAACATTTCAATCGTTAACAAAATTATTGTTGGTTTCGGTTTTTAGAGTGTCTCAAATTAAGTCTATAATAAACATTTTTTTGTTCTTGTTGTGTAAATAATGCCTTGTATAATATTTTTGGATGTTAATTTTAATAAATTATGTAACATATAAGGTCTCTTCAAAGTTTTTCACCACTTAAATTTAAAATATTATAATAGTTATGGTCGGGGAAACGCTCCAATTCGATATAATCCATTTCAGAATATAACAATTTATCTAACATCTGAACTAGTTCTAAAAATGTCGGGCGGTCACCAGCATCACTTGACCAGCAGTAATACATAATATTGTAGAGTTCACGACGACAGTGATCCGGTTTTTCAAGACGGTATCCATCTCGTACCTAAAAAAAAAGACATTTTAGTCATAGTGTTATAAATAAAAAATTAGCATGCAAAAAAAAGATGGCTGTGAACCTAGAGAAGGCAGTCTTTGTGAACTCTACCGTTGCGCAGTTCATTTATTACGGAATCTGCTTAAGTTCACTTAAGCTTAACTGAAAGTATACAACTATTAAAACTAAATTAGGAACGTGTTAGCTGAAGTTAACTCAGAGCCCTTTTCAAACTATGGCTCTCTCATTCGCAAGCGAGAACTTCTGGATGAGCTGCACAAAGCGTTAGCTAATGAGTGGGGATGAGGAGGTCATTTCGGCTTTAGGCATAACCAGTAGGTTCCGAAGGTCTCAATGTATGTTTACACTAAAAACGTACCGAGGTGCGACCGTTATTAATTCTGCTTAGAATTTTGGTATAAAGCTTTTGTATATACTCAATACTAGTTGCATAGCTGTTGTTGTTGTTGTTGTAACGAGAACAGGCTATTTAATCTAAGTCACCTGTTGCGATCCTAAGGGCGGTGTTTTGGGCAGGCAAGTACCTTCTAGGTTTTTATCCGATGCCTAGATCGGTGCAGCGTACTTTAAGTACGTAGGTTGTATTTGTGGAGTATATTTCTGACAGTAAAGAAGTGGGAAAGGTCGTCGTGATAGCAGTTTACTTTTGGACATAGGTTATCAACATCAAAATGCAGAAGTTAAACAGTAATGGGAGAGTGTTCGGTAACTGGGGAAAAGAGAGATATCGGGCGATAGGCGATAGGAAACCTAGCACACCTTTTTCCACATATCGAGTGTTTTTAAGACGGTCAAAGATCCTCAGTGTTAGCATCAGCATGCTTATTCTGTCGGGGCGGAAGAATTTGGAGGATTTCACCTTCCCAATGACCGTTTCAATTCCCAGCAGAAATCAAGCGAAGCTGTGGTGTTCGTTTGCGACGTTTCATTTTGTCAATCGAAGGGTGCAGTGCAAAAAGTTGGATTCGTGTCCAACGAGGTGCAGTGAAATCACCACACAATAACAGAGGTTAGTTGACCAGAGGAGAAGTTACAGGATCTTAAGCGCTTCTCCCATTATTTTTCGCTTATGAATTCACCGAATCTCCTGACTAATTTCCCTGATTACGGGATTACCGGGGTCAGCGTTATGATGTAGTCGCGCCTTGATGCTAGTACTGCCGCCATTCGGTCTACCGGGATGAAGGGATGAGGGGAACATCAGGGGTTACGACAATTCTGCGGAATAAACGTTCGTCGGCTGTGTGACCGATAGAGTGAAGAAAGCACTGAAGGCGTCTTCGGTAAATTCCGTGAATCCGCCCGCATCATCCCGGCAGGCCGAATTGCTGAGATCCGCCCAAAATTTCCCGATGGAAGCGACGGTTTTAGCATCAAGGCGCGACACTCTTCGAAACATCGTCTCAGAAATCCTCTAATCAGGGATTTGAACGCGGAGATTCGCGAAGTAGTTAAGAATCGCAAGCAGAAAAAGTGGGAGGAGCATTTAAGGTCCTGCAGTCAAGCTCTGGGCTGCAGTCAAATCGTTGTCTATTCCGACGAGACGCGAGGACCGAGTGCAAATTTTATTCGGTGGCCGCGCCTCGTCGGACCTGAAGAGCTGGGTGAGCTAGGCGACGTTTTACATTACATACTTCGGTAGACAAACTGAAGCGACGAATAGCCCACCGTTTGCGCAAACTGCAAGTTTCTAGAGGGAAGAGGTTCCGGGGGTCATCGGGATGGCATAAGCGTTCAAATCTATCGGCCCCAACAAAATAAGCATGTTGACGAAATATGCTTAAACATCTTGGACCAGCGGGAGCAAACTTCCTCACCAAGGTTCTCAATTTGTCTTTCACCACCCTAATGATACCCGATATGTGAAAAACGGGCAGAGTGGTCTTGTTGTTTAAGCCGGGTAAACCAGCCAACAATGAAGAGTCTTATCGGACTTGAGGCCTTGCAGCTCCCGACTTTCACTCACCACCTGCGTCCAACAGCACATCAGTTAGGCTTCCGTAAAGTGCACAGTGTCACAACAGCACTAAACGCCATAAACACTCATATAGTCAATAGTCTAAAACAAAACCGACCCCGTCAAAAGATTTCGACACCGTCAACCATTCAGTGCTGCTAAAGTACATTGAAGAAAGCTCATTAGCCGGGGTTGCAGACGTGGATCATGGGTTACCTGAGTGGTCGACAATCATCGATAATATTTCGAGGTGAAACAGCAAAACTTAGGAAAATTAACAAGGGATTCCGCAGATGGTATGCTTTCCCCACTACTGTTTAATTTCTACATTCGAAACTCCCTCCTTCACTAGAAGGTGTTTCCTTAACCTCATATGCCGATGATTGCATGATATTGGCATCCGAACAGGATATTGACTACCTCTGTTCAAAAGTGAACTGCTATCTTTCCGATCTTTCCCACTTCTTCACTGCAAGACAGCTGAAATTACAACCAACCAAATCGTCTTCCGCAGTTGGATAAAGGAAACGTGTTCAGGCCTGTAGAATTAGATGAGAAGGTCGATGACGTAAAAATTCCATCTCCTCCACCTAGTCATATCAGAACGGGAGTACTTGATATGAAGGACACCATCTTAAGCCGCCACATCTAGCCCTCCTCTCCCTCTGGTCCAATCCCGTCGAAATAGCACGTTTCCTGGACCTCCCGTTAGATGACCTCGGCGACTTAGATTAACTAATCTGTCCTTAAGCGAGTTAAACGTAGCCACTACAACAACAACTATATAGAACCATGAGCTGTACCAGTTGTGCGGCGACATTGATATAATTCAGCGAATGGAGAGACACCGGCCACGCTGGCTCGGAAATGTCATCCGTATGTATGAAAGCGCTTAGCTTTGAAAATGCTCGATGCAGTACCCGCCGGTGGAAACAGATAAATAGGAAAACTTCAACTTCGTTGGAAATATTAGACAGAAAGAGATTTGGTTTCAATAGGTATTTGCACATGGCGCCAAACAGCGAAGAGAATTACGGGTATTATTGATTAGGCTTGGTGTATAAGATTTATCCATAAGCCAGTGAATATCTTGCAATCTCTCTTTGGGATTCTGGTTATAAATCTCCAGTTCTGTCTTGTACATAGCATCTTTCTATGCCTCGCAAATTTTTTGCTGCAAGTGCTTTCAAATCAGCGGATTTTTCCTCATTACTATAGCTTTTGCTGTAACGGTCTTTTCGAACTGGAGTTTAAAAAACCTGGAAATTAATGCCACAGTCAGGGGATCATGTTTTTACCCTGAGAGCGTTTAGCGAAGCGAAATTTCTAAATCAACCTTCCCACTCATTGACTTTGGTCTGAATTGTTTCCTTAATTAGCTCCTTTATTTTATCTTAACGTTCTTAGCTTTTATCCTCTCTCTCTCTCTCAATCTTTAAGGTATTTGCTGTCTTTGATCAATTTCTCCTAAAAATGTATGCTATGGGATAAAATACGTGATTCTTGGCTTTGCAGTTCTAACTAAATCTCTGCCATTTGTGCATCCTATGCGTGTATCTTGTGAAATACGAGCATATATTTTATTCATCTTTTGTGACATTTCGCATTTATTTGTGAAGTATCCTAAACATCCATTTGTAAAATTTCAGCCAATTTCACACTCATTCCAACACCATTAGATGAGTACTATATTCCTTAGTTTTAGTTGCTGATTGCTTCAAATCATTCGAATATTTAATAGCCTCTTCCTACTCTACATATTCTGTGTCTTCGTTCTCGCATAGAAGCTTCAACGGCTTTATGTTTTTGATAACCCTCTCTTTACCACTTCTTTTTTGGTTCAACAGATTGTGAGAGTAAGATAACACCCCATTAAATTCAAATCATTAATTTTATGTAGTAAAACTTTGTGGCGAAATGTTTATGTTCATATAAAGAATAGGAGATTCGCTGAAAACATAATAATTACACGATTAATGCTAGACATACTCACCTTACGCATGACATCAGAAGCGGATATGCCAGGATATGGTGTTGACCCTAAAGTGACAATTTCCCACATCAGTACACCGAAACTCCAAATATCAGATTTCAGGGAGAATACATTGTCATATAGCGATTCTATAGCCATCCATCTAAATAAATAATTAAAAGAAATCATAGTACATAAATTTTATGTTTACTTTTCTTATTTTATTTCGAATGCTTGATGTATTTTTATAAAGAGTTTTAATTTCATTTTATAAATCACCGATTTTTTTACTTTTACTGGCACGTATTTTTACGCGAGCACCGAATACAACCACGAAAAATCGTGTTTATTACTGAAGAACTTTTCAATGATTTCGTTTTTACTGAAATTTCATAACATTCGGGTTGAAGATGGTACACTTTCTCGTTCATATGACTCTATGAATGCAATAATGACATCAATTTCTTGTTTTAAGACATAAATTGTGTATAAAGAAGTGCACAAAATGAGTATTTCTTTTAAGCTACAGTAGCAATATTTTCCTCTGAACGCACTGGACGTGCGCGTACTCGAGTTGTTTTGCCCGATAACGAATCGGTGTGGCAAACTCGATGCCCAAATTGATCCACAAACTGTTAGGAATAAATTACACGTGTTCGATTTATATTATACGATTCAACCACGTTGTTTAGATACATATGTTTGCGACAAGACACCGTCAGTTGCTGAAGTGTACGATTTTGGAAGTTTTCATTATTCGCAAGTATTAAAATTTTTGGAAGTGATATTTCAAAAAAAAAAAATATTATTTATAAGTAGGATAAACAGAATAGGGCTTAAATGGCTACCGTGGGCCACTCCTTAGGAAATTTTAATGGAATTTGAGTTCGGTCAAAAATTTGTTGAAGTCGCTGTTACATCAATGCTTGTATTTTTTCTGAGCGTGTAAGAAGTAAGCTGGTAGTTGTTTATTTTCCATTAAGAACCCCATTTTTACAATATGACGTAACAGAAGATTGTATAAATGAGTAAAAGTTTCGTAACTGGAGTACTTTTACGAAGTCTTGCTCCATGCTTAACGGGAGTTTTGCGGCATTTCAATTTTATTATAATTATAATTGACCGCTGAAGCGATTTTTGGCCGAGCTCCTGTTCCGTGTTGTGGTTTTGCGTCTTGATGTTTTTTCAACAAATGAAGGAACCTACAGTTTATACTAAACCGCCTTCGAACGGCTGATGGTTTTTTATGATCACCTTTTATTTCAGGTCATAAATACAATCGGAGGGTTGAGGAGCCGACCACAATTAGAAAATTTAACTTAACTTTTCTTTAAATTAAGTTTCAATAATTAACTTTCAATAGGCCATTGAAAAAACCTCATTCGTTTTTTTAAGGACATTTTCACACATTACTAGCAGACCCAACGAACTTCGCCTGGCTTGAAATCTTCTAATCGATTTTAGCGCGCCATTCGTCTGTTCTCTTCTCTGTTTGGCGCCAATTGGAAATACCAAGTGAAGCCAGGTCGCTCTGCACCTGATCGTTCCAACAAAGTGGAGGTCTTCCTGAGTACTGCATCGAATACTTTCAAAATGGAGTGATTTCATCAACTCGGACAACATGACCTAGATAGCGTAGCCGCTGTCTCTTCATTCGCTGAACTATGCCAATATCATCGTATAATTTATATAGTTCATCGTTCTATCGTCCGCGGTATAATGCTGACTCATCAGATTTTCTCATTGACTAAGCTTCCATGCAGGACTTGTAGTTTGGTTTTTGTTCGCCGAGAGAGGACTTTACTTCTTAATTGCCTGCTCAGTCCAAAGTAGCACCTGTTAGAAAGAGTAATTATGCGTTGGTTTTCAATTGGTGTTAATACTGGTTCCAAGTTAGACGAAGTTATCTACGACTTCAAATGACTGTTTGTGTGATGACAGGAGATTTTCGTCTTGCTCTCGTTCACTAACAAACCCATTTGCCGCGGTTCTTTAACGAGTAGGGAGAAAGCAGAATTAACGGCGCGGTTGTTGAGGCGAATAATGTCGATATCATCGGCGTACGCCAGCAGCTGTACAACATTGCAGAAGAAAATTAAAGATGTCACACGATAAGGAATAACTTTATCTCAAACCTCATTTGGTATCGAACAGCTGAATAAGTTTTGGAGGGATACCAAGTTTAGACATAGCGGCGTAGAGGCAGCTCCTCTCAGTTCTGCACCGCAGTATTTGATTAGCTTTGTTGTTCTTTAGATAGCTATTCGGACTTCTTCATAGTCGGGTAACGGAACAACTTTTCTATCGTCTTCAATTGGAATTTCGGGTCTACCATCACCGGGTGTTTTTTCGAGCATTACTCTTGTCGGCCTGCTTCTCAAGCTCCTTGTACTCACGCATTTCGCCCTCTTTCTTTTTTCCCCTGCAAATGCGCCGTACTTTCCTCTTCAGCTCCTGGTATTTATCTCACCCCGCTCGTGTCGTGGTCGATCACAAGGTTGCAAGGTAGGCAGTCTGTTTTCTCTCCACCGCGACACGGCATTCTTCATCGTACCAGCTGATTTTGCGACCTTTCCGAAATTCAATAGTTTCGTTTGCAGCTGTACGTAATGAGCTTGAAATGCCATCCCACAATACTCTTATACCGGGTTGTTGATGAGTGCTCTCAGAGAGCAAGTGCGCAAGTCGAGTAGGAAACCGCTCGGCAGTCTGTTGTGATTGCAGCTTTTTAACGTCGAACTTCCCTAGTGTGTGTTGACGGGCGTTCTTCGTTACACAGAGGAGGGTGCGTTCCTTAGCTGCGACAATATAGTGATCCGAGTCGATATTAGGACCCCGGAATGGATGCACATCTAAAACACTCGATGCATGTCTTCCCTCAATCACAACGTGATCGATTTGGTTGAGAGTTTTTCGATCTGGAGACAGCCAAGTAGCTTGGTGAATTTTTTTGTGCTGGAATCTAGTGCTACAGACAACCATATTTTGAGCCCCGACGAAATCGATCAGCCTTCGCCCATTAGGGGATGTTTCGTCGTGAAGGCTTAATTTTCCGACTTTTGTTCGCCTTCAAACGGATGTTTGTTGGCTAACCAGAGGATACTTGGTCTAAGACCGTAAGTCGTGAGCTGCTTAAGCCTTATGAAAAAAAGATCGTGATGCCTTCTATCAGACTATGGAATGGACTAGGCCAATCAAATATCTGCTCGGTGACCCTTGATGCACTTCCGAAAACTTTTAAATTTTAATCCAAACCATAGAAACGATATTTTCGAATAGATCGATACAATGCACTTTTCCTGGAAACAAAAGTAATATTCCTGCTTACCTAAGCAAAAGACTACCAATGTATCAAATTTCAAGAAACTCGAACATTAAATTCAAATTTTTTAAATAGATCAGTCCCCGGGCCACTTCCCGGAGAAAAGTAGAGTATTCACCTATATACCGAATTTCAAGTAAAGCGAACCATAAATAACATTTTTTCGAATAGATCAGTCCTAGGTCCTCTTCCCAGTGTATAAAATTTATTTTTGCTTTTACTGAACATGCACCTAAACTTTCATTAAATCGGTCAAACCGTTTCGGAGGAGTATCGTGTCCAACACTGTGACACGAATAATGCCGAACACTTACAACGTCTTAAACTCTCTACCGGATACAAACTCTGAAATCTTGTACTTAGACTATAAGGTAGAATTTAAAAAAAAAATATATCTCGAAATAAATATTTAAATTATGCTTACCTTATTGGCAATTTTCCTTCACTTTTCCGCTCGTATATTTTAGAAGTAATGACGTCACGAGCAAAACCAAAGTCTGCCACCTTGCACGTATGATCCTCGGTTATGAGAATGTTTCTTGCAGCCAGATCTCTATGAATTATCTGAATATATAGAAACATACTAGAAAGTTGATATTGTGAATTTAATCATAGATCAAGTTAAATTAATATGAATAAAAATGGCCGATAGCCCCAACTGCTAGTTGCCTTTAATATAATGTAATTATTCATAATTATTTTTCATTCAAATAAATTAATATGAATAAAACGTACGTATATTTTTCAAGAGAATTTTCATCGCCTAGAACTTTTCAACATAGTCCCTCAAAATTAGAAACCTTGGCTCATATTTGCATATGTTACACACTTGTGGGACCGAGTGTTTTACGATAAGAAGAATTTCAACTTTAAAATAGTCATAATGATTAATTATATATATGTTAACAAAAACTCACAATCGTCAACTCCGTTTACCAACAGACATCGGTTATGTTAGCTGTCAATCAAAAAGTGATTTTATAGAGAAAATTGCCTATTGCACTAAGGGCCATTTTCACCATCTCCGGTTGAGCAATAATCATCACTTAATCGGAAGGTAGCATAAAATTTGTGTTTTGCAATGTCCGGTTAAGGCACATCTGTCAATTAAGTTGCGGTTAACTTAACGCCAGCATTCAGTGGCGATTAGCTCTAAGCCAGAAGATAATTTGACAGCTGGAAATTGTAAAATAATAAAATAGTATTCCGGTGTTAACTTTGAAAAATTTTTACCTTTCACTATTATTATTTTTTATTTCATTTTTATTTTCAAATAGCTAAAATCTGTTACTTTAAGTAATTATTGAACTTGTGCCTACTAATTTCATTTTTTAAAAGATAAATTTTCAACTTTCTAAAATTAAAAAAATATATGACAAAAAATAAAAATAAAACGTGCTCAGAGAAAATTCAAAGCATTTGCATTGTATGTTCTGAAATCTCATGGAAATAAAATTATTTTCAGACGGCTTAGCATTTTTTTTGTAAAAAAAAAGAAATATATGGAATATTTTCGAAGTGACAATAATCTTGAAGTTAAAATGAAAATAAGTTATGAGCCAAAAAATCTCTTTCTGTCAATTTTATATTGAGTGAAACTACCTTGCTTTTTTATGTCATGGTTCCATACAGATATTAAAGTCAGTCTGTCAACAAAGTATCCGCTTAAATTACTAGAAAAGTGTCATCATTTTCTGTTTTCTGAGTAAAGAATGGATGGTTTCCGATGGTCGTATGCAATATATTATAACGAATTAGTTTTTATTCGGATATTTCGTATTTCCAATATTAAAGTAAAATACGTTGCTGTAGTGACACTTTTCCAATCAATACTGAAAAAAGATGAAAATCTAGAGCAAAATTCACATATTTTACCGAATAGCCAAGTTTAGAAAGGTGTTAGGGTGTTTAGATTGTGCTCATGTCAGAAAGTGCCGAAAGTTTTCGAGGCAGAAAAGGGTACTTCTAAAATGACAGTAATGGACTTTGTATGTAGGTAACCTCGATCTTGGAGTGACCGGATTAATTTTAATAAAAGCTGCCTGAACCACCGGTTTGAGCAAAACGTATTTAGGGACTTCTTTTAATTGGGTGGTAGTGGCTATGGTTTATCAGCAACTACATGATGCGTCAACTTTTACATCCCAATCTTCGCGCTGAACGTCTTTACAATAAATAACAAATCCGTATTCGAAATTGCATACGGAGGAGCTATGAATTGAAAGCTTCGCTCAGCACAACTGTGAACATCGTTGTTGCCTGTAGAGTGTTGCACAATTTTGCTATCTAGAATGACACTAATTTGGATGAGGTAGAAGTTGAAGCGAATGAACCAGCAGAAACATCCGTTGATGCCGTCGCAAACATAGCTGAGGTGCAAGAAACGTATGTATGTATATGTATGTCGTATATACATGTAATTTCAAAGTGTTTTTTCCCAAAATATATGAAATAAATTTCATTAAATTACATTTTTTACCATAACTTGTTCATAACCAAAAATTAAAATTTTAAAATTAAAAAAGAAAACGCAAATTTTGGGGAATTTACCATAAAATATTCACAATGATCAAACTAACCAGAAGTTAAGTAACCAGAACTAGATGAAAACGAAATTGTCGCATAAGCCTATCTGACGGTTAGCTATCCTCCTGTTAAAGGTTAAGCAAGTCGAACATTGTAAGTCGACATACTATGGTTTAGTACCTGTAAATTTTACATAGAACTTTCAAACCCTGAAAATCACTTCCTTCCTTTTTAATAAACTGGACAATCCACGTCAATATTTATACATGAAAGATGACCGATTATGTCTTGTACATTGCATACGACCAGCGGAAACCACCACTCATGAGAACTCTTTACTCTGAAAACAGTAAACGATGACGCTCTTCTTGAAATTTAAGCGGATACTTTGTTGACACACTGACATTGATGTCCTGTGATGAATACATGGAACCATGATATACAAAAAGGAAGGTAAATAGTTTCACTCAATATAAAATTGACGGAAAAAGAATTTTTGATATCACGTATTACTTTTATTTTAACTCCAAGATTATTGCACATCAAAAATATTTAATATATTTCTTTTTTTTTATAAAAAAAAATGCTAAGCCAGCTAAAAATAATTTTATTTTCATTAGATTTCAGAACATACAATGCAAATCCTTTGAATTTTCAGTATATATGTTTTATTTTTATTTTTTGTCATATATTTTTTTAATTTTAGAAAGTCGAAAATTTATTTAAAAAAAAACGAAATTGGTAGCACAAGGCGCCAAGTGCAATAATCACTTAAAGTAACAGATTTTAACTATTTGAAAAAAAATATATAATGAAAAATAATAATAATGAAATGGAAAAATGTTCGCAATACTTAGAATTTTCTGGAAACGAAAAAAAAAATGGATCTACCATAGCGAGACGTAATATTTTATACAAAAATACAATAATACAATTAACAGATCTGTCTTAATAATTTTTGAATTCTAGAGAAACTCCACTTGTACGAGTTTTCGATTGTGCTGAAAGTATTGTAACATACTCAAATTATCCAGAATTGATGGTATGAGTAGCACCGAAGCCGATACTTTTCTCAACTAGAAATAAAATTTCCCATTTTGAACTTTAATTTATTAGCGGTAGAGTACTTCTCTCGATAGAATATTTGTGGGTTGATTTTATTGTAGTACCAACCTGACAATGAATATTGAAAGCAAATCGGCAGTAAAAACCAGCTCAAGTATGTTAGTATATGAAAGTCACGATACCAACCCTAATTATACGTAAATTATGTCAGACGGTGGCGCTTAATGTAATTCCATGTCAAATGCCCTTTGCAACTATGGCTCTAAAACAGACTGCGGAATTTTAATATCTTCCTTTCTTTCCAATTGCTACTAAAGTTGACTTCTAAGTGTCGAGAATATTCTTGTAAGGCTTCAAGGTGGCACCCTATTTATTCGTATGCTTTAATACAGAAAGCAAGAATAATCTTATTTTACAATATTTAGAATTTTCTGCCGTCAATGATAAACTAAACTAACTGACCAAAGACTATGAAACCAAGTTGCACTCCAACTACTTTGGGGTTATGTATTCCTGCAACAACAGATGAGACCCTCCTACTTCTAACCTTTAATAACTAAATGCTATTGATCATGTCTCAGCATTTTGTACTTACCCCTCGAGATGTCAGATAATCCATACCTTTGGCAACTTGATACATGAAAGACGTCAGATCAGCTGATGTAAGAGTTTTAGACTTCCCGTGGGTATTGCCATAATGTCTATTGAAAAGAAGCATATAAAATATATGTAAGTAGGCACATAAAAATATTTTTGTATGTTATTACTATTTTATACTGAAGGGCGAAATACAAAGTTGAATTTACGGAAGTGACAATTATGGATTGATAGTTGGTAGTATAACCACCTGGATACACCTGAACAAGGAAGCAAAAAGCAATGTCTAAAATATCTCGTGTTATTAACCAAACAGTCAGAGCATCTGCACTCCAAATAGTTGATAGTCCTAACTGTAAAGTTTCGTCTATTTCCAGCATTCTTTTTCACTCTTTTTATATTTTTTTAAATATAATATACTGACTGTTGAAAAACAGAAGCCTTCAAAAGCTTTATGGTTCACATCATCAATTGGAGTTTAGTCGTTTTACTGCCCTTGCTTTTTGCATAGTTGTAGCGATTCGGCAACCGCATTGAAAGAGGTCCTGGAAAGAAGTTGTTTCGATGGGTTCGAACCTAAATGAAGGGGTGTCGTTTGAGCCGATTTTAGTGGTCATTGAAAGAAGTGGTCATTGAAAGAAATGGTTAGTATCGTAACTATTAAATGCTGAACATAAGTTGAGTGCGATGGGGTAAGGAGTTTAAATATCCAGTAGAGCTTCAATAATGCCTAAGAGCTGACACGTCGTATCCAGTAGTTTTGTTAAATACCTCTGAGTGGAGTCATAGAGCGGAAAAGAGCAGATTGTTTAATTTCACACCGTTCGCTTAAAAGAGTCGCCTTGAATTTCACGAGTGGCAGTTATAAGTGTCTGACAGTGAAGAAATGAAAGAAGAAGACAAAAACGTGCGCTGAGATTACGCTACATCGACTCTCTGCTCGTGAAGTAGCGAGAAGAATTTTAAAGTTTCAGACATCCCCATACCCGAGAATGGAATATATTTGCTCAGAAATTATCTACGACCTCGAAGTTTTGACTGACAACAGTGACGTGGGAGCCAAGTCGCGAATGCAATGGACTATTTGTTTGCAATTCGTCCTATCATCGTTCACTACCAGACCCTTTCGCTTGACTTTATTAAGTCCGGGGAAAGCAGACCTAACGACACGGTTATTAAGGCAAATGATAACAATATCATCGCCATATGCCAATAGTTATACACTCTTATATTATTATTATTTTCTCCAGCATCAGATCGACGAAATCGCACTGTCCCGAAAGGCTAGCAGATGTTCTTCTCGAACCCGACTGAGCTTTTGGTGTTGCTTAGCGCCCGTTAATATAGTCGTAAGAGTTTTTTCGGGGATACCCATTTCAGGCATAGCGGTGAATAGACAGCAGCTTTCGTACTATTTAATGTTGCTTTAAAATCGACAAATTTTCTAAAATTTGACACATAGTTTAACGGTGTGCTTTAGTCTTTCACACAATGCACTTGACAGGACCTCATATGCCATATTAATGAGGCTTATCCCACAATAATTGGCGCAGACTGTGGGATCGTTCTTTTTGTGGATTGCGCAGAGCACACTCAAGCTTTAATCGTCACGCATGCTCTTATCCGATCATATTTTGCAAAAAAGCTCATGCATGCACCTGATCAATTCCCAGCTAGTTTAAAAAGCAGCTGATTTGTGATCATGAGCTTGAATTTTTGTCAACAAATTAAAATTTATTTTAAATTAAAATTGATGAATTAGAAGTTAAGCATGTTGAAGGCATAGAATTAGAAAATTTTTTGTTCAACTCAAAATGATTTTAGAATCCTTAAATTTATAAGAAAGCAGTGTCGACCAAATTAGTAGTTCAGCTACACTATGCAATAAACCGCTTTTCTAAAACAACTGATAATAAGACGAACAAACATCGCCTGGAACGAAAAATTAATAGGTGTACATAAACAGATGGCCATACATGTAGTTATGTATGCTGCACTTTATGCATGGCAAAAGTTATTTTAAAGAGCCTTTCGGTCTCATAAAGGGCAATAACTATAATAACCAGACCTACGTCTCGTTGCATTATTAAGCTTCCGGTAGCACGACGATGCGCAAAATGAAATATATATTCGTATAAGTGGGGTTTAGAAGAAAAAAATGAAAGCCTACAGTTTTTTAATATAAGCCACTAGGGGTGAATTGATGGTGGTTGATATGTTTAAATAAACTAATAAATGAACTCTTATAAATACATACATACATTTAAATATAAAATTAATATACACAAATAATATGCAGATAATTTGCTAACCTTTCAGCACGTGAATTCCTAAGATATGTTTGCAATTTTCCGCAATTCACGAACTCCATAATAGCAAAAATTGGATCCTTGTCTGTGCAGCACCCAAGTAACCGAACAACATTAATGTGTGGCTTTAGTGACTTCATGACCTTAAATAATATGAATTCAAAGATTTATATACACGCAATACACATAAAGTATATAAAGGGTGATTCTTTAAAAGCTGAAGGAAAGTTTTTCAAAAAAAAGGAAAAGAAAACTCATAAAATGCAGAAAAATGCATGAAATCTTTATTTTACTCAATAGTACGGTCCATATAATTTAATGTTTGAAGATTATTTCTTGCAAATGATGAACCTGACTACGCCTCAAATGGCTTTTATTCGTGAGATACCCGCCGAAATGTTGGAAAGAGTATGCCAAAATTGGACTAAGCGGATGAGTCCAATTTTGACATACTCTTTCCAACATTTCGGCCGGAATCTCAAGAATAAATACTTCAATGTTGCCCTCCAATGCGTGGTAGCGCTCACCACTCACAGTTCCATTACGATTCGCATCTTGTTTGAAGAAGTGTGGTCTAATGATGCCACGAGCTCATAAACCGCACCAAACTGCGTTGTTTTCTGGATGCATTGCAATACTTCTGGCTGATCTTCACTTCAAACTAGACCATTCTGATTACTTACGCACACATTAAGCCAAAAAATGAGCTTGGTCGCTGAACACAAATTGAATGGAAGATGAGCTTTCTCTACAGAGCATGCATTTTGATAATAAAATTCAATAATTTGCAAGCGTTACTCGTTTGTAAGACGATTCATAGTTGAATTATAGACCAAACTGAAGATGTTTGCCAGTGATACAAAACAAGGAACGTGCGTCAGCTGTTTAAACCAGAGTTGTCAAGAAGATCATAAATAAGAAATCACCCTTTACTAAGAATTTAATTTATTTAATCAATGTAGACATTTACACCAATAATTGGCGATAGTAAGTCGGTGCTTTTTTAACCGGGCAAATCAAAACAGACGAATAAAGGCGGCGACAAAAGGTAACAAAAGATTGACACTCCGTCAAAGAGGGAAAATACGCGATAAAGCAATACAAAATAAACTGAAATGCATTTTAAATAAAAACAGAGGTCAACGTAACGTCTCAACAAATTGCCAGGATGTGTTCAGCGCCTCTCCGAAAGTTGAGTGTGCGAAATTGAAAAGCAATCCATGTTTAACAGCCCAGCACAAGCTAGAGCGATTAAGATTTGCCAAAAAAAGTACCGGTTCTAGACAAAGGAGCGGTAGTAAGTTATTTTTTCGGACGAGAAAAAATTCAATTTAGACCAGGGCCAGTTTGCTACAGTTGTTAGTGCGATGATCTAATCAAACAAAATGTGGTGTGCTCGAAGCGAAATTTTCGGAGGAGAGTCATAGTTTGGGAAGCATTTTGCTAAGATTCCAAGCTTAATCTGGTACCCATAACTTGCCCCATTAACTCCACAGCATACACAGACCTACTCCAACAAAAACTTCTACCATTTTCAAGGCAAGCGAAAGTAATCGAATACGTATTTCAACAGGACAATGCTTCTAGGCAAACAAAGGCAGGGTTGGAGAGCCAAGAAGTGCCTTTACTTGATTGGCCGGAATGCAGTCCGGATTGTAGGAAATCTATGGGAAGTAATGGCAGGAAAAGCTTACAGTAAAGGGTGCCAATAGCGAAAGATCAACGAGCTTAAAAAACTCAATTCAGCAATTTTAGCTTGATTTGAGCAGAGATTTGCTCAAAAATCTTGTTGAGTCTATGCCAAGTCGCATTTTTGCTGTTATTGAAAACCGAGGTGGCCATACCAAGTACTAAGATTTAGTTAAAGTTTGGAGTTTTATCTTATTTGTGATATGAAGTGGAGTTCGCTTAAAGGAATGTCTACTTAAAAATGCCAATTTCTTTGAAATTATGTTAAGTTTTTACTAATTACTGTTAAATTGTTAAAACTTTAAGTTAAAAATATGCAAAACAATAAAATGAATTGCTTCCCATCTTTAAATGCAACAATTAAAGCTTTTTTTTATTAAAAACTCAATATACTAACCTCAATTTCACTCATTAGATCTTTTTTCTCGATTTCAGTAGCGTTTTCTTTCAACGTTTTTACAGCTACGGTAGTAACGCCCTCGATGCCTATAAAATATGAAATTCATTTAGATGTATCTACGTATATTTCAATGTATCAATTTTACAATAATAAGAGAAAATTATAATATGATATAATATGAGTACATTTACATACAAATCCTTATAAAAGAAGAGATAAATTGTATTTATATCAGAAGCGAAAATAAACAGGATCAAAATTATTCAAATTTATTCAGAGTTCAAATCATTTATGTGGACCTTACTCAATGTTAGTTTTGAACAGCTGATTTCATAGTGATTGCGAAGTATCTTTGAGTGATCTTCTAGAAGTACATACATATATCCTGTTCAATACTATAACATCTATGCCGTTGCTTACCACACTATCCCGACTTCAATACCTACAGTAGGCTTGTTGTCAGCAAGCAGTGGCTCGTAAGAATCATAGGCAGCTTAGCGCCATGCTCTATTAAGAGCCTTCTTTATGCTTTTATCCGAAGTTCCATTGCTCATTTTGGCGCTTATTCCGAGTTGCTTTTTATAATTATTTATTTATTTTTTTTTCGAAAACTTATATTGAATATTTTTCAAAATTTGTTTAAATAATAACATTAACATCGCAACAAAATCTATCCGTTTCTGAAGCGGATTGTGACTGGCGATGAAAAATGGATCACTTACGACAACATCGAGCGCAAACGGTCGTGGTCAAAGCTCTGGGAAGCGACCCAGACGGTGGCCAAGACCGAATTGACGGCCACGAAGATTTGTGTGTTTGGTGGGATTGGCAAAGAATCATCTACTACGAGCTGCTCAATTCGGCCCTCTACTGCCAACAAAAGGACCACTTGAAGGCAGCACTCATCCAGAAGAGGCCATATTTGATCAAGAGAGGCCGTATTGTGTTCCATCAGGACAACGCAAGGCCACACACGTCTTTGGTGACGCGCCAGAAGCTCCAGAAGCTCGGATGCACCCACCTTATAGTTCGGATCTGGCACTAAGTGATTACCAACTTTCCTGTCCATGGCGAACGCGCTTAATGATGAGAAATTGGCCTCAAGAGAGGCCTGTAAAAATTGGCTCCCCGAGTTTTTTGCCAATAAGGACGCAGCCTTCTACGAGAGGGGTATAATGAAGTCATGTTGTTGGCAACAAGTTACAAGCTACGAACAAAACGGCGCATATTTGACTTAAATCGACAAATGTATACAAAGTTATCATATTTTGAAGTCCGAAAAAACTTTTTACTTGACCTAATACATATGTATGTATACGTAATTGAACTTTGAAAATTCACAGGATGACATATCGAGCGAATAAGGCGGTTATTGCAACACGGTGATCCCTTTAGAGGTTAAATACTGTCCTACGCTAAGAGCGGTTGTCGTGATGAAGGATCCAGCTACGAACGATTCCTGGGCGCACCCTGTTGACTCGGTTTCGCAATCTTTCGATTACTTGGCGATAGTAGACTTGGTTTACGGCTTGTCCTGGTAGGAGAAATTCTTTGTGGACGGGGCTACTCGTAAATGGAATACTTCAAGCGGAAAGAAAAAATTATATGCAAACTCTTTGCGTTGTGATAAGCAACTGAATCAGAACTTATCGTCTATTTGAGGGCAAATGAAGATAATTCTAGGTCACTAAACACTTGTCATAGTTAATTATAGATTTCGATGGCGCTCACTTTATATAATTCTTCTTTTAATTGACTATTTGGAAGTAAAATGTTTAAATATTCTGATAACGTCCACTTGAACTGTTATCATTTCAAACCTTTTCATTAATTTTTAATAGTAGCTACGTCTCTTACCATCGATGTCGATCGCTTCGCAACGCCAAACTTGACCAAAAGCTCCCTCTCCCAATATATTAAAGAATTTGAGTTTGTGCCGCGGATATTCCCATCGGGATTTAACATTACCAGCAATGTTGTCCATCTCAACACTATTGGCAGCGATTCCATTTCCGGGAATTCCCACAACAGTGTTAGCATTATTAGATAATCCACCTATGCTGATTGGCACATTAGCTTCGCCAGCATGAATTCCAAAATTGGTGTCACCATTTGGTGGTTGGAAGGTTGCCTAATTTTAATGAAAATTCTATGTTTAACCCAGCACTTTTTTAACCCATGTAAAACTATTCTTACCGAACCATTCTGCTGTTGATCTCTTTCCCATGGCACATAACGGTTGTTGAATGCCGTAGGTCCGCTCCAATGCTGCATTACCATTGAGTTTCTGCTGTCATCAGTTAAATTGCTGCTTAGGTTGCTCTGGTTAGACTTTTTAGACATCTCCTCTTTAGAATTATTTTTCAATTTCTTACTAATAGCACACAAACGTTTTCTATACAAAAACCCGAAGAAACCAGCACCCGCAAAAAATATGCCACAAGAAATAATTATAACCGGAATGACGACGGCGTTTGTGGAATAGTTATCATGCGAATTTCCATCAAATGAGTATTTAGTACCGTCTTTATCGTATACCGTACCATTTTTTATTTGCGGAGGAGGAGAAGGCTCCTTATTCGAAGGCCCTATTCGATTACTGAGTTCCTTAGTATTGTTTTTGTTTAAATCAGATACTTCGTCATTGAAGTCTTCATTTTTAATGAGTGTTAATCGGATACGTCCTGTCGAAGATATAGGATTTATTGTAGTTAATGTAGGCATTGGAGTAACAGCTGGTGTAGTTTGTTCATATTCGATGTCGTTACTGCCTTGATTTGAAGGACTAGAGATAGGCCAGTGTGGAAATTGTGGACTATTATGTGTAAAGATACCGTGATTTAATTTGGAGTTTGCGGATAAGGAACTAATTGGACGCTCATTCGGATATTTATTCCTCACTGATTGTACACCTGGTAAAGTATCAAAAGGTGGTAGAATTTGTGATATATTTTGTATAACACGAGTAACGGATGGCGGAGTTTGAAAATTTGAAAGCCCATCCTTACTCTTTGCGAGAATATTAACGAAAACTTCATTTTTAGCAGTTAAGTCGCCGTCGGAGACCGTAATGTAAAGAAAAAAATTTTCACCGCCCTGAAATGAAAAAGGAAATATGTTAAAAGTACACAAGAAAATGTCTTCAAAAGAATCTTACGTCTAAGAATTATTAAATGTTTTTTTTTTTTTAATTTTATAAATATTAATATATATGTATAATATACGTATATTTATATTATATTTATGTATCTTTTGTATACATAGCGGTACTCTGCTTCCAATGTTTATTTTAAAGATCGCTCTGCTCTTCGAGAGCTTCCTTTATATCATTTGAGTCAACTGACGCTTCGTTTCGCTTTACGACGGCAATCAAGCCTTTTGCGCTCGTCAGTAGGTATGAATAGTTATTTTGGTTATTTGTCTAGAGAAATACAACGACCTCTCGAATGCCATACAAAAGTTTGAAGGCATGATGAGCGACTGCAGTTAGACTCTTCTAGGTTAGGCCATAAGCCTCTTGATCTCATTTTAAGCTTTCCAGAGCCCGTCCCACCCTTCCCTCAGCTTAACGTTGCCTTGTCTGCGATACATCCCTCCCCTGCTCGGTGGAACGTGATTTTGTTTCACACTCTTTTTCATTTTCTACTAAACAGTTATAAAAATAAATTATATTTTACTATAAACAATAACGTAATACAACTTTGCTTCCGACGTTTTCCAATAGGTGGCTGTCCCGGCTGAGGCTGGTTGAAATACATAGATGATAATGCCTTTAAAGTGAGTGTGGACAGTGCCTAACGAATTGTCATCGCCGTCTCAGTGACAGTTGTTCTTGTTTTCGTATTATTCACGCTCGAAAATGTCCGTTTATGCGCCTAATTCACGCCATATGCGGGAAGTTTCACTTTTCTGTTACAATTCGAAAAAAATGCAGCTGAAGCGCATCGAATGCTCTCAGAAACTTACGGTGATGCTGCTCTGAGTGAAAGAACGTGTCGGGAGTGGTTTCAACGTTTTAAAAATAGTGATTTCGATGTCGAAGACAAACATGGTGGTGGAAGAGAAAAAACCTTTAAGGATGAACAACTACAATAGAAGCATTGCTTGATGAAGATTCGTACCAAACCCAAGAACAGCTTGCCGAATCGTTGGGAGTGAGTCAGCAAGCCATTTCAAACCGTCTCAAGGCTCTGGGCATGATTCAATATCAAGAGCGACATGACAAAGTCATCCTCCAACACGACAATGCTCGGCCTCACGTCGCAAAAGTGGTCAAAAAGTACGTCTTGCCCCACCCGCCGTATTCCCCAGATGTCGCCCCTTCTGACTTCCACCTATTCCGTTCGATGCCACACGGCCTGGCAGATCAACATTTTCAATCCTTCGAAGAATTGGAATCATGGATTGCTTCATGGATAGCGTCAAAAAAGGACTCCTTTTTCGAGCCGGGATCCGAAAATTGCCGGAAAGATGGGAGAAAGTTGTCGCTAGCGATGGACAATACTTTGAATAATACAATATATCTGTAAGCACTTTTTCGCAATAAAGCTTTTAATTTTGGAAAAAAACGGCGGAAGCAAAGTTGTACACCTGAGTATTTTTAATATATCATACGGCTTTATAAATATTTAGTAATAGTAAATAAATTTTTTTTTTCATCTGAAAAAAATACACAGCTTTGCTTTCAACTCCTTACCCGTTTACGTGACTTTAGCGCAGCATTTAAAGCAACTCTCCGCCTCTTGGCCGAGCTACATGGTTTATTGACGCTTCCTATTCGTGTTAGAGATGCCAAGCAATAACGGAGACTAAGATCTAAGTCTCTTCATGTCTCATTTAGTACTCTAATAAGTTAATGGCTATACCAAAAAATATAATCAATATTAGATCTGACTTTAGCATAATTTATGATGCTCAAAGAAATAACTTTTGTTTGTCTAGGTCCAAAAACGTGTGCCCTAGTGTAATTTATAATTTTTGTGCAACAGGAACATATCAAGCTGATACAAAGATTATGGGACAAAATAATAATCCAATTCCAGCCTAAATTGTAAAATATTGCTGGAAATGTTTTTTCTTAAATATATATTTTTTTTTTGAAATTTAAATGTAAATATACATAAACCAAAACTAAGCATATTTAAATAATTTTTTTTTGTTATCATAGATACTATTAAAAAATAAATTCAGATCATATCATATAATATGTATGCAAAAGAATTATGAATAAAATATTATATTACTTACTCGTCCAACCAAACTATCGTTCAAATAAACAATTCCTCTTAGTGGGTCAATACGGAACGGCAATTTTTTGGTACCAATATTGTTGTCGTTCGAGAGGAAATGAGGTTCAAGGCCAAAAACTAAATCATCGTTTTCTGGGTCTTCAGCTCGAATTCGTGTAATTATTTGGCCTACTTTCTCTGTCTCTTCTATTCTCCAATTTCTCTCCGGCACATACAGTATAGGAGGTGTGTTTACTAAAGAGTGATGTTGGCTGCATGCTGGACGCCAAAAAAAATTAAATATGAAAAAATTACGCTATTTAAATTAGATTTAGTAGTAATTAATCATTTATATCTAAAAAAATATTTATGTTTAAATTCATATGTTTGATTCAAAGCAATTTCCAAAATATCAGTTATTACTTCAAAACTTAGCTCTTCATACACATATTCTACAACGCGTTCTGCCATTTGAGTGTGGCCTCGTACAGTTTGAACCTAGCAGCAAATGGTAAGACTTTGAAAGTGAGCCGGAAAAATATAAAGCGAGTCTTTAACATCTGAATTCATCCCTGAAAATCAGCATGAGGACCTCATAGCAAACGTAAGTTCTCTGAAATTCGTTTCAAAATACCTGTTGGAGAGATTAAGCCAATCATAGCACAGTTACTCATAGTTATATGTTTGGAAAACCAGTTGCGGTTTACATGTCGGAACACTATCGAATCAAAATAACTAGAGAACGGAAAAATGGCGGTTGCTTGTGATATTTTGTATGTATGTTTGGCCGGTAAGGCGGTGTATAGTCAAATTTCTGGGTACGCGGTTACAGTTGCGAGGATATATTCAATGTGTACTCTTGCGTCCACGTCGCGCACCCTGGAAACGTTAGCAACCCTTGAGCAAGATGCGGTAACCAATCCGTGTGGAACCTAGTTACGTTTAATGGGAGAGGAAGCTTCAGTGGAGCCACTCCGACTTATTCGGTTTAAGAGTCCTCTGAAGTTTAATTTCAGCGTCTGTTCAGCAGAAGTGCTTCTGCGGTCTTGAAGCAAGCGGCTCGCTATATAAGTGTGTTATAAGTTTGATCTTACTCGCCTCGCGAGGTTGTGCGCTGGGTATGGGACCCGCCACATAGAAACCAGCTCTAATGAAAAACTTAGCAACACTTCGTATGAGATACCCCTTTCTGTTGACAAGCTCCGCAAGCGAATTAAGGATCGCGATTTGAAGGCATGCACCCGGAATGTCCGGTCCCTTAACTGGAAAGATGCCACTGCCCAGCTGGTTGATGTCCTCGTCAAATAAAAGGCTGACATCACCGCCGTCCAAGAAGTGCGATAAAAGGGGCAAGCAAGAAAGCGAGTAAGTTCTTATGACATTTACTACAGCGGCCATATAAAGGAGCGCAAATTTGGTGTTGGATTTGTGGTGAGAGAAAGACCCCGTAGTCGAGTACTGGCATTCACCCCGGTGGATGAGCATCTCGCCACAACTCGCATCAAAGAGAAATTTTTCAACATATCGTTGATTTGCGCCCACGCCTCGACGTAAGAGAAGGACGGCATCGAAAAGCTGCAATTACCACAGACGGCCGAACGATTTTCTTCTGGACTTACACTCCGGCTCTCTGAGAGCACTCATCAGCAACCCGGCATAAAATAACTTTGGAACGGCATTTCAAACTCCTTACGCACAGCTGCAATCGAAACTATTGGATTTCGTAATGATCGCAAAATCAGCTGGTACGATGAGGACTGCCGTATCGCAGTAGAGAGAAAGCAGACTGCCTACCTCGCAACGTTGCGATCGATCACAACAGGTGCGGGATCGGATAACAGGAGAGGGAAGCAAGACGCATCTGCAGACAACAAGAGAAAGATGCCGAGATGAGTGAGTATGAAGAGCCTGAGAAGCTGGCCAACAAGGGTTATGCTCGAAAGTTCTTTGAGAAGTTACGACGACTTACGGAAGGATTTAAAACTGGAGCAGACTCTTGTAGGAATCAAAGAGGTGATCTAGCCACCGATGCACAGAGAATATTGAATTCAAGGAGGGAACAACTTGCTGAATAGCAGTAAAAATGGAGCATCTAAAGATGGTGAACCCAAAACCCCAATCGATGACGAGGTAAAAGACGTTCCATTACCTGACGATGAAGAAGTTCGAATAGCAATCGCACGCTTAAAAACAACAAAGCGGCGGAAGCTGACGGTCTACCGCCAGAACTGTTCAAACATGGCGGGGAAGAGCTGACAAGGTGCACGCATCAGCTACTTTCCAGAATATGGTCGGAGAACCATTGACCAGAAACTCACCATACGCCAAATCTTGGGAAAGACCCGTGGAAAGAGGATCGACACTCTTCGTGGATTTTAAAGCCGCCCGCAAAACTTATACGGCTGTATATACCGACCTTGAGCAACACTAAAAGCACCGTAAGGATCAAGATGGATCTGTTAGAGCCGTGCGACACCAAACAAGGTTTCACATAAGGCGACACCCTTGATAGTGAATGAGGGCAAAACGAAATATCTCCTGTCATCAAAGAAATAGTCATCGCATTCGCGACTCGGCTCCCACGTCACTGTTGACAGTCATAACATCGAAAGCGCAGATAGTTTCGTTTATTTAGGAAACAATACCAAGAACAATATCAGCCTGGAAATCTAACACAAAATCACTCTTGCCAACAGTTGCCGCTCAGGACTGTGTAGTCAATTGAAAAGTAAAGTAATAAAGTAAAATAACGAAAGCTAAACTCTACAAGTCAATCATCGTCTCGTCCTGCTTTGATTGTTTTCGATGAAAGCTTGCAATGTCATGCCATATATCCCTTATACTGAGTTCTTGATGAATGCTTTCAGATGACAAGACTTCAAGTTCTTGGCCTTCCCGTCTAAGTCAATTAGCCTCAACGGGACCGCGCATGGCGGTCAAATTTTACGAATACTGTGCCGAAGATAATTTTTTTGATTCGCCGTACCTTTGTACTTGCCCTCGATTTTTTTGCTGCATGTTTTGTTAGTGTCTTTCAGCGAGGCTTAAAATAGAAAGGGAATTTTTGTTGGTGCACAAAACGGCAACTGATGAAGCATAAGGCTAAGGCCTTTCAAAGATAACTGAATGACCAGAAATTTGATGAAACTTACAATATTTTGGAAAGCATAAATCAAAAAATTAAGCAGAATTAAGAAACGAATCATCATCATCATCACGAATAATGTCATATATTGTATATAAAGATTCGGGGTTTAATATTCATTGCAGTAAAATTACATATGCTGGACTCTCATTTGAATGTAATTCCGGTGCATTTTGGATGTCATGTGTGACGAACAAATTGAGAGGTTCCATTGGAACATTTCCTTAATGAAAAATCGTTAGCAAAAAAAAAATTAGATCTGACATGCTAGTAGTTTATTGTTGGAGACTTAAATATTTATTATAAGTTAATAATAAAGTTTTTCTAAAAGTAGATTTCTTTTCTTTTTTGGAAATCGATTTACAATGTCACAATGTCTACACATTTCTTAATGATATCTAAAAAAAAGTTTCAATTTTGTTGACCAAAAGTAGAAAGATTGCACTCACCTGGTTGAATAATATAAAGTAAAGTTATAATTTGAATAGAGAGGATATTTGGAGACTTTGACAAGTTGAGAATTAACGATAACCTCCGCCAAAGCAGTTTTTTTACTAAACCCATCGAATGTGTACCTGCAATAAAAATATTAAGGATGAGTTTTATGCTAAGAGACTTGAATATATTCGAATTTTCATCCGAAAATATATATGTACATGTATGTAGCTTGTTTATTAAGTAATTTTAATATAATATACTCATTGTTATTGCAAATGCTATCCATGAACTTTAAATATTTATCAAATTTATTAACGCACATTATAAGCCGTTTATGTTCAACCGATACACTTCTCGGTGCATCCAAAAATGACTAGATACGAAACTTGCTAAAATTCAAAATATCTCTAAAAACTCAAAGAAGTTAGTCTTCTTTCTGAAATCTTATGAAAAAACGTTGATTTTTTAACACTCTCTCGAAATGAAGAGTTTCGTAGCCAGTCATCTTTGGTTGCATGGTCGTTTATGTATTATGTTGTTCTGGCGGCATCGGAAGGTTCCTGCCACAATTCTGAGGGCGTCTCGCTAGTCTTTGGCGCCCAGATCGGCGAAGCATATCGAATCTCTTTATTGAGATCCCTCATGAGGGAATTTCCGAGATCGGTGGGATGAATGGAGTCGTGCCTGGATGCTAGGTTCTTGGTTCACGACTGGAGTTGATCCGGATTTATCAGACTAAGGCCTGTCATCCTATGGACGACCTAACCTCGTTTAAGTCTGCTGGTAACATTATGAGACATGCTTTTGTGGTTTTGTTCTGCCAGGAGAATTCTCAAAAAAGCTATGCCAGTAGCGCAAAATCTGGTCCTAAAGTAAAAAGGTAGTTTATACTCGTTATCTCCTTGAACCCTTCATCATGATGATATCGATTACACCCAGCCGGTTCGACTCTCACGACACCCGGTTCTAAGCACCGGTGCTTACCCGGCTTTCACCCTTTCGATGACCTATCCCTCTTTAGATAAATAGGTAGCATTAGTGTAATTTCATCAACGCAGCAACTCTTTACCCCCAATCTTTCTCATTAGGACTGGCGTCGATCTCTATCCTGATCCTGCGTGTGGCTCCACCATTCTTTTATTTCGGTAAAATCCGTCCAGTGTATTGCTAGAGTAATTTGAAGATCTTCTCAGATCCTAAGTCACATACGGAGTGGATTACCTGCTGCAAGCCTTCACGACAGCGCCTTCTGCACCTGCCCATGAGTGGATTCACGCGTTCATTACTCCGTGCTGACCCCGTTTTACAGGAAAGCTCGTAGTGTCGTAGGAACATCACTAGCGGAGCATCTATGATATCTCCCAATGAACAGTGTTCTCGAGACTCAGTCAACTCACATTGCAGGTGAAGAGCTTGATCTGCCTCGAAACTCTGGAGCAATACTGGCACAATTAAAATCTCGACATTTACCAGGCTTGACATAATAAAACATATGGCACAAGACCTTTCTAAGGCTGCTTCCCTTCATTAAGCAGCTCAGATAAAAGGAGAAGTGTTAGTTTAATGCGACATTTCGTCTGATTTACTGCCATTCCAAAATAGGAATTTTTAGAGTCATGTTTAAAACATTTATGACGTCTTATTCGTCAAAAATGAAGAAGACCTTTTCGAGAACTTTCTATCGCAGGCAATTAAAACTTTTTAGAGTTGTAAATGAGCAAAGTTCTAGCTCACAAATAGAATCTAATATAATTATTGCTGAATAATCGGAATATCTCCAACTTCCGCCCTGTGCTACTGAAGCATTTTATGGCGGATACGAGCACTGTTCATTGCCGTATCTCAAACTCAATCACTTTATCATCTCCGGAATAAGACATGAGCTCAACGTATTGAAATAGTTAAGCAATTCGCTTTAGTCGGTAATAAACTGTTAGCTGCAGTACTTTAAGCACTTGGACAACCTCCTGACAGTTGGCACCCATTACTGGAAATTATATGATTCTCCACTTCACCAGAAAATACTCTTCTGTTATTGTTCCTTCTCAAAAGCAAAGCCCAATGTGGGGACAAAGGTAGGGACTTTTATACAGGCAATTCGAAATTAAAGAATGCTTAGAACACCGCGGTTTGTGACAAAATTCTATACAAATTTCTTTGCTTTTCACCGTACCTTAGAAGGTGGCAAATCTCAATTCGTATGCTTTGCATAAAAGACAACAGAGGGAACCAGCATTACACGCGGCCACCAAAAAATCTCGTTTCGAACGCATTCAACTGTTTGTGTTTCGCTTCGGCGTTTATTAATGGCCGGAATTCCTTTTGATTTCCGGCAACGGGGATCGGGGGAGGTGCCGGTACTTCAGAAAGCTGAAAACCTATCTGATTGCCTGTCGCCAAACTCTCAATAAAAGTTTGAAGCGTTAATCAGATACGATATTAAAAAATATATTGAAAAAGGTATATATGTACACAAAATCTACATAACAAATATGAGTACCCTCACCTGAGATGTTGCTGCTGTGGTTGCTGGATCAAAAGAAGGGCTTCAGGCCGGCAACACTGGCCTTTTAAAGGTTTCCACAAAAGATGGAAATCCTAAACGGGACTAACTGGACTAACTGGACTTTTCCCATATATTTGAAGAGTCACTTAGGTGAGAACAGAAAACAGCAGCGACATCTCTAGGTAGAAGCTATGGCTGCTTTTCGTGCAAGGCAGCTCAAATTATTTCATCATTTGCATTAAATAATAGGGCAAACAATTTTGTTATCCATTTTATAAACTAAATAATACATTTTTTGTTTAGAGATTTTATTTATTTATTAGGCTTGTCTGATCTGGTTACTTTTTTTGCAAATAAAACTAATATATTTCAATTCTTGCCCGCACAACGTTTCGTTAAATATTTTAGCATCTCGGGGGCTACTGACAAACATATATTTTTATTATTATTACCATAATGTACGGCAGCTTAATTCATACTAAATTTTTACTTTGTTAAACAAATCAATTAGCTACTGCGATGTTGTCCTTGTTTTTTTATTTTTTTTTTTTAAGAGGAACAATGTTAACAAAAGTCATAGCCTCTCTCGTATATCTGATATAGTCTCTTTCTTCCCTGTACAGAATGGTTGTGTTATCAAAGTCATCTGAGTGACCGCTGCTTATTTTGCGTTGTGAAAGCATTGTTGTTTTATTTCTCCTTATGTCGGCTTCGTGTTCTGCTAAACAAACGCACTCCCAAAGCCCCTAAGTATGGTTTCTCACAGTTCTCGTTGTTTCTTACCGTTACCTCGCTCCTCAGTGTTAATTGGTGTTTTTGTTCTCGTTAACATTTATGCGAGTGATTGGTTCGATTTAAACGTCAATATAATATTTTGTTCTTCTCTGTTTTCATATCTTATCTTTTCACTGAGCTTTGGTATGTAAATAATAAGTAACGCTGCAGTATTTCAGAGGCATGTTTTTTGTATTTAGTTCTGATGTTTTGTTTTTGTTATTAAGTTGTCTTAATATTGTTTGCTGTATTAATACCCGTAAAATGTATTTTTTCTTTGTTAGCCTCATGAAATTGTTGGTGGCTTTTGGTCAATATTTTGCTTATTATATTTTTTGCTGTATTTATTTTGTTTCTCATTAGATAGAAAATTTATCAGACATCCAGAAGAAGCAGTTTATAGGATGAAGCGTATTTTGGGTGGTAACGAAAAGGTGAATCCCCATGTGGTTGCCCGTAGTGTTTAGAACTCACCACATGAAAAATATACTCCAATGAGAAATAGCAAAAAGCCTCGAATAAGAGATGCCCCTTTTGATAATTACCACCTCAACTTGGAGGATCACGGAATGAGGGCATGTACCTGGACCTGACCGTTTCCTTGATTGAGAAAGTTCCAGTGCCCAACTAGTAGATTTCCTCGTCGACATTACAGCCATCTAAGAAATACGATGGATGGGACAAAAGTGTATAAATGTAGGCCTTTATGAAATATACCACAGCAATAAATAGGGGAGTGCAAATTTGGTGTAGGAAGAGAAGGAAGGTGTGGCAAAACATGCCTTTTATGAAAGTCTGGAGCGCCGCACGGCCATGATGCCAAAATTTTACTTGGCAACTTTAATGCTTGGGTGGTCTAATAAGTTGTCTTTGACAAAACTGTGCGAAAATTCAGTCTCCACGACGAAGGATCCCCATATAAGTTGAAGCTGATTGACTTCACTACTATCGATCATTTTGTGATGGCAGAAAAACCTTCAGAGTGTACGTTCCGAGAGTCAAATCACAATAAATATTCCAGAGACAGATACATTCACACACCCTCGTTTCAATGAGCGCCTGTCAACAACCACAAGAAAGATTCGACGTCGAAGATTTGCAATAACAACAGGCATTTTTATTCAGCTTATCTGCTTTCTGAGAGCATTTAACAGCATCCAAAACTTCCTTCGTACTGACGCTACGGAAGTTATTGATTTTCGGCAGTGCCTGAAAAATAGCTGGTACGATGGTGAATATCGAAATTATTTTGAGAGAGAAGCAAGGCGCATTTACAGCCAAAAAAAGAAAGAGACTAGAATGAGTGTCTGTCAACATGTGGAGAGTCTGGCCGAAAACGGTAATGCTTGAACGTTTTATGAAAAGACAACGGCTACTCACACAAAATTCTGAGTCTAAAGCATACTCATATAGAAACCAATGTGGTAATCTGGTAATCCAAAGTAGCGGTGTGTATGCGGTGTAGATGCGACACCCTCGATTACCTGACTTTGCGAAGGTTCGAAGAGTGATTGTCCATTTAAAGAACAGAGCATGGTGCATGCATAAGCTTCTTTGCAATGCGTGCATATATATATATATATATATATATATATATATATATGTATTGGTTGTCAAATATCTCCCTTCCGCTTTTATGTCTTTTGAATTTCGCGGCTATGTACAGAGCTCGTATCTGGCAACAATATACATAATTTGAAAGGTTTTGACATAACCTACAAAACAACGCTATGCATGATTACTTTGGATATTGCGTTCAACACTTATAGACGTGTAAACATGGAGTTCACTAACGCCGAAATTCGCGCTACTTTAAAGTTTTCCTTCGTTAAAGGCAAATCCGCTAGAGAAACGTTCCGTGAGATGAATGGTGTTTTGGGGGATGGTACTCTATCACTTCGAACTGCGAAGGAATGGTTTCGACGATTCAGAGCCGGTGAAAACGACACCATGGATAAGCCAGCCGGCGGAAGACCTGTGGCGACAAATGCCGATCAAATCATGGAATACATCGAGTTAGACCGGCATATGGCATCTCGTGACATCGCCTAGGAGATGGGAGTTAGTCACCAAACCATTTTGAACCATCTGCAGAAGGCTGGATACAAAAAAAAGTTTGATGTTTGGGCGCCGCATAATTTGACGCAAAAAAACCTTCTGGACCGAATCAACGCCTGCGATATGCTGCTGAAACGGAACGAACTCGACCCATTCTTAAAGCGGATGGTGACTGGCGACGGAAAATGGATCACAAACAACAATATCAAGCGAAAACAGTCGTGGTCGAAGGCCGGTGAATCGTCCCAAACAGTGGCCAAGCCGGGATTAACGGCCAGGAAGGTTTGCTGTGTGTTTGGTGGGATTGGAAGGGAATCATCCACTATGAGCTGCTCCCATATGGCCAGACGCTTAATTCTACCATCTACTGCGAACAATTGGACCGCTTGAAGCAGGTGATCGACTAGAAGCGTCCAGAATTGGCCAACAGGAAGGGTGTAGTGTTCCACCAGGACAACGCCAGACCACACACTTCGTTGATGACTCGTCAGAAGCTACGGGAGCTCGAATGGGAGGTTTTATCGCATCCACCATATAGCCCGGACGTAGCGCCAAGTGATTACCACCTGTTCCTGTCCATGGCGAATGCCCTTGGTGGTGTGAAGTTGAACTCAAAAGAGGCTTGTGAAAAGTGGCTGTCCGAATTCTTCGCAAATAAGGAGGGGGCCGTCTAGATGGAAACAGATCATCGAACAAAACGGCACATATAGTTTTCGGTGGTAAAAATAACTTCAACCGATAAAAAATTCAAAGCTTCTTTGCTAAGCTTACTTCTGAACTGCCTCAGTTTACTTTATTAACATTTTATTTATTCTTAAATCCTATGAAATAAGATACGCTTATGAATACATTCCATGGAATAAAACATGCTCTTATGCATTTATTTGTTTGCTGGCATTCCGGAGTGAGTGATACTTTTGTTTATTTTTATTATCGCGAGGAATATATGTACATATGTTAATTATATTCCTCAGCGATTCTGAAATATTTGACGGCTAACGTTATTAGGATATGTCAATATATGACTATATTTTAACTAAATCCGATCACCGTAACACATTTTATAAAGCATTGAATGAAGAGCAAAAAAGCGGAAGGGAGATATTTGACAACCTTTATATAAATATATATAAATATAAAGCGTAGTCAGAATTAGGAAGGATCTGTCGGAGCCGTTCGACACCAAACAAGGTTTCAGACGCGTTGACTATTACCGTGAGATATCTTCAATTTAGTGCTGAAGAAAATAATAACAGCTACAGAACCAAATAGACGGTACAATCTTTTGCAAGACTGCTGGCGTATGCCGATGACAATGATATCATAGGCCTTACCACCCACGTCGTAAATTTTGCCTTCTCCAAGCTGGGCAAAAAAGTGAAGCGAATAAGTCTTATAATGAACGTGGACAAGACGAACTATCTCCTGTCATCGAACAAAAACTACGTAATAGTCAGAACTACTAGGTCGTAAATAATTTCGTCTATCTAGTGACCATAATGCTGGCAAATAGATAGGCAAAATATTATAATAACAATAATAACTTTAGCCTCGAAATCCAACGCAAAACTACTCCTGCCAACAGGTGCTACTATGGAATGTGATGGCAACTGAAGAGTAAAGTCCACTCTCGATGAAGATAAACCGAAGTCTACAGTTATTTTTGCCCTGCTATATGGTGCACAGACTATGTCAACTGATTATGTACGCTTAGCCAGCTACACTGACGAGGTCATATCCTCCGAATGGATGAGAGCACTCTAGCTTTAAAAGTACCCGCTGGTGGAAGCAAAGGAAGATGAAGACCTTCGACAAACAGCAAAAGTGAAGAGCAAATGGCGCGCTTTTGTTGATTCGGCAATAATCGCATAAGAGGTGCCTACGCCAAGAAGAGAAGCATGCGAAAAGTTTAAGAAAGATAAATGTTTTCTTCTCTTTGAAGGCAGTATATTTTGTGCATACAATACTTTTTTGTCTTGCTCGACTTCATATAGTGGTAATTCCATCTTTGCTTCGGCATGATTCAACCATTCCATGGTGCGATGAACCGTCAATGAAGCTTTATTTTGTGGTGAATTGTCGAGCCACAACTCCGTTGCACTCATTACAAAAAAGAAGTTGTTAAAAATATTTTTTTAGTATAAACTTGTAACAAATTGTATTTGATTTCAAAATTATTATGATTATTTTACTTAATTTCCGTACTATAATGAGCAGCAGATAATATTTAGTACAATCTGCCCAGCCCAAATGAACAAAATTCACAATATCGCTATTCTTTCTCAAAAGCGGGATAAAATATCAAAATTTATAATATTATGGCTATCACAATAATATTATTTCTTTGGAATTATTTTTAGGGCATAATATGACTACTTTTTTCACACTCAGCTGTAAATAAACAATCAGTTTGTTTCATAACCATAATATTACAGCAAACCCAATATATATTGTGGTAAATTATGGCACTATATGTATGTACAAATAACGTATAAACATATGTACAAATTCTATAATTGTACGAATGCGGATGTTATATTACCTCGAATAGTGGATTTCTTATGACGAATTATGTTGAAATATTAACCTCTCTTAAATTTGCACACATAACAATATATATATAGTTTTCACCAGTACACAAGTTGTAAATTTTTATCCAAGTATTACTTTTTCGAGCACTAAATCAATTCGTATTAATTTGTTAAAATTGGCTAAAGAATAACTTTCACTTACAAACTTTTAATAAACCAACAATGCCCGATCAATGTTAACACATCTCTGTTGACAAAAGACTGAAGCAACAAACCCTAGCAGGTTTTGAAATTTAACATTACTTTAGCTAGAAAGAGACATTTCAATGCTCAACCAACATATGCACACGTATATACATATGTATTTATCACTCGTATAGAGCATACAACTAAATTACTCTTCTCATTTCAACGCAACGTCAGATGTCGCAATTGAGATTGAACTACTGGATCATTGGTTTCATAAATAAATGGTGATTTTTAAAGAGAGTTTAAAATAAACACATGAAATTCAAAAATAAAGCATGAAATCTTTATTTGAATCGATAGTGCGGTCCATATACATTGATGTTTGGAGATTATTTCATGCAAATGTTCACCGTGACTGCGCCTCAAATGGTCCATCCGCTTAGTCCAATTTTGGCAAACTCTTTCCCACAGCGGACTTGTCTGTTTAGATATTAGATTTAACATAGCCAAACCAAAAATTGTCTAAAGGCGTTAAATCGCACGATCTAGGCGGCCAATTGAGCGGTCCCGAACGTGAAGTAAAATGGCACCGTCTTGTTGAAACCACTTCTCTTGCAAGTCCAGCTCTTGCATTTTGGGAAAAAAAAAGTTTGATACCATCTCTCGGCAGCGCTCACCATTCACAGTTACGTTACGATTCGCCACCAGCTCATGAACCGCACCAAACCGTGCTTTTTTCTGGATGCATTGGTAGCTTGCAATGCTTCTTCACTACAAAATCGTCGATTTCGCTTATTTACGCACCTATTAATCCAAAAATGAGCTTCGTCGCTGAACACCATTTGAATGGAAGAAGCGCTAGATGAGCTTTCTGTACAGAGCACGCATTTTGATAATAAAATTCAAAAATTTGCTCGTTTATAAGACGATTCATGGTTAAATTATAGACCAAAAATGCAGATGTTTGAATGTAATACAAAACATGAAACGAAAAAGATAATATCTAAAAGATCACCCTCTACAAGTCACCAACTCTGTTGTACATATCCCTTTATTGTAAATCCACATGTAGTTTACTCTTCTTAAACGCATAGTTTACTTCGGCACTTTATTTATTTTTTATTTTGAATAACATAAAATATATATATTAGTTTATTAAATGTTAAGATCCATCTTGAACGTTTAAAAGATCGCAATATGAGAGCATGAACGTGGACTGCTCGGTCCTTAATTAGAAAGGTGCCGCTGTCCAGATGGTTCTCGTAAGGTAAAAGCCCACCGTCCAATAAGTGCGATAGATGGGACAAGGACGGAAACGAATACAGATGTGGAATATATGGTCTTAATACTGTTACACTCACCAAAAGCCGTTTCTCTCTTAGCTCTGCTCTTTTCTGTTTGCTTGCCCATACAGATGTATGTATAAACATCATTGCAGATAAACGAATGGAAGAATTGTGTGGATGTAAACAAAAGCAAATGATACCAACTACTCAGAAAAGGAGGTAATATTCTCACTAGTGCTGCATTGATAAGTCCTGCACAAATTAGTGCATCCTACGGTAATCGCCGACCGACTGCAAACACGTCTTCCAGTAGAATGCATCGCAATATTGATTAAAGCATAAAATTAAACCATAAATATTTGTAAAATTTTAGAAACATCATAATTTTCATTTTGATACAAACAGTTGTGAAATAAATTTTATTTAAAAAAAAAAAGAAATTATTAATATTTTTATTAAAAACACATAAATATATATGTAGATACGCTCATCTATGTATTTATACAGGGTATATATTGAGTACACATGTCTGTTGTATCAAAAGTTTCTTGGCATTAACATACCCTCCATTAACAGTGCGTGTTTCTGATTTCTCCATTCTGTAATTTCATTTATTTAGAATATACTTCATGCTGTGCCAAGGGCTATCATTTGTCATGCGTCTGGGCTATAAAATGGTTTGTGTCTGCGTTACTTAGGCAGCGTCCATTAACCATATAGTTCGTCGCAGAGGAAGTAGTTTTGGTTTATGTACTACAGGGAAAGATGGAAAGAGAAAAACTACATAGTTAAGATAAGATGACAGCTTGTATTAATAAAAGATATATTATTTGTTACTAAATATTTATTAAGTCGCAAGATATACAAGAAAATTACTTATTATATAAATATATTAAAGAAAACGTTGTCGTAATAAATTGCTGATGAAATCGTAAGAAAGCGTTCCTTTTTTTCTGCTAAAAAAAATCTTTAAACTAAACTAAGACACAAAGCCCATAAGCGGAATCGGTGGTTGGTTTTACGTTATCTTCAAATGGTTGATGTTCTGACTACCACTCGAACATTCAATTGGAGCGATATGGCCAAGGCGAATTTATAAAGGTGAGAGCGTTTTTTGTTTCTGTTTTCAGTCAAAAACAATGCAAGCTCATACAATTCGGTTTTGTCAAATTGAGTCAATAATTCAAAACAAAAGTCAGAAAAGAAGATATGGAAAAAAAGTAGAGTAGTTTTCCTTAATGGAGTTATTTCTTACCAGTTCCTTTGTAAGGGATTTTTTTGAAGCAATGGCCATTGGACTAATTCATTGGCCGATCTTAAGAGATTCCTAGAATTACCGTACTTCTGCAGTTTTGATAGTTGCAGTTTATAAATAGTATTTATATATGTACATACATATGTAATAAATTTAATTATTATATATAGTTTGTATCGGAATATATATAATATATTCATATTTAACTATAATATTATATAAACGTAATTTTCTTTTCGAAAAATCGTCTATGCATACTGCACCCCTTTTTCAAATTTATTTGGCAAACACGAATACAGAAAGATGTAGATCTTTCATCTTGTGGAGCTTGGAAAAATAATAGATGTACATACAAAACACAACGCATTGCCTCGGCAATCTCTTTAAACAAGATTCCCAAACAGGAACCATATCCATCTTTACAGACGACTCAAAGCTCCTTGAATCATTAGCATGAAATTACCAGATAGATGTAGATCCTTCATTTAGTGGAACTTGGAGTTTAACTCCCCTTTCTATTCATTTTCAAAACCCAACGGATTACTTCGACAAGAATTTCAAAAAGGAGTGAATTGGTGAAAACAAACAACCTCGAGCAAAAAGCCATACCCATCTTTACAGTCGGCTCAAAGCTCGATGAAAAAGCGGGCTCTCAATAATGAGACAGCAAGAATATCAGTTACCATAGATTCCGATAGTCAAGCAGCCATCAGATCTATACAGTTTAACAGTACCACATCTAAAGTGGCTATTAAATATAGAAACTATCTGGGGAAACTCTCGGCTAAATGCAACACTACAGACAGCTATGGCTTCATAGAAAAAAAAGCTTTCATTATAATGATTTTTGCCATAGAAGAATATTCTATAGAACCCTCTCCCTACTTGTCTGTCACGCTGAGCCAGAATCAGCGAAAACTAGCAATCTTCTTGCTTTTATAATGTACACGAATTGGTACGAACATTGGAGAAAGTGAAGATAAAAGCCTTATCAAAATGGGCAGATTGCCCTAAGTGCGTTGGTCACTAATTAATAGCCACATAAATTCAACTCAAATCAAAATCGAAACCAACCTCCTTTTATTTGGAAAAGTCACAAATCTTATTTGAAAATTTTCACCTATACAATTCGAAATTCAAAATAACAAAAAATGAAAATGTAAAAAAACGTACAAAACATAAACAAACGTATTGACTACCTTTACACTGTAACGAATTAATTAAATGAAAAAAGTTGAATTCGCTGCCCTAGTAACTCCGCCTTGCTACATTCGCCTTGGTTTTTCCTCTTTTCTGACTTTTCTTTTAAAATATTAATTCAATTTGACAAAAGCGAATTCTATCAATTTGCCATGATTTTGACAATTGTTACACTAATTGTTGTATTTGTTTTCCTGCTCTCACCTTCATGAATTCGCCTTGACTTCACTGAATCGTGTTCGTTGAACTAAAAAATTTTAAAGTAAAAATCGTAACGAGAGAGCGCAATTTCGACGTTTAATTTTGAAAGAAAGTTCAAAATTTGTGCTGACTTGTGATTATATCATTGAATTTTGTCAATTTTTTCCGTTGGTTCGATCCCTGCCATAAGAAGTCTGATGAGGAGATGTGGTGATCTCCAAAACAGCTGTCACTTCTACCATTTTTTCTTTGTTGTATAACAAATATTCAATTCATACAAACAATAAGGCATCGTAGTTTACTTAATAAAAATTAAATAAAATTTATTTTAAATGAAAATAATTTTAATTTTTTAATATGAACGATACACTAACACCATAAGTGTCCAAATATAATTTTGTTAAATAATTTTAGTGACATCAACTATTCAGTTAAATAGTTAATATACTAGTTAATTAGAATTTGATGGCAACGGAGTGGAATAATCTAGCTTACGTCGATAGTATTATTATTTCCTGTAGAAGGGAACTCGAGGCAAAGTTGTTGCTACGGTCACAATGACTATAATGCATTCTTAAGCTTCCGGAAGCGGCGACGTTGCACAAAATGAAATATACATAAGTGGCGTTTGGAAAGGAAAATAAAGATATTGCGTGGTTTTTAATCAAGCAGAATTTCGGATATTTTTTCATATTTCGGTAAACTGGCCTGAAAATCTAAGCGACCAATTAATGCAAAGCAAGTTTTTCATAAATCTTCAACCTTTTAGAGGACTATTAGAAAACACATATTGGTATCTTTATCATTTGATGACTATAAAGTATTTAGAACAAGTCAAAACATAAACAACAAAGACAATACTCAGAAAAAAAACAGCTGTGGCACAACTTGCTGTCTAATTTTTACTGAATCCTGCTCGGTGAAAACTCAGTAAATTTCTTTCGTTGGGAGTGTAAAATATCTTACTCTCTCGATTTCTTTAAAGATGATGCGAATCATAAAGTAACTGTGAATGGTGAGCGCTACCGAGAGATGATATCAAAGTTTTTTTCTGCCCAAAATGCAAGACCTTGACTTGCAAGACATGTGGTTTCAAGAAGACGCTGCCACATGCCACACAGCGCGCGTAACAATGAACTTTTTTAAAGGCGAGTTCGGTAAACATTTTACTTCACGTACGGGACGTGTGGGCTATGTTAAATCTAATATCTATACAAACAAGCCCTCTACAATTGACGCGTTGAACGACATCATTGAGTCATTTATTCGTGAGATACCGGTAGAAATGTTGGAAGCAGTATGCCAAAATTGGACTAAGCAGATGGACCATTTGAGGCGTAGTCGCGATCAACATTAGCATGAAATTATCTTCAAACATTAAACTATATGGACCGTACTATCAATTCAAATAAAGATTTCATAAATTTGTGTTTTGTGTGTGTGTTTTTTTTTTTGAAAAGCATTCCTATAGCTCTTAAAAACTCACTCTTAACAGATATCAGTTATGCGTGCCTGTACTTCTAATCAATCTATAGTTTTAATTTGTAACCGTAATTTTTTCATCGAAATCAATGTCAAGACAGCATTTATCATATTGTTAAATAGTTGATCTACATCGATTTCCACTATTTCAATGTGTTGTATTAAGAATTGAGATGAAGAATAAAAAAGTTTTAGATAACATCAATGATTGATGTTTTTTTTATTTTTCGAATGTTTATTTTGTTGTAGCAGTGCACACCGGAGCAAGACAAAATGGAAATATATTATTGAAAAAAAAAAAATATTCTTGGAAAAGTAGAAGAAAAGCAAAACGTGATTCCAAAAAAAATCAATGTACTGAAAGAAAAGAAATTTTCAGGTGATCCGCTATTCTTATGAAATAAAAAAATGTACATTGATATTCTCCACGCGAAAATGTCTCGAAAACTACGACTGCTTAAACCTTTTTCTATTTTGAAATATAAATTGAAATAAATTTCAAAAAGTTCGTTCATAAACCATTTTATAAAACGACTAGTGTTCAATTTTTCACATAGAATTTGACACAGATTTTGGTTTACGTATTTCAAAATTATTCTGGCAACACTTATCATCTACTTGTGCGAATCACATCGCTATGCCCAGATAAGAGTCCACCAATAAAATAATTGATAAGAAATGCATACATACGTAGTATACATATATTTGTAAATACCAAATAGCGAAAAGTTAAACTAGTAACAAATGTCAACAGTTTACCATTAGAATTTTCGGGTAAATTTCACAATAGTCAGAGACTTAAGGGGGGAAGCTGGAATAGAGCGCAAAAAAATGGGCATATTTTATAAATTTATTTTGACTCCACAAAGGAATCATTCCAGAATCTGTGAAATATGCTAAATACTATAGGTTTTATAGTACAAATACAAAATTTTTCGTTTGATTGAATTTCGAAATGGTCGCTGTCCAGTATTTCTCCGAAGACGTCTTTTCTATAATGGGTCCATAGCCGAAGATGTAAACTTCTTAATTTTTGTCCTCGGTCAAAAAATATTTTTTTTTGTTTCTACAATATATAACAACAACAAGAGACGTGGAATAATTTTTTCGACATTTTGTTTATTTTTCGGGGAATGGTGCAAATTTGAACCAAATTCTACACTTTTCACTATAAAAAACGATATAAAATTGTTGATTAAAAAAAAAACTATGAAATATAAATATAAAATACGTACGTCTTCCGAGGACGGTATTTCGAATGTGCTGCCAAAATTTCGTAAGAATCGGTGAAGATTTGTTCGAGTTATGTCTTCGGCCAGTTTAAAAAAAATTAATTTCGAGAAAAACGTGTTCAAAGTTATAGGTCGCTCGGGGCATACCTGCGAGGCAGTGCCGTCGAATGAAAAATTTGAGCATTTAGACATTTTTGCTGGCATACAATTTTTGGTGTTACTTCTAATACCCTAAGGCACCTTTTAAGACAAAAAAAATTTTTTTCGATTTTTTCAAAATTCTAATGCTTTAGTTTAATTTATTATAGAAAAAAAAAATTTTCTTAAGCTTATAAGCTAAAATCTGTTGGTATAAAGAAACATAAAATATTAAATTAAAATTATATTATAATATAAAGCAAAAACGCCTGCATGATCGTTGGACAGATCGCTATGCTTTCAACTCAACTGAAATATTAGTAAAAAGTATTTCATCGAATAATTACTCAAAATATTAACTTTACTTATTTAATCTTTTTAACCAAATCAAAATTTCAAGTTGCTTTAAAAGGGGTATAGTAAATTTTTAATAATTTTCCACTAATATGAAACTTTTCGTAGCAAATTGCCATGCTTTAATTCCGGTAGTTTGAGTGGAAAAAGTAAATTGGCTTACCCATTGGGCTCGCTCAGCGTACTAGTTTCAAAGTAGTTTTCAACTAGTTAATTTTACTGTATGGCAGTTAGACTAATCAACTATCTGCAAACATATGTATGAACTAGCATCAGGGCATATCAGTTCATGTTCTGGTTTCATCGCGCAATTATCCATACGTGTACGGTGTATTCTCTAATTGAACTTGCGTATGAGTATACGTGTATGTAGGCATATTCAATTTACGTTTATCAAAATTCTGCTTTATTGTGTGTTAAAAAATTTGTAAACTAATTTTAATGATAGGAACTCACATATGAATATTGCGATAATTGAAGAGATAAAAATGTAATTATTCCCTTGAACTGAATTTTCACAAAAATTATTTATAGAAAATTGTGTGTGTTTCTCTTGTAAACTAACTAAAAGTGCGTTTTTCAATGAGTTTATTTTCATGATTTAATTAACATGTTTTATTTTGGTGTGTCCAAAAAACTTTTCAATTTAAATGAATTTCATAATTTTTAATTTTAATAAAAATGAAAAATATGTACGTGTTTGGTTTAAAAGAAAGGTTGATGACCTGTTGGAAACGGGATGCATTTAAAGGTGGCCATTGTACGCTAAATAAATATTTTATTGCCCCTTAATGAGAATTTAAGAATTTCGAGTGTGTGTGTGTGTGTGTGTGTTTGTGGTGGCATCTGATAACCAAGTAGTTAGCATTGCATACTGCCGCTCGGAAAGCCATGGTCCGCGTCCTTAGTATAAACTGTAGGTCCCTTCACATTGTTAGAGGAGCTCTCTCTGTTCAGTTTGAAACTGGCGCCATTTTGTTGCACATACATATATTGTCCAAATCGTGTTATTCAATTATTCCAGCTGCAGGAGTCGATTTACTGATTTTATGACCGCGCTGTTTGGCATAACAACACTTATTTCTGTTAAAAATTAAAAAATCAAAAATCTGTTGTGCTAACATTCAATTGAGATTAACATAAATACTGTTCGTAACAGAAATTTCATTATCATTATCATTCGACATAAAATAGCTCAGTGATTCATTTGCCAGTGATTTCAGGCAATATTTAACAAATTAAACGAGATTTTGAAAGAAAAAAATTTTTAGAAAAGCTTATTGGGCAATCGAATTATGTTCTCATTTCGTTATTGACTTATTTGGCTTTTATAACATTTCTTTTCTAAATTTCTGAAATAGTATCATATTTTATATTTTTTGTAACATTGAATAATTATAAATTATTTTCGTGAAATCAATTCCCATTTATTCAATGTTACGCACTAAAGTGAAGGCTATTAAGAAAATCCTTATGTATATATGTATGTACGAGGTGTGCTCAAAAAATATCGCGAATTTTGTGTTTTTTTCAAAAATTATTTATTTATTCATGAATATCTATTTTGTCCCTTTCAAAGTAATCCCAGTTTTTCCAATCTTCGAAGCACTTCAAAAAATCATTTTTTTCATCTTGTTCAGCTTCTCCTTCGACGCCGTCTTTATCTCGTCAATCGTAGCGTAACGTTGTCCTTTCATGGGCCTCTTCAGTTTAGGGAACAAGAAAAAGTCACAGGGGGCCAGATCTGGGGAATACGGTGACTGTGGGATCATTAGTGTGTTGTTTTTGGCCAAAAAGTCACACACAAGCCACGATGTGTGAGCAGGGGCGTTATCGTGGTGCAAAAGCCAATTTTTGTTCTTTCACAAATCCGGGCGTTTCTGGCGGATTGCTTAGCGTAAAATGCGCATAACTTGCAGGTAATATTCCTTATTGACCGTTCTACCCTGTGGCAATACCATTTTTTCCACTTCATTAATTTTTTCGTCTGTTGTTGAAGTGCTCGGGCGTCCAGCACGCTCTTCGTCATTCACATCTTATCGGCCTTCTGAGAACATTTTGTACCACCGATAAACGTTGCTTCGGTCCAAGGTAGCTTCTCCGTATGCCACAGTCAACATTTGGAATGCATCCACGCACTTAATTTCGTTTTTCACACAAAATTTGATACAGGTTCTTTGATCCATTTTTCTGAATAGGTAAAAATCGAAGACCATCCAAAGCACGTGCAAGCAAAGCAGCTGTCAATAATTAAGTGAACATTCAAAATGGCCGAACTTGTCGGCATAAGTGACAGACATGAGTACCAACATAACGCCACAAAAAAATCGAAATTCGATTATACGTAACCCGCGAATTCAAAATTCGTGATACTTTTTGAACACACCTCGTACATTAACAGAAACCCACCGTATTCAATAGTTAATAACTTTTTTGAAATCGGAGAAGTTAAAACTTTTATAAGAATTCTTTATCCGTTTGGAGACGGCATAAAACCGTAAATCCCAATATTTGATAGAAAACCTTTATGTTGCCATTTCATATTATTTGACTGAGCCCGTAATAAAAATAACAACTGCATACATTCTATTCTTCAATAATTTTCTTTCAGAACAGTAATTTGGTCCAACTTTTTATGTGATACTAATATGTCCATTCAGCGATGTAGCCTTACTAAGGGACTGCTCATCCTGCTAATCATTGCCACATATCATCAAAATTCCAATTGCGATGCCCATGTTTCAATACATCAGCGGTCAGCTGAAGAGGATTACTTTGCAAATGATATGGAACAAGACACAACTAAGCAGTTATTAGTACCAAAAGACCATAAACTCGTCGAACGGCTACCCTTAAACATTTTGCAGAAATATACATCCTACAAGGATGTTTCCATATTACATTTTCGCGTTCCACAAGATACTCGAACAGCTGCCTTCGCTTTCAAAGCTTACGAAGAAACCAAAAGCTCTTTTCGTAAGTATTTTTTTATTACCATTATATAACAAAAACTTTTACAGTTATTTGTTCTTCGTAATGAAAATTTAAAAAATGCGATTTTAAATGTTTGGTGCCCTTTTTGAACTGTTTCATTTGTAGTTTTAGAATGATGAAGGTGGGGCCATGTGTAGAAGTTCGCGCATGTAAGCAAATTTTTTTACTGTCATTTCCCTGGCAGTGGCTAGAAATGATTATTTCACACGTGGTTGCAGCAGCTCCACTTCGGGTCTTAGACAAAGTGTCCCAGTGTTGGCTACCCAGACAACAAAAATCGGTTTGGATGTGAGCTAAAGTGAGAAAACAAGTTCTCCTGCAGTTGAGCGTAGCGCTTCGGATTTACTACACGAAACTTATATTCCAATGCACTTGTAATGTCCGGTTCCTTAATTTGGAAGTGCCGGTGAGACTCCTTTGCTCAGTACTGGCATTAACTCCAGTGGATGAATGTCTCGTCACCATCCGCATCAAAGCAAATTTTTACAACACGTGGTTGATTTGCACCCATGCTCCAACAGAAGAGGACGACGATGTGACCAAGAATGCATTCTAAAACTGCCTGTGAGGGTGACCAAAAAAGTATTTCTGGCACAGCTTCCATGACGAAACATTCCCACACGGCTTGAGGCTGATGGACTTCGCCAGGGTCCGAACTGTGCTTGTCTGTAGTACTAGATTTCCGCACAATAGAAAACATAAAGGTACTTGGCTGTCGCTGATATCGCATATAAGGTTATTCCAGTGTATTGAGTGAGAGGACCTCATCAATGTGGCTTTAAGCCTGGTAACTCCATATTCACCGTGCAAAAAGTCTTGGAAAATACCAACGAGAAAAGAATCCATGCACATAACTTTTTAATCGATTTTAAAGCCGTTCGTAAAGGTCTGAATTTGGTATTCCTGCAAAACTTATACGGCTGTGTAAACTGGACAATAACAGAAACGAGGTCAGACTTAGGAAGGAATTTCCCTAACCATTTGACAGACATGTGCCCATTCGTTCTTGACAAGCTCTTTATTTATTTCACGTCTCTTAAATCGATATAGGGTAGGAAACAAACTTCCCTCTGAAAGTAAACAGGAGCCCACGTTAATTGGAAGACTTTTAAATCTGCTCAAAACAGAAGGACAGTTATCATCAACTGTGACAAAGCATCATTCTCAAATAAAACTCCAAAGCGCCTAACACTGGTTTAATTCGTGACCAGGAGGAGATTCTAATATCAAAATCAGTGTATTTAACCTTAGAAACCCTGGCCTTCTGAATGGCAGTATTCAATGCTAGCCCCTCAGCTACCGCGGCCGTCACATTGCCATTGCTGCTTGGTAGTAATTAAAGACTAATAAACATTTTCTGGCTCATGCAACTCTGTGAAGTACATTTAATGAGAAGAAAACATTGTGGGTTCAATTACAAAAACTTGAGTTTATTAAGTTTAAGCTAGTAAGTCAACTCTTAATTTATCAGTTTATCACACCGTTTTGATGTATGTATAGAGGTATAAACATTATTTACTTACAGGTCCGAAATGCAAACCAAAAAGTGTGGAGGTTCATCTTAAACCAAAAAGTTATCCTGTAATCAGTCCGGAAAATATTACGTTTCCAAAATATTTTCTACCCGCTGAGCAAAGGTATGAATTAAATGAGTATACAAATACACATGTATGTATTTATAACATACAAATATATAGTAAAAAATAGCATGAGCATTAGAAAATATATCCGAACTATTCCAGCTTGTTGAGGGCTTTTATGAATTTTATAACGAAAATTTAAATTTCTAGTTAGGGAGCGTCCAAAAACCACGTAGCTTTGTCCAGCATGGGAGGGGTTAGTTCAGATAATACACTGTAGCCACGTAACCGAGGGAGGGAGGAGAAAACAACGCTACGTAGTTTTCAATTGCTCAATAAATGACAACGATTAGATTTATAATAAAATTATATTGATGAGTGCATAAGTTCGTGCCCGATTTCAAGTACAAACTAAAATTGAAATTTTTTGAAGAAAGCGCTTTTATTAATCAATTATGTATTCGCCATCATGTTCGGCAATCCACTCCCAACGTTCAACCAATTTACGGATGCCTGATTCATAGAAATCGCGCGGTTTCTCGTTGAAAAAGGTGTCAAGGTGGTTTTTGACGTCTTCCACATTTTTAAATTTTTTTCCATTCAAATTGTTCTGCAGCGATCGAAACAAATGATAATCAGAAGGTGCAATGTCGGGTGAATATGGGGGATGCGGCATGATTTCCCAATTCATCTCCTTCAGTTTGGCCAGGGTCGGTTTTGCAACATGTGGCCTGGCGTTGTCATGATGGAAAAGAACTCCTTTGCGATTGGCCAAAATCGGACGTTTTTCATCAATTGCTTTCTTCAATTCGACCAATTGCTGACAATACTTGTTGGCAGTGATCGTTTCTCCAGCTGGCAAGAGCTCAAAATAGATCACGCCTCGGATATCCCACCAAATGCACAGCAGTACCTTCATCGGATGCAATCCACCTTTCGACATCGGTTCCGCCCCTTCGTGTGCCTGTTTCCATGTTCTTTTGCGTTGAACATTGTTGTACAGGATCCATTTTTCATCACCAGTCACGAGCCGATCCAAAAAAGGTTCGTTTTTGATCCGTCGAAGCAAAGAAATTGCTGTTGACATACGGTCCACTTTGTTTTTTTCACTCAACTGATGTGGCACCCATGTATCGAGCTTCAAAGTGTACCCAACCTTTTTTAAACGACGAAACGCAGTTGATTTGTTGACGTTCAATTCACTGGCAACCTCTTCCGTCGAAATACGTGAGTTATTCGCAACTAAAGTCCTTAGAACATCGTCATCAAGCTCAGAAGGCCGTCCACTGCGAGGTTGATCTTCGAGGTTAAAATCTCCAGAACGAAATTTCGCGAACCATTTCTTTACTGTGCGGAGTGCTGGAGCACGGTCCAAATAAACTTCGCGAATATCTTTAGTTGCAGCGCCTACTGTTTTTCCTTTGCGGAATTCGTATAACATAATATGACGCATATGATATTTTTCGTTGTCCATCTTCCATGCGACTTTTCATTAAGCAGCTCAAATTAAAATGAAGTTATTTTATGCTTGATTTACAGTTCGGACTGTAACCTTTCCAACGATATATAATATGTATATATTTCTTTCACGAGCGCCACTCTCCCATGATTCGAACGGCATCCAGCGGAATCGGGCACGAACTTATGCACTCATCCAATATTTATCATTTAAATAGAGTATTTTTTTTATAAATATGTAAAAGAAAATGAAGAGAAATAAAACCGCTTACCATCTGACAGGGGGGGAGGAGTTACAGAAAATGCCACATCGGGCCACATTAAAGTAGAGCGGGGTCTAGGAAGACCCAAAATATGACCACATGGCTTATTGACAATCTCTATCTTTCGGATACTTACCTTGAATAGTACTTACCTCAATATTTTAATCAAATTAGAGAATAAGTGTGACTATTATTTCAAAAGTGCAACAGAGTGTAGATTTTCATGTGTAAGTGAGTATTCGATGGAAGCCATTTTAGGGTTTTGAAAAAATGTAACGGCAGTGTTTCCACTGTAAGTGTTTCCTGACCACTCATTGATATGTCCACCAAGATGCTCATACAATACACTTCCTTAATTAATTTCTGATGTAATTCTATCCTTGTTGTACAATTTCTGTGGGGAAAAGTGCACTTCGGCTTTTTGTTTTTGGTAAGTTAATTTAATCGGTTCCCCTTCCTTACATGAAACGGCGGCATGTGTACTCCGAATCACTTTTCATCTTTAGCGCTGCTTCCGATGTCAGAAAAGCTAAAACATCGCCGATATACTTGTGTGTATTAAGCGATTAAAAATTAACAACAACTTTTTAAGGGATTTTTAGTTCGCTTATATATATATACATATATATGTAATTGGCGCTTTGGCCCAGATCCACGTCAAATCTACAATAAGCGTCTTGATGTTTTCCAACGATTAATTCTAAGCCGCTTCCGAACGCTCGACGGATTTTGACGAAGAGCTTTGAATGTCAGAAATACACTCTGAGGACTTGAACCAGGACTCGAACGGACTTCAGAGTAGCGGTACGCAAAGCTAACCATTCGGCTATTGCAGTTACATAAAGTGAAATTGGCAAGTATAAGCTTAAAACAATAGGCGTCTATATAAATATCAAAGTAGGCAACGAAATGTTGAGGTCCCAGAGGCCATAATTTTCGAAAAAGAACAGTTAAAAAAAATAAATAAATGCGAAAACAGTTGGTTGTATCAGTTCACAGTTACGCATTGTAGATGATCATAGCGGTGTTCGAAGTAGGATTGCAGGTGAGCATACGAGCATGACTAAAAATACATCGATTGCAGGGCCGGAGGTGTTGAAGTATTAATAAACGTAGTTCATGTGTTAAGGACAACGAGTGGACAAAGGAGTTCAAAGCATTATGTTTTGACGGAATCGGAAATAGGCGATTGTGCTGATTTGTCTATTCTGTTCTGTTTTACTACATTCGGAATTACCAACTCACCAACAGTAATTTCTCGACATGCACACGACATGTAATCACGTCTAAGAATGGAAAAGTGGGTTACCAAAAGCCGAAAACACCCTTCAAACGGCTCACTACTAACCTATTTACGGTTAAAGCATAAAGTGGAAAGATATCAATGAAAAGGCAGATTAATTTTGTGGGTTACATGGAGGTGGTATATGGACGGAACGGGGAGTATTGTACCATCTGATGAGAAGACTAGGTCAATAAGTAACTATCCAATAGAGCATAGCTGAATCAGTTTCTCTTTTTGACATTTCTTTTTGGGCGCTTGCTGAGAATGTATGTTATGATAGCTAAGCATTTGTCTGAATGAGTAATTTAAATAGAAGGGATCTCTCATTATCAGTTTGATTAGAATATATCAGTATAAGACTCTCAGAAGCTGGGAAAAAAGTATAACGAGTTAAACGGCTTAGCAGTTATAAAGGTATTCCTTTAATGTCGTAGCTTGATAAAAGACATAAAAGACAGTAAAGAAACATGACAAAGAGTGCCGCTATATAGTGGATGTCTTAAGTCGCACGTATTGCTTGTTCATTCAAGATTCAGTACGGAATACGAGATAGTAAGATTGGCCCACAAACGGAGACGGTTTTTTACCAAAAAGACTCAGGTATTGTTATAATAACGCTATTAAATAACCAATGGGAGCGAGATAATAAAAAAAAACTGGTTAAGAGGTGCATAGAGTGAATTATAATAAATGCGTATCGGAATAAGAAAAGGGGTTGTAGACGCCGATTGGCATAGCTCTCATCCTATGGACATACCATAGAGTCCAAATCGGACCGTTAACTGAAATACATTTAGCAATATTGGTTTTCAAAAATATTCCCCCCTGTGGCTATTTTTTGTTCCCTAGAACAAAATCAGTGGCCAAAGGAAACCATTTTGAGTCGATTGAGGAAGTTTAGGCGGCCGTGACGTGTGTACTCGCGGACATCCCAGTCGAAGCGTTCCATAAATGTTACGAAGCAAGGAAAACGACGCGCTAGAATCGTTGATTTTGAAGGGAGACTTTGAATGAGATGGAAGAAATATGCGGGTTTTTATGGAATCAGTCTCATTACTTAATTGTCACATCTCGTATGTACAAACATATATAAGATCAAAATAAAAATAGCAGTAATGAGTATATACATACTTACGTGTACGCTAATTAATTAAGACATCTGTAAATTTGGACTGCATTTGTTTTCTCTTCTTATTTCAATAATAGTTTTTAATACCATTGTGTAAAGAAGACATCACCATGGTCAAATTTTCAATATTTCCATAGAAAATCGAGATAGCAATTCAGTAGTCTTCAATTGAAAATGGACAAAAAGGACGTAATTATTTGGATCAAATTCATATTCTGCTATTTCAACAGATAACTCGTCGTGGTTTTCAATCAATCCTGCATGTTTGAAACATTTGGGAATGGTACTTTATTACATTTCATTGCTGGCATCTTCAATCATTAGTATTGTATCCAACGGTGCTGGATTTTTTGTAGAAGAGTTGTTTTCATTAGCATCATTTTGAGTGCAATGTTTCTTTTTTTTAATTAATTGTGAAAGATCGTATTATTCCCTGATCCATTAGTAGTATTCCTGATGCTGTGTTCGGAGGAAGGAAAGCGTTATAGACTTCAAACTTTCGGATACGCCGGCCAATAAAATATTTTTATTCCTCTTCACCAAATCGAGATAACATTGTCAAAGCCATTTTTCTAAAATATCTGACATCATCCAAGCTATACGATTGTTAGCAAAATCGACAGATAACGATATGACACTGAGAAAACAACTTGGTTTTAGTAACTTTCTAATAACTGGCAGTTTTTTCTCTCTGTGCCACTCATATTTGCTGCTCCCATGACAGTTATTCTATCTGTAGGCAACTTGCCTCCTTAACAACTCCCTTCCTTCCAATCAGTTTGTTGATGCCTTTTAATCAACAGTTGAAGGTTCGCCGACAATTTTTACGCAATGTTATGACGACTGGAATGACGTTACTAACTTTACTGGCATAGACACCGCTTACGCGATTTTAGCCGATTTAACAACATTGCGCCATTCGTTTCTACTTTTTGCTGTTTGGCGTCAATTTGAAATACCAAGTACAGACAGGTCCTTTTCTATCTGGTCTTTCCAACGGAGTGGAGGCCCTCTTCCTTCCTCTGCTTCCGCCATCGGGTACTGCCTCGAAAACTTTCAAAGCTGGAATATTCGCATCCATCCCGACCACAACACCTAGCCAGCGCAGCCGCTGCTTCTTGATTCGCTGAACTATATCAATGTGGCCGAGTTATAGCTCCTCGTTCCATCGTCTGCGATGTTTACCGTTTCCAACGCGCAAAAGACCATAAATCATACGCAAGACCTTTCTCTCGAAAACTCCTAGCGCCGACTCATCGGATGTTGCCATCTCGTCCATGCTTCCGCACCATATAGCAGGCCGGGAACGATGTGGAACTTGTAGAGTTTTGTTTTCGTTCGCCGAGAAAGGACTTTACTTTTCAATTGCCTACTCAGTCCAAAGTAGAACCTGTTGGCAAGAGTGATTCTGCGCTGGATTTCAAGGCTGACTTTATTATTGGTGTTTATGCTGGTTCCTAGATGGACGAAATTATCTACGACTTAAAAGTTATGACTGTCAACAATGACGTTGGAGATATTTCGTCTTGTCCTCGTTGTTGGAATGACGTTATTGTCACAAAATATAAATCACAGCAATGTGTGACGATTATTCACTGAGATTCAAAGCTAAAGCGAGTCGAAACTGTAAGCGAAGTCATTATATGCGACTTCTTCAATGAAGGATTTTATATGAAAACCAAAGTTCGTCATAATAAGAGGTTGATCAATATAGGCGGAATCCTAATAAATGATTCTACTGTACATACAAATTTACCTGACTTGTGAATGATCCATCGTGAGTTTATAAGACAGAATCAACCCGTGAATATTGAAAAGATACAAAAATAAAATTTCAAAACTTCCAAACCTATTGCGAAAACCACATTTTTTGCTTGGAGAGGAGATTATGATGTACATCATCGTCCAACTACTCAAGCATAAATTAGAAGAGAATGGATCGTTTATGTTGTGAGACTTGTGCATCATCGGTTTGCTCGTTCCATCTCAAATATCGCTACTGTAGGTGAAAATGTAGCCTAATACCCGGATAAACCGTGAACACTAAAATTACTTAAGTAAGGGATGAGACACCGTACAATATTGACCAAAAAGCGATGATAGTGCTTCATATTTAATGCCCAGGTTCAGACTACATAGTAAAAAAGGAAATTAATGAAAAAGTTATTTTAAATGCACCTCGGAAGTATTGAGCGGGAAGGGAATATCTCGAGGTTGAAAGACTTCTCTCCGTCAAACCTTTTTTGATTTTTTGCAGTTTCGAAAATTTTTATGTTCATTTTCGAAACTGCAAAAAATCAAAAAAGGTTTGACGGAGAGAAGTCTTTCAACCTCGAGATATTCCCTTCCCGCTCAATACTTCCGAGGTGCTCGTCAACACGTTGGACCTTTACTATTTATGATCACCTTATGAGCACAAACCTTAACTTAGCCGCTAGCCCATCCCATCTTTTCTGTTACTAGTAAAGCATATTACACTACCACGGCATTTTCCGAATATTGTCTTGGAACGGTCACGAACAACTAATAAGAGTTTGAGATTCATTTTTCCTGTTGCAAAGACTAAAAATAAGGAAACTAATTTTTCCTATTTATTTCAGATGTAAAGCATACAGCCTACACTTTCAATCTAACGAAGAGCAACAACATATTTTGATAGACAGTCCAAACTTTGGAGACTGGTACGCTGTAGCCTTTATAAGTTGGACAGACCCTAACAACGATCGCATTGAACAGCAAGGTACCTAAATTTTAATTTTATTTCAACTTTGTGGCAGTCAAATTTTAAAATCTAATCTCGAGTTTAAAGTTTATCATTGGAATTTTGGATGTTTTAATTAAATTTCCTTTAACGGCATAAAATAATTGAGATAGATATGAACATACATGAACATGGTTCACACATTCCTTGGGTAGCAAGTAAGGATATTATTACAAATGGCTGAAATGGAATCAAATTCACATCCACCTACCAATATCGAATTCGCGATAATTGAGTAGCTAGGTGGGTAACCTTTAGGTCAAAGAATATCTCAAAAACAGTTCCCATGTTCTAGACCATAAAAATGGTTCATATATAATATATATAGCCTTAACTTCTATATAACAGCACCGATTTGTGGACTTAACAAGTATTAAAATTGGATAAAATGAAATCTTATATCATTGACATGATGACACCGGCACGCAAAAAAATAAAAGCGATTTCTACACCACCGATCTAAGACAAGTTTTTCGAAACGCAGAAGCGGAATTTTCAGTCGGTTTTGGCCATACACCCTTCAATATCAAGGTTATTTTGAAAATAGCTAAAATTGCAAAAATTTGGTACTAAAAAATGATTCAGTTGTATCTTCTTGTGGTCTTCTGCTGGACGGGTGGGCATAGAATCAACTCAGCGAGCGCTAAACTAGCACCTCAACATGTGGCGCTGCAAGATCCTACTGACCTAATATGACCGAGTAAAGTTTTATTTCCTATGGTTAATATTATATATAATTCCATTTTAGGTTCAATGCCCTACAAAGTAAACAAGTAAATAATTTAGCCGTCTTTCTACTGATTGTTCTTTGGAGATTTCTCACTGATTCATTTGAGGGGTTGAATAATTTTCATATATAATCAGGCTTAGGTAACAAAATTTACTTTGGCATTAAAATTTACCATTCAGTAAAATGGGAGGTAACAAAAAATCTACTGTTTGATTTCGCGTTGTTAGTTTGAAAAAAAATAAAACCCCAGATGAGTAGGCATATTTTAGGCCTGGAATTCATTGTAGTTGAAGAAAAAAGTGGAAAAAGGCGTATGCAAGAAACAAATTACCCTTTTAATTTGGAAGATAGCGTTTTCATTCAGCTTTCAAATGTTTATGATTTAATAAACAAATAAATAAAACTTATTTATTTTGTTGTGCATCGTCTTCCATTTCGATGTGAATACTATTCTTTTTTACTTAATCAAATGGAAAATGTAATTGAACAAGGACGAAAAATGCAGTGCTGCCAAATTTTTTTCAAACATTCTAATCAGTTCGCCAGAATACCAAACTCAATTTCGGGTGTTAAAAAAGTAACAAAATTTACTGTTAGCGTCGTTTTAGAACATTTAATAGAAGGGTAGCTTCTTCCCATGTCAGGTTTGACAGCTAACAAACAGTGCTGCCAAACTTGACCAGAAGTAAATACAATAAGCTCGGTTTACACAAAGTAGTTTAAGCGCCAACATTTACTTTACCGGTAACAAGGAGAATAGGCCTGAATGTGTATACATACTTTTTGCTTGAATATCTTACTGTCTCGTTTATTGTACAAACTATTTAGTCTATGTATTACTATGGGCCTCAGAGCAATTTTTTTTTAAGAATTATTGTTTATTTTCTGTTTGTACAATTAACCTGTACCGTTTGCCGCTAATAATTTCAATACCATATCTATTAAACCAATCCAGTACGTCGTTATGTTCACTTTGTAATTCAATTGTGGCAATTTTTACGTCTTGATGTGATACCGTTAGAAGTGTTATCGGCAAACGTAGCATTTAGACTATTTCTCGAAATTGGTATCGGTGTGTCTGCAGTTTATGAGAGAAACAGCATAGTTCCTAATACGCTTCCTTGAGTCATTGAACTAAACATAGCATTGCTTGCTTTGAATATAGCTTTTTCATCAGTAGAAAATAGTAATTTGGTAACTAAGCTTTTAACTTATATATTAGTCCGGCGTGACATACCTTTAGGGCGTCAAGGTAAACAACTGCGCAAACACACTTCTTGTCTGGGTCGTTTTTTATTTTATGAATTACTCTATGCAGATATTGAATTGTTGCATGTGTTCTTCGGATACAAATCAGTGTTGGGGTATCAAATTCAACCCTGTTAAGGAAGGTTATATACGCTCTAAGAATTTCCACATTTTAGGGAAATATTTACAAGTTATAGCGGCATTATTTCACAAGTATATATGTATACATATTTTTAATCTTGAAGAAAATGTTAGTTGTCGATTGCCGTTAAAAAAGAGAGACTGAAAAATCCTTAGGCTAACGGTTCGACAACCGTATCGAGAAAAGTTAGTAAACTTCATTATTGATTTTTTAGATTTATGCATGTGCACGACATACATATACATACATAAGTTTTCTTGTGCATTTTCGTCAGTCTTTTCGGATAAACCGAACACAGCTTAACGACAAAACAAATGAATTTTAACGTAAACAATCGAAGTTTCATTCCTTGCACAAATTCATTCCTTGACGCCAAATTGGAAATATCAAATACAGCCAGATTTTTCTCCACCTGGTCTTTCCTCATCCTCTGCTTTCACCGGCGGTTTGGCACAGAAATATTTCAGTGCTGGGTTTCTTGATTCGTTCAACTATGTTTCACTATATATCAGCTCATCGTACCATCTGCTGCGGCATTCGCCATTCCCAACTCGTAGAGGACCATAAATCCTACGCAAAACTTTTCTCTCGAAAAATTCTAACGCCGACTCATCAGATATTGTCATCGTCCATGCTTTCGCACCATATAGCAGGACGGGAGTTTGGTCTTTGTTCGTCGAGAGAAGACTTTACTCTCAATTGCTTACTCAGTCCAAAGTAACACCTGTTGGCAAGAGTGATTCTGCATTAGCTCTCAATGCTGACATTGTTGCTGGTTTTAATACTGGTTCCAAGATAGACTAAGTTATCTACGACTTCAAATTTATGACTGTCAACAGTGTCGTTGCTATGACTGTTTGTGTGACGACAGGATATATTTCGTCTAGTCATGGTTGACTACCAGGCCCATATACTTCGTTCATTATCCAGTTTGGAGAAAGCAAAACTCAAGGTTAGGTTGTTGAGGCCAATGAGGTCACTATCATTGGCATACGCCATAGAAGATTGTACCTTCTCTATTCAGCTCTGCTCAGCTCTGCTGCTCGTATTATTTTCTCCCACAATAAATTAAAGAAGTAACTCGATAAATAATCACCTTATCTGAAACTTCGCTCGGTATCATGTCAGTCAGGCAAAGCGGCGTAGTGGCAACTCCCCTTCGTGCTATCGAAAGCTGCCTTAAAATCGACAAGGAGGTGGCCTATGTCTCGGGTATGTAATTGCTATCTCAGTATCGTTGGGTGTTTCAAGAGGAATTATTAGCCCTAGGCGGGGATCAAGTCGTTTCTTAAACGCCTCCCAATCCGTATGTTGATTGGCTTGATGGTATCCGGTTAAAGTTTAAAAAAAATAGGAGAGTGGTGAAATGATTAACAGAGACACGATGAAAACAGAGATTTGGGAACTGAGTCGCGAAGGCGATGGCTGTTTGTTTGATGGAAGGAAATATTTCGTCTTGTCCTCGTTCACTACCGGATCCATTTGTTTCGCTTCTTCATGAAGTCTGGAAAAAGCAGAACTAATTAATTTAAAAGGCTTATCCCATAGCAATTGGTGCAGACTGTTTTAAGTTCCACTGTTTTAAGTTCCAATGACCATATTTGAGAAGCTCTGCTCTGTTGTTCTTAAACGAGCAATCTCTACCGTCATAGTCGGGTAATAAAACGTCTTTTCTATCATTATTGAACAGGGAGTCGCGTTAACCAGCTCCGGGTGTTGCGCTTTCATTGCCATTCATTAGGTTAAAGAAGTGTTCCCTCCATAAATCAACTATGCTCTGGACATCGCTCCCCAGACTACAACCTCGATTCTTGCGAGAGTAAGAGCCAGTATTGAAAACTACTGTAAGTCGTCGCGGAAATCGCGAGCATTACCCTTGTCGGTCTGCTTCCCAAGCTCCTCATATTCATGCATTTAGATTTCTTTTTTTTTTTTTGTTGAAAATGCTGAAAAAATCACATCTGCTTAAAGTCAGTTAGTAAGAAAAAACTTATTAAGCTCAAAAATAAACATGTGGTATGACATTACGATTGAAATTGGTAAGAAATCACTTACATTAAGCCTCGATGAAATTAGATCAGGAATAAAAGAAACTTAGTTCTTTACTTTTTTAGAAAGTTTTCAAAAGCGTTTACAGAGTCTACCAGTTACAGGCCTATTCTCACTGTTACCGGTAAAGTAAATTTTGTTACTTTTCTTTAACACCCGAAATCGAATTTGGTATTCTGGCGAACTGGTTACAATGTTTGAAAAAATTTGGCAGCACTGCTTTTTCCGTCCATGTCAAATTACATTTTCCATTTGATAAAGTAAAAAGTAAAATATTCACATCGAAATGAAAGACAGTGCACAAAAAAATTAAAAAGTTTTATTTATTTGTTCATTAAATCATAAATATTTAAACCTTATTATGGAAAACATGCCTGGACAACAAAAAAGCTGAATAAAAACGTAATCGTACAAATTAAAGGGTTATTTTTTAGTCTCGAAAACTACTTAAAATATGGTTTTTTGCACTTTTTTCTTCATCTTCAATGAATTCCAGGCCTAAAATATACCTACCCATTTTGGTTTTTTATTTTTTCTTAAACTTACAACACAAAATCAAACAGCAGATATTTTTGTTACCTCCTATTTCGCTGGTAACAAAACTTACAGGGTGAAAGTGAACTCAGAATACGAAATAGTAACAAAATTTACTGAATGGTAAATTCTAATAACAAAGTACATTTTGTTACCTCGACAGAATAGGCCTGTTAAGATGAGGTTTTTAAAAATCTGCACTAAGTCTATGATTCAATAAATCATATCATATAAATTCAATTATTAAACTTTTTAAATTTAAATTTATCGTTATTTTCTTGTATTAGATCTATCTAATCTTTCCTAGGCGCTGTTGTGTATTATTAAATATGTATTGAGTAGAACCAGCACTACTGTAGCTTGCAAGCAAAATATTAATCGCCTTATAATACTCACTCAATTCATTGAAATATTTAAATTTATTTTCAGGGTTGGCATCATCTTGTGATACATTTCTCTTAGCAGAGTTGTCCATTTTGCGTTCTCTACCACCTATTTTGTATGATGGTCTTGTTCAAAATGACGTGTTAACGTTGTGCAATGACAGCAACACCGACCACGGAAGTGAAATTATATACAAATTCTATGCTCCAAGATATATTGAATCGGCAACAGCTGTTTTTTCCATAGCGGAAGATTGTAATGAATGTCCAGCCATTGCGTTCAGTATTCAATCAAATGCCTTTCCGATGTCAATTAACAACGACAATGAATCTGAGGCAGAGTGTTCCGTACAAAAACTTCACGTAATAAAGCCGAACGAAGCAGAAGACGTAACTTTAAATTTTTATGTGCAACCAGAATCGTGGCATTATATACGACTGGAATTTTTTAAAAACAAAACCCTACAGAACGTAGCGGCACAATTAAACGGATCCCTTCCTATTCAAATCGAAACTGTATTAAACAACGAGGAAAATGAAGCAGATTGTCAACAAATAAAATACAATTTGCAAATAAATTTACAAACATCCCCGTCATCAAGTCATAATGAATCAAATGAGAATGACTCTAATCTAAATTCAACTACCAACATTATGGACATTGATAATCTGCCTTCTAATGAAAGTTTAATTAATCGAATAGCCATCGAATGGTTGCCAAAGAAATTTCGAAACATAGACTTTTATCCCCTTTTACGTCAAACCTATCGAGAGTTTTTCACATTTGACTACGACTTAATGCCGGACGAGAATGGTACAGTTCCTATGGTACTTAATTTAACCAGTGCTGAACCAGCTGGGTTTGCTTTCGAATTAGGAGACGTGTATGACATTGGTGGCACGTTGTCATTCGCCATCTCCATGAAGCCAGAAATAGAAAGCGATGCAACTGAGTTCAAAAATATCTTGTCTCTAAATAATGATAAGCGGGAAAATATTCCCAATTTCGGCAAAGAAAGCTCAAAAGAGGGAACATCTTCCTCAAGTAATCAGACCATAATAGTTTGCATGCACTTAACAGAGCCAGCGTTGCCCATTTGGCCGGATAAATGCCAGTATGGTACAGATTTACTGCCGGCGTCAAGTATTGTAAACAATACAGATTTAAGCTCTAGCACAGGTATAATTCACGTCCCATTTCCGGAAAGTGGACAATGGTACATAACAATGGCGCTTTATTGTAATGGTCTTGCAACAGCCCGACGAGCGACTCCTATTGATAATATAAAACAATTCCTGAAATTAAATATTAATTATTTGTATAAAATGAATCAAACATGCGCTTGCTCCTCGGACACCATAAAATACGCGAAGTGCATTGCAAGTACCGATTGCTTAGCGTCAATGAATGAAACAGAAATATTGGCAGTAAAAGATTGTTTTTTGGATCCAAAATGTACACCCGATTATTTAGATTTGAGTCGCGAATTTGAAAATCAACTTAAACTAGCCACAGCGCAGAATATTGCTTTAAAAAACTGCAATACGTCCTTGGTATTTACAATATCATCAAGTCCTTGTGTGGTTGGCCGTTGTGGACGATTTGGTCGTTGCTACCACTACATGTCAGGTGGATTCGTTTTCTCCACTTGTGTTTGCACAAAAGGCTATCGGGGATGGGATTGTACCGAGGATAGTCAAGTGCCATCGAGTATTTCCATTCTAACCGCGTCTCTCTTACTTATTCTCAGCAATCTTTTATTTCTTCCCAGCATTTATATTTCTGTACGACGCAACTATTACACAGAAGCTACTACATACTTTTTTGCAATGTTTTTCTCAATATTTTATCATGCCTGTGATTCAGGCGAAGAAGAATATAGCTTTTGTTTAGTAAAATTGGGGGTGTTACAATTTTGTGATTTTTACTGTGGTCTTCTGTCCATTTGGGTTACTTTAATTGCCATGTCAGGCGTTCGTCAACAATTCGTCTCAGTATTACACATATTTGGGGCTATTCTTTTGGCATTTGGCACAGAGCTTAATAAGCAGAGCCTGTGGGTATTCTTAGCGCCGGCACTTACTGGTATAATTATCATTTCAACCAGTTGGGGAATCCGTTGTTTCAGCTCACGAAAATGGTACCCGTTGCCAAGATATCTTGCCATCTATTTGCCATTAGGAGCAATCCTCGTTATAGTAGGTCTCATATGCTATGCTTTCTTACAAACTAAGCAAAACTATTACATTATCCACTCGATTTGGCATATTCTGATGGCTTTAAGCATTCTTTGCTTGTTGCCCTCACGAAAATACTTAATCTCAAAATGCTAGCATTTCACGTTCTGGGACATGGTTCAATCATTACAAACAAGTTGCCTTGAAATTGAGTCCATTTTTTAACCAAGTTTAAAGAAGCTTTGAGTTCGAGCAAGATTGAGAAGGATTCCTTCAATACAAATGACCACAGACGACATCATTTGGTAAGTTATATATATATATAATATATATAATTGGCGCTTTGTAACCGCTGAAGCTATTTTTCGGCCGAGCTCCTCCTCCAATTTGTGGTTTTGCGTCTTAATGATTTTCCAACAAATGGAGGGACCTACAATTTATACTAAGCCGCCACCGAATGGCTAGTGTTTTTACGAGGAGCCTTTATTTCAAGACCGAAATGCACTCGGAGGGGTGGACATTCCCATTGGTAATTTTTATTCATGCATAATATCGGTATCATATTAAGATAACTAAATTAATTAAAATAACATAAATACCTTTATATTGTATAACAAATGAGTGAACTCTTAAGAGATTTTCGGCAGAGATTCTGGATTTGCTAATTACGTTTTGATATTTTTCTCCAAAAAGTGTGACCTACACCTTAAACCGTCTTTAAACGGCTCAAGAATTTTAAAGATATTCTAAGTTGCTTTAAGCTTTTTATTTTATGCTTTATTAATTCTAAGTAACTTTAATATTTGAAAAAGATTTATATTTTCCAAGTAGGCAGGTTCTAGGTGCGTACAGGTCGATGCCATATTATGTAATCATAATTTAAAAAATATTTATTAGAATTAAACTATTTATTTCATGTTGAATCCCTGCCTTGGAGGATCAAATAAATTATACATTAAAATATATTAATTTGTATTTAATGGCATTCATTGTATGTTTCGGTGAATGTCTTGTAAATATTTTGTTCAATTTGTGTAAATAAATGTTGGAATTATAAAGAAGATAATTGACTAATAGTTTCAATTAAGCTTTAGCTTTGTTGGTTGATTAGTTGATTAGTTGGTGGGTGACCGCATCTAAGTCGTTAAGTAGGCTTATTGTGCTCCCCTGCTTAGCTCGATATAATAAATATATTCTTTTATTTTCTCCACCATTTCCGCGCAACTATATCCATAAGGCTGCAGCTCACAGCGTCGTGGAAGATCCCACGTCTCAATCGCATGCAGGACACTCACGAAAGTTTCAGGCTCTACATGCAACCGATGCCCCGTCAGTACAAACTCATTAGCTTGGTGCTAGCAAGAGTTTGGGTTGTCTGCAATATACACTGCCACTGTAATTTAGTGGTACGCCCTACATTGGAATGGATCCAGATCTTTAATCGTTCCCCTAGGTTTCATTACTTCAAACATATTTATATGCGTCCCAGCACGAGCCCGTTTTTTCGGCTTTTGATTACTTTCTACATTCGTGTTTAGGTTACACCGATCCCAAGTGATATTCAGTATGCTAACCCACCATAGTCTGCTTATTGCCTATTTGCATGTTTTCACATACTTGGACTCTTTGTTGGCACATGAATTGCCTCAAGTTGCCGCTTGGCTATCCAAAAGAAATCTCTGCTTGGAAGACAGAGCTATATTTATTTACACACAATTATAAGTTATTTTACAGTGGTTGAACTTAATTCTAAGAGCTCTCTAGACATGATAATAACGTTAACGTTTAGGGATATTTTAAAAAGAAATAGTAGTATTTTCAAGATTTGAAATACAAAAATGAGCGTGCAGATTAGCAATTAATTGCTTATTCAAAGTGATGTTGGAGTTCGTTTCGAAAGGGCAACGTACTTCGAATGCATTTAATTCTTTGCGACAGAGTGTTCCAAAGATGAACAGCAAAAACAAAGAACTGACGTTCAGATACCAGACAACTGTATTTCATGCTAAGTACGTCTTTGTTGGCAGTCATAACTTCGAGGTCGTAGATAATTTCGTCTATCTAGGAACCAGCATCAACACCAACAATAATGTCAACCTTGAAATCCAACTTAGAATCACTCTTGCCAACCGGTAGTACTTAGGACTGAGTAGGCAATTGAAAAGTGAAGTACTCACTGACAAGTCGATCATCATACCCGGCGAATACCACAGACGATGGAACTACGAATTATAGGACCATATTTACATAGTCCAGCGAATGAAAAGACAGCTGCTACGCTGCCTAGTTCATGTCGTCCCAATAGCTGAAGACACTCCAGTAAAAGTATTCGATACAGTACCCGCTGGTGGAAGCAGAGGAAAACCTCCACTCTGTTGGATGGTCCAGGTGACCTGGCTTCACTTGATATTTCCAATTGGCGCCAGACAGTGAAAAGAAGAGAGGAATAGCGCGCTAATATTGATTCGGCTATAATAGCGAAGGTGGAGCCAACGCCAATAAAGCAGAAAAAGTGAAGTGAATTGAACTCGTTTTCAAAGATATTTTGGTTCACTACTACTAGAGATATTACCTAGAAGTTATGCGCCGTTTGCGCAATGCAATTCGTCAGAAACGCACAGAAAGTAATATAGAACCCATTTGGGCCGATGCCCGGCAGCTATTTTAACCAACCAACCAGCCAACCATGACAAATCTCACAAAAAAGCTACTTCTTCTTCGCACACTTGGGCTATCCTTCAATGAGTGGTGGGTAGCTCCTCATTGACAAGTTAGATGAGTTCTAAAACTTCTTACGGAGAAAGGTAGGCGGAGAGCTCTGCTGGTTCCCAAGCTCAGCTTTGGTTAATCGGAAGGTAGCATAAAATTCTTTTTCACAATGTCCGTTTCAGGTGTATCTGTCAATTAAGTTGTATTCAAATTCGCGCCAGACTGGTTTGTGAAAATAAATAATAAGTAATAATAAAAAGAGAGGGAAGCAAGACGAATTTGCCGACAAAAAAGAGAAGGCCCGAGATGCGTGAATATGGAGAGCTTGAAGAGCTGGCCGACAAGGGTAATACTCGATGGACCGTTGGATTACCGGGCGAGCTATTCCAATACGGCGGTAGAAAACTAAATGGGTGCATGCATCAGCTTCTTTGTAAAATATGGTCGGATGAAATCATGCGCGACGATTGAAACTTAAGTATGCTCTGCCCAATCTACAAAAAGAGCGTTCCCAGAGTCTTTGCCAATTAACTACTTTATATCCCATATAAGATCCTATGAAGTAATAACAGTAATGAGGAGAAGACACGACCTTGCGAGACCCCTTGTTTAATCTTCCAAGTTTTCGAGTTTGACATCGAAATTCTACCGATGATTGATGACTACTCAAGTAGCCCATGATCCACCTCTTCAACCCCGGCGGAAATGAAGATTCCTCATTGTCCGATAGTAGCTCTAAATGTTTGACTGTGTTTAAAGCTTTTGACTGATCCAGTGATACCTGAATAGTTCAAGAACAGGGACGATGGACGGGGAGGCTGACTCCTCAAGCATGAATGAAATCCGGGTCAAGTTCAGTGCGTAGAAGCGACTGTCGTGAGAGTTGTTATCGGCCTCGTCTTTTCACTTCAGATTCGTATTTGGCCCACGCTCAAGAACATGCTTATTGCGACCAAATTACAACATTTAGTTATCGGCCTCTTCTTTTTATCCTACCTACGCAATAATATTGCAATGTAAAATTACGGAAGGATAAACAGGTTGAATAATCGTTAAGATTTTGTTTCAACTAATTTTACCTCGCCATAACTTCTTATTATTTGCATTTACTTAGAGCATATTTATGAACACGGAACCTTAACGTAAAGCGAGGCCATAACGTTATGTGAATCGGCTTAGAGTTCTGAAACTGAATCGCTCAGTGCAAACGCATTCTAAGGCTCGATAATCGATAAACGAACATTCGTTTCTGTGTTGTTTTGATTTGACACGCAAACAACAAATTTTGATGGAATGGCAGAGGAATTAAGAAATAGGCTAAGAAATTATCGAATTAAAAGGCAAAGGGAGCAAATATTACAAAATTTTAAAACAAAATTACGTGGTTTTTGGATGTTAGGTACTGGAAAGTCGGAGTGCAATGAGGACAGCGTAGTTAATATCATTGTACGTACCTTATTCAATTTTGAGTATATCTGTGGTCACGAACTATATCGCCAAATTCGGTCATATTTGTGTGTGGTTTCTTCGCATTCATTAACCAAATAATATTAAATATTGACTATTTACTAAGAATGTGAAAGTTTTAAACATCAGATTTATATGGCAACTGCCCTTGTACTTTCGATTAGACGTTTGGGGTAACAACTTCTGACCGCAGATCCATATATTCATATGTTCACACATTAATTTTACGTTCTATTAAATTTCCCAGGATGATGAGTTTAACACAGTCAAGCAACCAATTCCTATAAATGAAAACACAGATACAAAAGAGGAATTTGTATCAAATACAAACTACGAAGATGATTTCGACGTTGAACACGAAAAAAATTCTGACAAACTTTTCAAATATATTCTATGGATATTGTTTACATTTTTTTGGGTAACTCTTTATATTATATTCATAAAACTACAATTTGGGATGGTATATTTAATATGCTCAGCTTTGGTTGGATTATATCTTAATACCAGAACTGGACCGAAAAAGCTAAATGAAGTTAGTGCGTATAGCGTCTTCAATAAAAATTGTGAAAGTATAAGTGGAACTCTTAAAGCTGAACAGTTTGAAAAGGAAATTCGATTTGGAGCGGTCAGTGTAAAATAGTTTTTTTTTTATTAATCTTTATGTCATTAAAAACATTTAGTAAGATAAAATAAAAGTTTATATCAAGATACAGTTAATATAATCAAAGCCCTCCTGTGTTTAAAAAAATAGAAGGAAAGCTCTTGGGGGGAAAATCGACAGAAATCGCACTTCATTCAAAGCGATGACGATGCTGTGTACAGAAATAGATTGTTGTCGGAATCAGAATTGAAACCGACAAAACTCCGTTGAAGGGGTTACACACTCGGATTCCGTTTCATTTTCGAAACAGGATTTATATATATTATATTAATATATTTAAACTGATTTACCGGTTTAAGTATCAGAATTAAGCCGAGCAGTTAATCCCTGATAGAGTGTGTGCTCATTTCTTTGCAAGCGAACATATAAGTCATGTACTAGGCTTTACAGTGATGCCTGATATGAGTTGCGCATAAGCACTTAACAAATTTGGCTTATCGATTTCATGCGATAAATTTTCTTAAACAGCTTTTATAATAATAATTATTCGTTAAAAAAAACAAAAACTGCTTATTCACAAAGCTTAAAGGACTAACAAGGAACAAATTGAAATAAAGCAGAAACGAGTCCGTATAGGGTGTCCACAATTTGGCGGATGCTACGAATATGGCAAACCCCATTAGCGCAGTCCAATCGCAAATATCTGCCACTAATAACAATCTTCGATTTCAGAAGTAACAACTAATTGTGATTGTGCTGTACCAGTTGTTTTATTTATTTCTATTAAAACATTTATTTCCTAAGAATGGATGGAGATACTAGCCTGGCTGCAAGATGTGTTAAATAACCCGTGTGGAGCTAATCGCTTCAGTGGAGCCACTCCGGCTTATTCGTTTTAAGGGTCCTCAGAAGTCTAATTGTAGCGTCTGCTCACTAGAGGTGCGGCTGCGAGCGGGCGTCGGTCTTGACAAGTGGCTCGCTAAATAAATGTGTAAAAACTTTAATATTACTCCCCTAGCGAGGTTGTGCGCTGGGTTTGGGACCCGCCACGTAGAAACCAGCTCCAACGAAAAAAATTAGCAACGCCTTGGATGAGATATCCTCTTTCTGTTGGCGACCCCCACAAACGAACTAAAGATCACGACAGGACGTGAAAATCGCGCTTGGCGACTTTAATGTTAGGTGTGGTTTCAGATCTGGTAAGTCAACCATTGACCAGATATTCTCCATGCGACAGATCTTGGAAAAGACCCGTGAAAGGATCGACACCCACCACCTCTTCGTCGATTTAAAAGCCGCCTTCGACAGCACAAAAAGGGGCTGCCTTTACGCCGCAAACTTATACGGCTGTATAAGCTGACGCTAGACAACACCAGAAGCGCAGTCAGAATTGGGAAGGACCTCACCGAGCCCTTCGATACCAAACGAGATTTCTGACAGTTTGACTCTTTTTCGTGCCATTTCTTCAATTTGATGTTGGGGGAAATAGGACACGCAGCAGAGCTGAATAGAGAAGATACAATCTTCTAGAAGAGTGTACAATTACTGGCGTACGCCGTGAGTTCTGCTTTCCCCAAACTGAATAGGGAAGTTAAAGATATGTGTATTTTAGGGAAAGAGGACAAGACGAAATATCTCCTGCCATCTAACAAACAGTCAACGCATTCGCGACTTGGCTCCCACCACTGTTGACAGTCATAACTTTGAAGTCGTAGACAATTTCGTCTATCTAGGAACCAGCATCAACAACAACAATAATGACAACCTTGAAATCCACTACTAGATCACTCTTACCAACAGGTGCTACATTGGATTGGGTAAGCAATTGAAAAGTAAAGTCCTTTCCGTACGAACGAAAACCAAACTCTAGTCCCTCATCGTTCCCGTCCTGCTATATTGTGCGGAAGCATGAACGATGACAGTATACGATGAGATGGGAGTAGGAGTTTTCGAGAGAAAGGTTTTGCGTAAGATTTATGGTCCTTTGCGCGTTGGCAACGGCGAATACCTCAGACGACGAAACGAGTTATACAGCGACATTTACATAATTCAGCGAATCAAGAAGCAGCGGCTACGCTGGCTGGGCCATGTGATCCGTATAGATGCGAATAATCCAGCTCTGAAAGTTTTCGATACAGTACCCGCCGGTGGAAGCAGAAAAAGAGGAAGACCTCCACTCCGTTGGAAAGACCAGGTAGAGAAGGACCTGGCTATACTTGGTATTTCCAGTGGCGCACAGTTGTAAATAGGCTATAATCGCGTAAGCGGTGTCTACGCCAGTAAAGTAAGTATAGTAAAAAGAGGCTTTGACACTGCCAGACCTCAACGTTGTATTTTCGAAATAAGTAGTTTCCTTCTCTTTTTTCTATGCAATCTAAGCTGCTGATGAGTAAATCAGTATCTGCATAGAGTAAGACGCAAGAGCAAACGCCAATTCAGGGCAGTCCAGACTGTCACTGGGTTCTAGTTAATCATCCAAAATTGTAGAAAATAAATTCAAATGAAAAAAGTAACTTAATTTTTTTTAATTTCGGTCGCCATTCAATTAGAATTCTGACATGAAGTAAAAGCTTCTCATAAAAATCCGTCAGCTGTTTTGAGGTAGCTTAGATTTAAGCCTAGGTCTCTCCATTTGTTGGCAAAACTTCAAGACGCACATCATAAGTTGCCGAAAAACGTTTCAGCAGTTTCAATGCGACAGTCAAAAATATTTATTATTTTCAATGCTTCCCCTGAAATTACCGATTTTTGTTTCTTCCTTCCCCTTTCTCTGCGAATTCGAAAATAAAACGTTGAGCTAAAGCAGCGTCAAAATCTCTTTCTATTCTGATTAATTCACCTGGTTATTATTTCAGCATGGATTCTACCCATGATTTAATAACTAAGGTTGGAAAAGTAATGACAATGTAGTTTTGACGCTCCCTTTCAAACGGGTGCATTTTCGAAAGTAGTAGAAAAAGGGATAAAATATTTTCCGATTTGCAAAACGGCCAAAAAGGGAATAAGTAGGAATATTAGTATTTTATATAATACAGCTATAGACTGATTTTATAAATTTTATATGTACATGTTATCAACCCAATTCAAAATATTCTCGCGGAAATTCTCCTTTGTGGATTTAGAAATCCCCTAAGAAAAAATCCGTCAATTCTAAATAAACAGGCAGAATGATTTTTTGGGAGTATGATTTTTCTCTTTCGTAATCAGCTGTGTATTGTTGACATTTGATAATTTGGTGAAACAAACAATTATGGATACTGTGGTACTATATCTATAGGCCGCTGAAGCAAATGTGACGAAATGGCAAGGAATTCTTCTTCAACGTAGTTAAATTCTAGACCAGAGCAAATATCCACGTCGTTTGGCAAGGTCTTCTGCTTCTGCAATCCAAACTTCCTCTCGAGGCAACTATTCCACCGACTCTTTCATCCCTTCGGGAGGGGACAATTTATGCTATGCATTGAAGCCACCTCCTGTCGTGTTATCTGACCTTTAAGTTTTGAGCCACACGTATTTCTTTTGAGCAGCCGACACATAAAAGTAAAATGCGTACTTAAAAAATCATCTTTTACTGGAAAAGAAATTTTACCTTCTTGCATTTCAAAATATTTTTTGTATTGGCGGTTCCACGGTATTTATTTCGATATTAACCTTCACCCAAAATTGGTTGAACTCCTCCTTTTTACTCTTAAAAAATCCTCGAGCTATAGCTGGTTGAGTTTCCATTGCCTCTACTAGCAACTGCAACAGCGAGTAATTTCAACCTAAAGAAACCATTTATATGATTATATGTGTTATATTTATTAAAGAATTACATACATTTCTTTAATACAAACTCACACACAACTTCTATGTGAGAAACTCTCGAGGAAAATTGAAATAAAGCGAATTTTTTTGCATTAGTGATGCCAAACTTTTCCATTGGGAATTTTACCCACATTTTCGAAGTTTTTTTAGAATACGAGAAAAAAGAAAAGGGTGAAAATGCGCGAAATTTTTTTTTTACTTTTGATGCCTTATTATTTTAAGCATAATCACACAAAAGGTTTGAATGAATATAACTTGCCAAGCTATGCTTGGAGTTGGGCACACAACTTACCATGAGGCGTTCCTGCTATCAAATCGTTTTGTTAAAATCTGCAAAGTAATAAAATTTAGTTAGAAGTTAATGTATAAAAATCATTTCAGTTATGCATATGTATACGCATACCTTTGAAACCTCAAATTCCGAGGGTTTTCAAATTTTTTTTTTAAATAAATAAAGTAATTTCTTTCAAATTAAATTGTCGGAAAAGCAGTACTATAAAAAAAAAACAATTAGAATGAAAATATTGTATATGTGTGGGTATAAGAGCAAAAAGATGTCGTCAAGCAAATTCACACACGGTAGTAGCAATAATACAAAAACAAAAATCCAAAAGCATTTTGTTGGTGTGGTGCGTTTAATGCATTTTGTTAGTGCAATGTTTCTCGTGTATTTTATTTGCGTGATTTGTTGAAATGGAAGGAAGAACAAGCAATTTTATGATGTGACAACTTCGGCTTCTATAAATTCGCCTTGACTGTATAGTTTGATAATTTTTTTCCTTGAATTATGGTTTTTGTTTGTTCAATGAAAAGGGTTTCAAGCACTTAAATCTGAAGAAGCAAATCGCCTTAGAACTCTTGAAGAACTGTGAAAGTCAGTGTGTTCCGATATAAATTATTTCGGCAATTCACAAGCCTTGTCTTTTGTCTTATGTCATATTTCAATAGCCTCAAAATTTACGACACTTGTGAACACCCCTAAATCGTTGCATGTCATATTGTCTAATATTTCTATGTTTGATAGTGAGAAATTGAGAATACAAAAATGCCACGAGAAAGTGAGAATAATTAAATAAAAAGTAAACAAATACAGATCACAGAATTGGCTCTTTGTAACCACCGCTGAAGCAATTATCGGCCGAGCTCCTTCTCCAACATGTGGTTTTGCGTCTTGATGTTTTCACAACAAATGGAGGGACCTACAGTTTATAGTCGGCCGCCTCCGAACGGCTAATGTTTTTTTTAATGAGGAGCTTTTTATTTCATGTCAGAAATAGACTCGAAAGCGTTGATATTCGCAGTTAAAAAATTTAAGTTATTTTTTTTTTTTTTTTAATTAATTTTCTACAACTTTTGGATGTTTGTCGTACCAGAACTTGAACCCGGGTCTTCCGAATGGGAGTACGCAATGCTAACCACTCGGCTACCGGCGCCGCTTACAGAATAGCACTATCGAAAAATATACCTCCATATCTTGTATTTGTCTTATTCCAATTTTACATGGGAAACAACAAAATTCCTTACATGAGAGTCATAAAAAATAAGAAGATATGACGTGTCATACCGCGACACCCTATGAATACCCTAATTTTTTCTTCGATGGCTTGATGATCCAGGTGAAAGAAATTTATGCTATAAGAAAAAGTAATATTATTCATAATTTTAACAAATCTGATACATTTCAATGTTAACAAATATAGCTACTTGAATAATAAGTATTTTGAAAGGAATCCCAACTCAAACTCCGTATTGGTTTCATCATTTATATGAATCACGTTTTATAGCATTTCAACCGGCATTGCGTTTTCGCGCCAGTTTGTCGTGGCGCAAGCGTGGATCCCAACGGCCTAAGCATTTGCATAAGTTAAAAGCGCTCTAACATCAACCACACAAAATTTCAGGCGACTATCTCTACGGAGTGTAGTTTGTTTGTTTGTTTGCAAGAATCAGCATAGAAAAGTAAAAGAATATGGTTTAAGCGACATTTTCCCTCGCATATTGTTATTCATTTTTCTTTTTGTCAAAAACAATTACCCTCTTAGAGCAAATAGAGCAGTATATAGCAAATCGGTGGGGAAAAGAGGGAGGACAGAGAAACAGTTCGTTTCTTTTATAGGTGATCGTGGTGCAGAAATAAAACAAAAATTTACAAAGAAACATACTCAGCTGTAGCATGCATTTAGCGAACGGAAATTCTTCTGTCAGCGTTTCAAAAACTTTAACCTAAAAGAAAAAGATGTTAAATTTCGAAAAATACAAAAAATTAAAACGCCAATCATAACGATCACTATATACATACATTGATATATAGGCGAGAACGCATGTAAGTCCATTATGTGGTTCTTGAGCGCATAAATAGTATATCTATTAAAGCCACTTTATAGATAGTGGTTGTGATTTCTAATTTCAGTTAATCCTTATTCATACTTTTTTTTTATCAAAATGTGCTCAACTTTTTGTCACTTACCGGCCTATTCTGACTGTTACTGGTAAAGCAAATTAAAAGGGTAATATTTTTCTCGCAACTTCTTAGCATACGAATTTTTACACTTTATGCTTCATCTTTAATGTATTCCAGGCCTAAACTATGCCTACCAATTTTGGTTTTTATTTTTTCTTAAAAAAACAAAAAAATATCAAACAGTAGATTTTTTGTTGCCTCCTATTTCGTTGGTAAAAACTTTACAGGGTGACAGCGAATTCTGAATACGAAATAGTAACAATATTTACTGACAGGCCTATTCTTACTGTAAGCGGTAAAGTAAATTTTCATACTTTTTTTTTTTAATACCCGAAATTGAATTTGGTATTCTGGCGAACTGGTTACAATGCTTGAAAAAATTTGGCAGCACTGCTTTTTTCGTCCATGTCAAATTACACTTGCCAGTAGATAAAGTAAAAGAAAAATATTCACATCGAAATTGAAGACGGTGCACAAAAAAATTAAAAGGTTTTATTAATTTGTTTATTAAATCATTAATATTTGAACCTAATTATGGAAAATATGCCTGGATAACAAAAAAAAGCTGAATGAAAACAATATCTTACAAATTAAAGGGCTATATCTTAGTCTCGAAAACTTCTTAAAATACGGCTTTTTGTACTTTTTTCTTCATCTTCAATGATTCCAGGCCTAATATATGCCTACCCATTTTGGTTTTTTATTTTTTCTCAAACTTACAACACAAATTCAAACAGCAGATATACTTGTTACCTCCTATTTCGCTGGTAACAAAATTTACAGGGTGACAGTGAGCTCAGAATACGAAATAATAACAAAATTTACTGAATGGTAAATTTTAATACCAAAGTAAATTTTGTTACCTCGACAGAATAGGCTTATTAAAGTATTTATAAAGATCATACGCCTCACAAACGTACATTATAAATGCAGGCTTAATTCAAATGCTGGAAAGCTTTTACAGCCTATGGCTGGCAGAACTTTTGTAAATCAAATTTGAATTCATTCAGATATGCACACATTGCGCTGATGTGATTACATGTCGGTTATTTTATTTAATATTATTACACAATCCCAAAAGTAAAATTAAAAGCTCTCTTATACAAATGTACGCATGTATGTATGTTTGCTCTTTAATTGTTTAAAGCACTTTACTACGCGTATTGCAGCTGAACAAGTGTGTGACAAATGTTTACTGGTTTTGGTAGAATGATTTTCTGCAAGTGCCAAGCGAAAATTATGATAATGACAACTCTTAGGTTCATCCGTATTTTTCCTTATGTAAAAATATGTGGCATATAATAACTGTGCGTTTACTGTAAATACAAACACTTACTTATATGTGCATACCGTACCATGTACTTATGTATGCTCACATATGTTGTATGTATGATCATGTAATATGTACTTACATTATTGCATAGTATAAATACATACATACATATATACATATGCTTTGGTGAATGTCATCGCGGTTCCAAACAATTGAATTCCAAATCACAATTTATTTTTTTTAATGCCATAATGTGCACCGATGTGGCAAATCCTCCAGTGCATATTCTTCAGCTTTCTTGGATGTATAAAATGACGATCCAGTATTGAGGAGGCTCAGTTCACTAAAAGATCTCTTCAGATCCTCTACTAACACGTGTCATACGGAAAGCAGTGTTCAATTTTTGTTTCGTGGTAGGCAAATAAGGAGTGTAAATATGGCGAGATTGGGGAACATGTCTTGGATTTGGATGCTTTTAGTATCAATTTTGATATTGAACTGTGCGGCAATACCTAAGTACGACAACAATGCAAAGTGAGTTAATACGTATGTGTATATGGCCGTAGTTTTAGGCTTTATGTTGGCATAGAATTTTTCTACGAAAGGCTGATCGATATTTATGAGAAGCTATCAACTCCGTGTAAGAAATGCAGACGAAGTAGCGACCACATTTGGATGAAAGTTTTTTAATAATTTAAATGTTAATTTAAAAACGACCTATTTATTCATGGTACTAACATTTAATTGTTAGAGGAATGGTCGGTGCTCTGAGTGACAAAAATTAAAAATGCATTTTGTGCTCCGTTCGTTACGTTCATTTTCGCAGATCACTCACTTTTTTCTACAGTAGCGTACGGCACCGTTAAATTCATGTAGATATTTAAAATAGAGGATAGACCCAGCACGTAAAAAAATTAGAGGAAAAGGTTTCACATACGAATAATGCAAGAATAAAGTTATTTAAAAAATAGGACGCTGATTTCGGCAAATTTTAACTATTTTTTTTTAGCGCAAATGACTAAAGTAGATGAAGTAGTATATTCCACTAAAATTTCAAATATTCGAAATTTTAAAATAAAAACAAATATAGTATAACCGTCCTGTTCGTTCGCTAATATATTATTGCTTTAAATACTTTATGCACATCCTAACGATTGACATTTATAATAAAACTTTGGAGTGAATAATAAGTTTGGGCAGTTCTTGTTGCAAGTTAATTAGTCTTTACTAGGGTTTAATAGTTTTATTCGACATGAAGTGAAAGAAAAGTCTGTTACATGATTCCAGATCGAGCCAATATTAGAGTTCTTGTTAGGGTTAGAAAATATGGCAACTCTATATTTCTTAGAATTATCGTGTTTCTTGAACAGAATTTGTAAATTACACAAGATGAATTCCCAAATCCTTCGGCCTCGATCACTGAATTGTTAAATAAAGTTAATCGATTGGATCGTGATACTCTTTTGTAGAAAATAATTCATCATGGTTTACTTATTACGTAATAACTAACCTTTCGTTTCTACTCTTTTGCATACACAGCAAAGAAGAGTTGTCAGAAACAAGCTCTCTCTGTAACTCTCTCAGTCTTTGCTTTTATACATATACCCGTGGATTTCTTATTCTTATATACAACTGTAAAGGTTAAATTATTTTCAAAGCATATTGCATGGCACTTTGGTACAAAGAAAACAATAAAAGCTCTGTTGGGTAGCACTGCTACGTGATGTTAGAACTATTTCTCCGCCAAGCTCGCATGATTCAATCTCGTATTCAATATCATTTATTATATTTTAAATCCAATAGAATACCAGTTGAATGTCATTTAGACTTTATAGTCGATACCATTGCGTCTATATAATTTGATACATGTCCTCGTAGAGCAGTGCAGTCCAAACTAGTGCCCACTTTTGGCCAAGCGACAATTTTCAGTGGCCAACGAGTAGACTTAAATAATTTTCAAATAATGATTCTTTTTTTTTTAAATGTTAACCGAAGCGATTTCATCTACACAATAACAACAACAGTATTTAACTGTATTGTTTGCAGAAAAATCACATTCGAAATTTGATGACATAAAGTTCTTCAAAAGCATAAACTGTCTAAGCTGTTGAATCGGTTTTGTGATCTGTTTGATGAAATCGTACTATTCCTCATGGAACAACACTTGGATGTAGAAGTCAGTGAAATATTGGCACACATATGGAAAGAAAAACTGTACTTTTTGACCGATATTAGGAAACATCTGAACGAGTTGAATTTGAGGCTAGAAGGAAAGAATAAATTCATATTCAGATATTCAAGAATACAAGTTGAAATTGATTGATGTTTTAACTTTCTTCCCCGTGTTAGACACAAATCAATATGATGAAGAATTTGAGATACGAACATTTACACTCAATATATTGATATTTCGATTAACGCGTTCGATTCACTATTTGAAAATTTCCAAAACTTTCAGTTGGCGTTCAAATTTCTCAAAAACCCTTTCGTTTGTGACCAAAATAACATTCCAAAATTGTCAGATATATTTTGGAAACAAGAAAAACTTATTTGGAATTCGATATTTCGTTGATAAGTGAATAAAGTGGCTTGCCAAATGAAACGGGCGATGCATTGTGGGGACGTTTGTTATCTGAATGTAATTTCCTGGCACTCAAAGACATTATACCAAAGTTTTTATGCTTATTTGGTCAACATACGTTCGTGAAGCATCACCCTCAAGTCTTGCGCGACGTAAAAATAAATACCGTAATGCAATTTGGAATCCGAATTTCGTTTCGAACTAATCCAATCAAAGCCAGACTTTGCTAAAATGACAGAAAACAAAGAATATCATCCGTCGCATTAATCCTAAATAAATAAACCATCATTATTTCGGTTAATTTTAACTCATAGAAAATAGAAAAATGTCATACGTCGCATTACCATTTGAAACTAAATGCAGAAACGGAATTTCGACTTGATTTCAATACTTTTCTTAGGCTTTGGAAAAAGTGGTTATTGAATAGATCTGTTGGCCACTTCTGTGGCCACGGCAAAAAAAAGGTTGGACAGTACTATCGTAGAGCATGCAACAGGTCTACAACGTTTGGTTTCAGAACTATAAATACTTTGTGTGGCCCTTGATTGCTCGTTGAAGCTTCGACAAAATACGATATTTGATCATTCGTCATTTTACATTAGGCATTTGTCCCCGATTCCTTCGAATCATCCGAGATTTTACCTTGAACATCACTGCCGTGTTCTAAAAATACAGTTCCAAGCAGGCATTCCCAATTTGTGTTTTGGCTTGGCCAGTTTATTTGAGACTACTTCACGCTGGAATATTAATGAATGTTCATTTAAGTTATCATTGATATTATACGTAATTTAGTATATTATTTAACAAGTAAATACATGATTATTGTCAATCAAATTTATAATAAATATATTTTTTGCGTTCTTTTTGGATGCCAGCAGTAATGAATTTTTTTTTTTATTTAAATTAAATGAAATGTTATTTTTCAGCATACATACAGCGTTGTCTTTTTTTGTATTTATATTTAACATAAAAAGGATTAAAAAATTTAAAACATCGGTATTACACTACATATTAAATGTAAGTACAATGCGTGCGGCTATTTGTAAGTCTGGACCGCTTTTGATCAACAACCAAAAGTTATAGAAAATGAATTTTCGTAATTGTGATCGCCCCTCCGAGTGCATTTCTGACATGAAACAGCAGCTTCATATAAAAATCCATCGGCCGAAGGCGGCTTAGAATTAACAGTTTTGGAAAAAAAAGACGCATACCACAAATTGTACCGAATCGAAACCGAAAATCAGTTACCTAAGTGGTTGCAAAGCGCCAATTATATATATATATATTATATACGTAACCTACACATATATAAATAAAAAATACCTAAATTATTATTTTTTGTTATTGTTTCACATAGGGCTCATGTAGCGGAGAACAGTGATTGGAAACAGGGACAATTCAATGAAAATAATTCTTCCACTTTCGATCTTCACAGCCCTACCACTAAGGATCGGTTACAACGTTTGGGTTATACAACTGGGTATGGAACAATTAATGTAAGTTGTAAACCATACATTTATTATTCCCTTTCTTACCTTTACTTTACATAGAACAACTGAAATAGGATTTGACATATTAATTATTTTTATACATACATACATGCAAAACATGTACAGTATAAATACGAGTATATAGTAAAAATATAGCTTCAGGAGACAGTTTAGGGGAACCCAATGCCATAAGAGGCATCTGACGCTTCGCAGACGCCAATCGCATACCGCTCAAGGGAGTCGGAGATGGGAAGACGCAAACATACCAGATATTCATAGACATAATTTACCGTGCGACCAACATCCAAGAGTTACAGAAAACTAATTTAAATAATAAATTAAGTTAATTTTTCAAATTGCAATCGACCCTCGGCTGGGAATGTCCACCCCTCTCAGTGTATTTCGGACATGAAATAAAGTCTCCTCGTTAGGGCCGCCGAGAGAAAATCGGGTCCCGAGGATAATTCAAATGCGGGCCACCAACACCTTAATTTCATGATGTCTATTTGTACTTACACTGCAAATCAACGAGTTGGGGATTAAGATAGAATAGAACTTGAATAAAAATGAAAATGAATAAGTAATCTGGAACAATTTTTATTTAAACAATTTTATTACCTTAGTTTGCATCACAATAGTATTTTAATAGGTAGCAACCCTCAAAAATATGCCTTCCTTGCCTTAGCTGATGCAAATTCCTCAATGATAATACCGAAGTCAAGTTTTCTAGCTAATTGAGATTCCAAACATAACGTTGCCAGTCCGAGTCTCAGGATTGGCTTGAACAAGAACGATGATAGTTCTTTATTTTTGAAAGTACGCTAAATGATCGCTCGGCGCTAGCAACTGAGACTGGCAACGTGCAAAATATCCGCAGAGCAATGCAGATGTTTGGAAATAGTGTATCTAAATTTTTGGTGGTGATAGCATTCAACAAATCGAATAGAGACAAATGAGTTGTACTACTCTCAGCAAAATTAGCCTGATAAACGTTTTTAAGTGAATGATTTCGCACGATATTTCGATTGACACATCAGCAGCAAATTATTCTAAATACGACAATGAAAACACCGGGCCCCCTCTCTCGTTGGGCCTGCTCCTCGTAAAAACCCTCAGCCGTTCGGAGGCGGCTTAGTATAAACTGTAGGTCCCTCCATTTGTTGGAAAAACATCAAGACGCAAAACCACAAATTGGAGGAGGAGCTCGGCAAATCGCTTCAGCGGCTACAAAGCGCCAATTAAATATATATATAACGCCACAGCAAATGTAGGTTGACCCAATATTAACTCATAATTTCAATTATACAGGTAACACAGCTTTTAGACTTTAGATTGTGATTTTTTAATTAATCATAAAATACATATAATATAAATCTTGTGATAATTTGGCACACCCCTTATAATATTAGGTGTAGTCGAAAGAAACACATAGAACTTCGTCAGGCCACTTAAATATTATTTTCAATAGCTTGCCATTAGAACTAGAACCAAAATAAGATCTGGTGATGACTTCTAAAATACTGAAGCAATTTTCAGCTGAGCTACTCCCCTTAAGTTAAGTAGGTGTGTCCAGCGCACTGCAGCCGGCGTACTTAGGCCTTTTGGTATTTTACTACTACCAGTCCTATCTCTTTTTTTATTTGGAAAGTCTGTTAAATATTTAATGCTCGCTATGGTTAGTTCAGAGATGCAGTCCAAAGTTCAACTGAAAAGCATTCCACTATTTTAACGTGAGTTCCCATTAAGTAGTGTCTTGTTATCATTCCATACTGATTTATACCATATATTTTGCTCTAAATAGAAGCCTGTTCTTAAGATGTTGTCAAAGTTGTTGCTTCCGCGATGAGCGACTTAAAAAGTTTGCTTTTCGTTTGTCGAGAGATGACTTTATTTTTCAATTGCCTACTCAGTCCAAAGTAACATATGCTGAAAAAAAAATTCCGCGCTAAGCTTCCAGGACGACATTGTGTTGGTTTTATAACTGGTTCCAAGATAAACGAAGGTATCTATGACTGACAGCAGTAACGTGTGAACTAAGTAGAGAATACGATGATTGTTTATTTGATAACAGGAGATATTTCGTATTATCCTCATTGACTACTAGGCCTATATACTTCGCTCCTTATTCAGTCTGGAGAAGCAGAACCCACGGCGCGGTTGTTGAGGTCAATAATGTAGATATCAGCGGCGCACGCAAGCAGTAGAACTCTTTTACAGAAGATTGTACCTTCTCTATACAGCTCTGCAGCTCCCATAATTTTCTCCAGCAATAAATTGAAGAGGTCACACGATAAGGAATCATCTTGTCTGAAGACTCGTTTGGTTTCAAATGTCTCGAAGAGATCCTGATCCTGACGGAGCTCTTGGTGTTGCTTAACATCAGTTTACATAGCCGTATAAGTTTTGCGGGGATGCCGAAATCAGACATATTTGATCAATAATTGATATACCAAGTCTAAAACCACACTGTTTTTCCAGCGGGTGATTGCTCTTCGAGCTTCTGGTGTTTCACTTTCACTGCGATTCAGTAGGCTGGAGAAGTATTCCCTCCATAAACACGGTGTGTACACTGGTCATCGGTTACTTTATCACTTCTTTGTGTGCTACAAGAGTCTGCTCCGGTATTTTTCTCATTATACCGTACTATACGCTCCGACGAAAGAGAAAGACGAGCGCCCGGAGCATACTCATGAACGTTGCCAGTACCGGAAGGTGTAGTCTTTCTCTCACCACGAATCTGATACCAATTGGGCTCCTTTATATGGCTGTTGCAGTAAATGTCACAAGGGCCTTCTCGCTTCCGTTCTTATCCCGTCCATCGCACTTCTTGGAAGGCTGTGATGTCAGCCCCTATTCTTACGAGGGCATCAACCAGCTGGGCAGCGGCATTTTCCCAATTAAGAGACCGTGCATTCCAGGTACATGCCCTCAAATCATGATCATTAATCGTTTGCGGGGATCACCTTAAAAAATGGGGTGTCTAATCCGAGCAAGCCGGAGTGGCTCCACTCTGTTTAACCGCGACTCAAGGCTCTACACGGGTTGGCTACCGCATCTTGCACAAGGCTTGCTCACGTTTCCAGTGGGCCTACGTACTCTGATACTGAGAGCAGCAACTGACACGGCATAACTTCCAACCGTATAAATGGTATCTACTGGTCCAATAAGGGTGTTTCCAGAGGGACCCACCTTACTATTCACAAACAAGGCATGTCAGAAATATACTCGGAGAAGTTGACACATCCGACCGATATCGCCCGATTTGATACCGCAAGATCTTCTTTATGCGGGTAAATCTTTAACTCTGGAGCCGTTTTACATACAAATGGTTATTATTATATGCGAGGGAGACAATTGCTTACTTACTTCACCTAGTAATTATTTCATCATGATACAGACCTACAGACATACTTAATAATTTAATTATCAACATTTTCCATTCAATTCCTAGGGTTATCCGGGAAGTACAGGAATTTCTGCCTACAATCCTATTAAATTAGATCTAGGAGGAGTAGTTCTTGGAACATTGGTGGGAATCGGTGCAATTATAATTATTCCAAAGCTATTGAACGCTTTCCATGGAGGATACGCTGGTTATGGTCGAAGTGAAAATGAGAACGATTTATCATCCATTTCAAATTTTATGAGTAAAATTGACGATATACTTGGTCAAAATAACATTGATTCAACGAGTTGTATGCAACGAGCAGTTTGCAGCTATGTTCGCTCAACTGAATACAATATGAGGACTGGAGCGTCCGACCGAATGGATGAATACATTCACATGTTGTCAGAGTAAGTATATTTTTTTTTTTTTGCTATTCAAAAGTGGTTTATTTGTATTTTGAAACTTGATGACATACGAACGTCTAAACTTTAGCTGAATTAATTTCAGGAATAAAATATTTCAACGGATATAATCTTATTTTTCTGATTATTTAATTAGGGGACCTAAAATCGTGTAATTGAACAATTAACTTTTGAAATAAGTTTTTAACGGTCACTAGGTTTGACAACTTTCTGCGCACAATATAGGTACATAATTTTTATCTTGTTGTTATAAAGTACATTGTTGATAACTTGCCAGAGTCAAATGTGATTTAATATATTTACGGTTTTCTTGACTGCCATGGCAATGCACATTTTTAATATATATAAAATGGGTGTGAAGACCAACCTTAATTAATCGATTCAAGCTGTTCCGACTGACCAAAAATGGATTTTTGCAATTGCAAATAAGAATTTTCCGCTTCGAAACACCAATTCAAATGATAAGAAGATTTGAGGCCCCTGCGGGTTAGGTGCTCATGAATTTACCCGCTGTAAGGCATGCCTGTCGTAAGAGGCGACTAAAATCCAATAGCTCCCGCGACAGTCGGATCTTTATACCGGAACGACCCGGATTTTTATCCGGCCAAGGACAGTCACTTCCGCAGCATTCCCCAAAACTTACTTTTCGGAATATTTTTGCGGTTATAACAACAACAACAACAACATAAGAAGATTTGATTACAAGTTTCAAATGATGCATACAATGTGTGGATGATATACATATGGCAAACCACAAGCATGTCCATAGCACGTTAAGAATACCAGTAAACTCATTATTACACAGTCTCAGGCAGCCTTACCTACCCTTGAATTGTGGTCAATATGTATTTTATTAGCTTAAGCCTACGCCCGGCAACTCAAAACGTATGGTGAAATCCCAATATCCGGTACTTGTGCCAATTTCGAGGAATCTTGCTTTTGGCTCTGCAATGAAATCAATCTTTAACTCCAGATTTGTAAGTGATGTCTCCGTCCAGGATATATTACATCCAAAATTAAAATAAATAATTTAATTATTTGAATTAGGTAAAATAAATGGTGAATACGCCGGGAATGCCTTTTGTAATCCAAAGCGATTGTAACCATTTCATTTCAAGTAAACCCAAAGAAGTTCGACTGCGGCAGCCGAGTGGTTAACATTACATAGTGCCATTCGGACGGTCATGGTTCAAGTCCTGGTACGGCCAACTTCCAAAAAGTCATAGAAATTTAATTTAATGGGTATATGCATTAATTCGTGCGTTTTTTTTCGAAAATTAAGACTTTATTCTTCTTGCGTCTGGCATGCATCTGCGTCGAGCAATGTCTCCAATTCTTCGCCTTGAAATTTTTTTGGCTGTCCGTCGTCTAAGTCGAAATTGCCACCTTTAAACCGTGCAAACCAACACTTTATCTGGTACAAATTTCGACATTTTCAAATGAATGAAACAAATTGTTGTTCACGCTAAAACAAATGACATCTACTGAAAACGACGCGAAATGACAGTACTTTTGAAATTAATACAGCTACAGATGAACACGACGCGAAATAATACTATCATAGTAGAGCCCTCTCTTAGAAAACCGCACGAATTAATTAAAAAATTCTCTACTGCGGTCGCCCATCAGCAGGAAATCAACATTGGAGGATTGTTTCTGGAAGGAAATAAAGAGTCTTCATAAAAAACCATCAGTCGTTAGGAGGCGGCTTAGTGTAAAATGTAGGTGCCCCCATTTGTTGGGGAAACATCAAAAAATCGCTTCAGCGTTTACAAGGCGCCAATTATATATATATATATATATATAATTATATATATATGTATATAACCAAGTTCTTTAGATTATAGTTTATATAAAGCAACAAAAATATATAATACAACTCTAAATATGGAAGAACTTATCAATAACAGAGGTCTTAGTGTGGTCCAAAAGAATTATGAATGCAATAACTGGTGTTTTGCCGATTTAGATCTTTGAACTATATAATCGCTATTGTTACTACCATTTTCATGCGTATCTGCATAATATCTTCAGTACTGAAATCTTGAATGTCTGCAACTCTAAATAAAAGTCAAAGTAATGGACTTCAGAAAGTAGGCTATTGCTAGATCATAGCGCTAAAGAGTTTGTTTTTACCACAGAGATTCTTTCAAAAAATAATAATATGTTTTGACAAAGATTAAAAACATAATTTTTTCCTGTAAATTCCTCGATTTTATGTAGGAAAAAATTTCAAATTATTATTTCATTTGAATGAAGTTGCTAATTAAAAAGGCAGTAGATACAATTTTGTTCTGTACCTCAGCTTTTGCTGTTTTCGCCACGTAAAGAATTTATGTTTACAGGCCTATTCTCACTGTTGCCGGTGAAGTAAATTTTGTTACTTTTTTTTAATACCCGAAATTGAATTTGGTATTCTGGCGAACCGGTTACAATGTTTGAAAAAATTTGGCAGCACTGCTTTTTCCGTCCATGTCAAATTAAATTTGCCAGTTGATAAAGTAAAAAGAAAAATATTCACATCGAATTAGAATACGGTGCACAAAAAAATTAAGAAGTTTTAGTAATTTGTTTATTAAATCATAAATATTTGAACCTAATTATGGAAAATATGCTTGGATAACGAAAAAAGCTGATTGAAAACGTTATCTTACAAATTAAAGGGCTATTTTTTAGTCTCGAAAACTTCTTAAAATACGGCTCTTTGTGCTGCCTACCCATTTTGGTTTTTTATTTTTTCTCAAACTTACAACACAAAATCAAACAACAGATATTTTTGTTACCTCCTATTTCGCTGGTAACAACATTTACAGGATAACAGTAAGCTCAGAAAACGAAATGGTAACAAAATTTACTGAATGGTAAATTTTAATACCAAAAATTTTGTTACCTCGACAGAATGGGCCTGTTAGTGTAAAAAACCAGAGAGAACTGTGAAGTAAGAAGAGAAATATGAAGTACGATGTTCAATCATCAAATGAACAACCCTAATACCCTGCGTACACAGCACAGCCAGTTCTAATATAGAAACACACATCCATTATAAATATATATATAATACTATATATATAATACTATATACTATATATATACGAGAAAATATATAATATAAACGTTTTTCTTTCAGAAATGCTCTCGTTGATTATCTTTTGGATGGAACAGCTATAAAGGAGGCATTAGAAGTAGGAAAAAAAGTAAATGGAGACTCCTGTGAGAAGATATATACATCTTGTCAAATGGACAACAAAACCGCCACCAATGTCTTAATGAAACTATTGCCGAAGAAACCGATTTCAAAGCTGCAGTCGCAAACATCGAGGCCATCGCATTGATAACTGGATTTGTTGTTATTTATTATAAATAGGTATAAAAAAAAGCATGCATACGTACATACATGTATAGTGAATTTATGTGGAATTTAGAGAAAATTTAGGCTATTATCAGCAGGCATTTTATTCGGTTTTCAATAACGTGTGGCAGTGCACTCTAAAAACCATATACCCTTGAACCCTGGAACACAGATTTTCTTGTTGTCGTTTGATTCTATTTGTTTATTTTTTTCCACCATAAGTGCTTGTATTTGTATGTGTGAATCGTGAAATATTTAATACATTATGTGGGTGTTTTTTTTCTTTTCTAAATATAAACTATAAACAGTGTGTATATATTTTTTAGAGCACAATAACTTAATCTAAATAAAGGTTTTTGACTCATTTTATTTGTATTAGCTATTTATTGGTAAACAATTGGGAATTCTTTGAAAACAAGACAACATTTATAATTACAACGCATGATTCAATTATGAAAGAGTTTGTATTAAAATTGTCCCTTTTACATTAATGACTGTTATTCATCTGTCATGTTTTGTGATTTAGATTGTTTACAGCTTTCTAGTTATGTAATTTTTTTTGTTTTTTTAAAGAAGAGTCCATAAGAAATTCGTGTAGGTACACACAATATATGTATATAGTTTAAGAGAGCTTCTGTTGGAAAATTATAAAAGACAAACATTTTGAATCACTCATTTCTGAAAGTAAAATGTAAAAAATTTCTCTTCTCATTTCCTGCTACTTCCCAGTTCTTTACTGGTCAATATACTCACCAAAGCGTTTTATATGTATGTGTTGTTTGTCATAGATTTGGAGCTAAAGCTGTAAATAATCAAAAATGCTAGAGCTTTACACCGGCTACAATTCCATTAACTCCAGATTTGAGGCATAAAATCGGCAAGGGGTGATTTATAAAACTTTTGTCAATTATAGGATGAGTAATTTGATAAGGCCACGGTAGCCGAGTGGTTAGCATTGCGTACTCACATTCGGAAGGCTTAGGTTCATATCAAAGTTATGGAAAACTAACTTAAATACAAAATTAAGCCTTCCGAGTCTATTTCTGGCATGAAATAAGGACTCCTCATAAAAAAATCAGCCGTTCGGAGGCGGTATAGTATAAACTGTAGGTCCCTCCATTTGTTGGGAAAACATCAAGACACAAAACCACAAATCGGAGGATGAGCTCGGTCAAAAACTAGCATCAGCGGTTGCAAAGCGCCAATTATATATATATTTATAAGAACTTAGGTATTCTTTCCGCTGGTTAAAATATTTTATATTTTTACTGCTTAATATCAATAATGAAAAATATAAATTTGTTTTCATAAAATTTTATTTCAAATAAAAAATGATATCTTTAGTGTTAAAATGGTTTATTTTAACAGGCCTATCTCACCGTTACCGGTAAAGTAAATTTTGTCACTTTTCTTTAACACCCGAAATTGAATTTGGTATTCTGGCGAACTGGTTACAATGTTTGAAAAAAATTTGGCATCACTGCTTTTTTCGTCCATGTCAAATTACATTTTCCATTTGATAAAGTAAAAAGAAAAATATTCACATCGAAACGGAAGACGAAGCACAAAAGAATTAAAAAGCTTTATTAATTTGTTTATTAAATCATAAATATTTGAACCTAATTACAAATTAAAGAGCTATTTTTTAGTCTCGAAAACTTCTTAAAATACGATTTTTTGCAATTTTTTCTTCATCTTCAATGAATTCCAAGCCTAAAATATGCCAACCCATTTTGGTTTTTTATTTTTTCTCAAACTTACAACACAAAATCAAACAGCAGATATATTTGGGTGACAGTGAGCTCAGAATACGAAATGGTAACAAAATTTACTGAATGGTAAATTTTAATACCTAGGTAAAATTTGTTACCCTGACAGAATAGGCCTGTAACTCGCTGACAATGCCATAAAAATCAGTCATCGCGATGATATCCGTTCCCTTCTTTGCAAGGTTGCCAGTACACTTAAAAATTAGCGTTACTGATAATTATTTGCGGTTTCAACCTTGAGTTAATTACATTACGATAAGAAGGCCTGGAACACAACCAAATAATTTCGTTGAAATTGTTAAATAATAATAGTAAATTAAATATCTAAAAAGTATAGGCACAATCAAGGGATACAAAAATCGTCACCCAAATGCATGTAACAAATCTGCATAATCATTCGATTACTTTGGCACCTTCTTAAGAGCAATTCTGAACCAGCAGTCCATTCCTAAATAAAAGGTCAATTTATAAACATTTAAATATTATTATTTTTAAAGAATTTATTACTAAGTTTTAATAATCGCTATTAATATCTCGGGATATTATTTTTAAATAATAAAGGCATACGAAACGGTATTAGCAAGAATACTTGAGCACTTCTTTGAAACAAGACCCTTTTTCTTTTTTTTTTTTGGTAGAAATTTGCTGGGTTTGTTATATTTTTGGTTTTCAGTGAGGCAAAACTGTTTCGGAGTTAGTCTTTTTGACAGCTGTCACTTAATTCATACTCGGTTAAGTTTGCCATTTCTTAATGAACGGAACAACGTTTGCAATCGCGTGCAAGTTGTGCATAACTTGGAACCGGAATCAAGCGCATCACACGTTCGGAGGATAGTCCCAAATCACAAGAAAATCTTGTTCAGCGATGATGCTCACTTCCGTTTGAATGGGTGCGTTAATAAACAAAATTTTTGGAGTGATGATAATTCATAAGACATTATGCGTCGGCGATCTGTGGAGTGGTCCCCAATAACGTGCGTTTTAACATCGCGGGATTACATTTTATATTGAATTATGTGAAGTCGCTTGTCTACGCAGATAAGCTGTCTCCTTGAGAGAAAACATTCGACGCGATATTGCTGATAAACGGCACCGATTTCTCCGAAAAATGATTGAAATTTGGACCTCTCGGCTAGAATTTATTCAAACCAGTCATGACAGCCACAAAGTAACAAACACTTATCTGTGTAATAAAGTTAAATTCTTTGTCATATTAAATTATATGAGTTTAACTTCATTTTGAAAACCACATAAAAAAAATAATCTTTTAAAATCTATATCTGGTTAACTTGGCTTCGGCCAATGTTTGGTTTGCGCTAAAATGAATATAAATGATGTCATAGGCGTAGTTTAGTTTTGACAAATCTTATATATATTTAAATTTCATTTAGAATAAATATTACCGATTTTAACTGAAAAAGAAATTGTAACAGTATTTAATTAATATTTTTTTTCAAAATAAATCCCTTCGCGACATACCGCCATACCATATACATGGCAAATAAACTAACTACTTATGTGCCTCCATTAAAGTGAACCAAAAAAAATAAAAATTAGGCATAAAATTGCAGTAGCAGGTAGTAGCTGTAACCAGAATGTCTTTTCATAAAAGAAACTGTCTCTAATTAGGTGAACTGGGCTGTATATACGTGTACACTCCAACCTGTAATGCTTTGGACATTGAATTTTAATATTTTCTTTATATACATACATAGATATATTATGTGGGCATATATATGTATGTATATAATTACATATGTAATTTATCTTCAAGGTATGTATGTGTGTATTCTATATACTATGTTAATAGTCTGCAAACAACACAAACCATATACATATGTATATGTACGAGTACATACATACGCACATATGTAAGTAAATGCAATAAAAACAATCATACTCGCCATGAAATGTCTGAATGTGTTGGTGTTTCCAAAAATAATTTAGCACCGAGAGAGAATCATAGAATTTTTTTGCAGTCAAAATTTTCTGAAAAGTTTTCAAAATTATGTACTGTAGATATTGCAGAAATCAGAAGAACTCGAGCGGGCGCTAAGTGAACATACACGACACCGAAACGAAACGAAAGAGAAATTCTGCTCTGGAAATACATTTTTAGAGGATATTTTATACATTTTTATTAAGACAAATTCAAGTACTAAATTAAATTAAATTAAACGAACAAAAATGGTGTACGAAAGTGGATTTACTACCCGCAGGACCTATACAAGCAGGCCTGTTGTTACTTCGTATGCCGTATCGGTAAGCCTTAAAATTAAATAAATTTTTTATTAACTGCCCACTCAATAATAATATGGAATAGTGGGAGTTGCTATGCACAGCCAATTTGAATAGTAACCTTTAATGTAATCCTTAAATGCTTTTATTATCTTTATTAAAGTGTACTGTCGTTTTGAAATATGTGTTACAAATATTTGTTCAATTTTACGAACAATTGCAAAAGAGATATCGATAATGGTATTGGAATATTGTGTGAGTGACGTGTGCAAATTCATCATCAGCTTTCTATATTTAAAAAGTGAAGGTTAAAAAAATATATATGCACATATGTATATATATATTAGATGTATTTTATACATATGTATATATGTATGTCGTAAAAGTGCAAATATTTGGTGCCACATTTTTCATTCCGCCAGCGATATGAAATATGTGATCATAGTGTCCATTATACTTGCTGTTTTTCTTTTTTTTTTGGTTTTCTTCTTTTGACAAATTACCCTCTAATACAAATTAATAACCTGAACCCTGAAATAATTAAATGTGCTGAAATAGATTCGTTTGCTAGCAATGGAATAAGGGGAGAATTGAAACAAGTTTGAAATGGTTTTTTTTTTGTTTTTTTTATTACGGTAATATTTTTTTAATAAATAGGCATATTTAAAGACTGAGTTATATAACAACAACAAATACACAAATTACAGTTAATATATAAAACATTAGCAATGTCTGAAGTAAACCAAATAATGATTTATGAATATCGCATAGTATATTACAAAAAAAAAAAAATAACAATATGTAAACCAAATACCCAAGTTTAACTATACTTTTTAACAAACAAAACTATTTTAAGTTCATGTTAAGTGTAACGTACAGAAACGGCGTTTCATACTCCTTTTTGGATGAACCAATGGAGAAAATATTTAAAGAAGTGGCGAAATGTGTGATTTTGTTGAGTTTCGTGCATGAAAATATGAGTTGAGTGTTGACTGCTGCTTAATATTACTAACCGTAAATCATTGCGCTAATGAAAATTGCACACTAAAATGTGGTACATTTTAAAAAAATACATAATATATAATAATATTTAAGTTGCATATGCAAGTATGTATATAAAGTTATATTTTAAGGCTCGTAAACACGCATAAGGTTTTTGTTCATATAAATTTTGTTTTTATTTTGTGAAGATAGTATTGAAATTGGATTATGAAATGAAGTGGCATTCCAGTGATTTTTTGTTAATTACATTTTACACAACCACTTATGTTTATATTATATATGTATATAAGTGGGCAAATCCTTGGATGCCATTATATACATATATACTAATGTAAAAATAATATATATATTGTATATATATATATATATATATATATATCTACATTCATAAACATGTCTTCGCTTACATCTTGCTGGCAATTTCTGCAATATTTTCACGCATATAAATAAAAATAAAAATATTTATATATGTAAGTGTAAATATGTGCATATGAGTGTACATTTTTATATGATATTTGCCAAGCACATTTGTATTCATATATAAAATATTTATGTATATAGTTGCAAATAGAGCTTTCTAATAACAAAATACATATGTACATATACTGTTACCTTGCATACATATACATATATATTATATGTATAACAATTATTTTGTAGAAATCAGTAAACAAAATAATTGCTACCGAAATTACGATTTTTTTGTTTAAAAATGGATATTTTTGATTCACAAGAGATACAGTGTAAATACCATTGCGTTGTTGTTGTCTTAACCGTCACAATAAATTGAAATATATTCATTAAAACAAGTCTATATTCACAAGCGTTTATTCACCCTGTATAAAAAGCTATGTACATATATAATATATATATATATATATATATAGACATTTTTGCAGCAATTGGACAAAAAAAAAACATGTTAACATATTTATTTGCGTGTTTCTGTAGAAAAAATAATTCATCTTAACATCTCAAATTATTGTAAATAATTTACCGGAATGTTTAGGTACTGAAAAACAAACTCAGTACAATGGCTATTTGCTGGACGCGAGACAAGACCGCTTTAGAATAAATATGCGCGCGCAGATAATTTTACAATTTAAAAATATCCTAATATTTCCATAGAAATTTAAGCAAACAGCTAACAGAGAGCGCATGAAAAAAGCAATGAAAACAAAAATTGTTTACGTGAAAAGCAAAAATATTTCTGCATACATACCATTATGTATGTACGTGTATGTACATATGTGCTATCGCACAGCCATATACAAAAGTGTACAAGTAGCGAATATGTTTTAATTCAAATTGAACTTATGTTAACAAAAAAAAAAACAATTAGAAATAAACGGAAATACATACATACATATGTATGTGCACAAGGTTAACAAGATTTTTAGTTCCAATATATGTGTATGTACATACTCGTATGCATGTAGATATGAATTGTAATTGAAAAGAAAAAAAATTCTGTGGTTTCTGGCACTAAAAGGTGTTGATACTTGGTGTGAAAACAGCTCTCTAAATCGTTATTTGTGTCAAAAGTTATTTTTACTTTAAAATTAGTAAATGAATAATAATGAATGCTTTTTTACTATAAAAATTTACGGAGACGGATTGAGAAGTTTTGATGCCCCAAGCTACAGCCCGGTCGTTGCACCAACTGGTCTCTTCAATTTGATGCTTCATATTGGCCTTCCGAAGAGCCACAGAAGTTTTGAACCTGCAGCTACCCGAAAATTGACAAAAGTTCATAAGTTATAATGGTTAATATGCACTTGGTTAAAATTATTTATGGCTACGAAAGTACCATAATCCAATACTTTTACTATGTACGCGTATATTGCAGCTGCATTTGGAAGCTCTTACATGAAAATTGGATCTGATTCGCTGGGCTTACATTGGAAATATTTAGTTCATTTACAAACCTATTCTCACTGTTACCGGTAAAGTAAATTTTGTTACTTTTTTTTTAATACCCGAAATTGAATTTGGTATTCTGGCGAGCTGGTTACAATGTTTGAAAAAATTTGGCAGCACTGATAAAGTGTTGATAAAGTAAAAAGAAAAATATTCACATCGAAATGGAAGACGGTGCCCAAATAAATTAAAAAGTTTTATTAATTTGTTTATTAAATCATAAATATTTGAACCTAATTACAAATTAAAGAGCTATTTTTTTAGTCTCGAAAACTTCTTATACAACGATTTTTTGCACTTTTTCTTCATCTTTAATGAATTCCAGGCCTAAAATATGCCTACCCATTTTGGTTTTTTTATTTTTTCTCAAACTTACAACACAAAATCAAACAGCAGATATATTTGTTACCTCCTATTTCGGTGGTAACAAAATTAACAGGGTAACAGTGAGCTCAGAATACGAAATGGTAACAAATTTTACTGAATGGTAAATTTTAATACCTAGGTAAATTTTGTTACCTCGACAGAATAGGCCTGTTTTTAGTATGACCACTTTTTTTACTGCGGCCGTATAATGGGAATTGCCCATAACCTATAAGTAGATCATCGAGTTATGCTCTTTTTATGGTGTCATTTTTATTTTTTACTATCTGTTATTCTGTCCGTGATAGAGCCCGTTCCAGAAATTTTTTTTAATAGCTACAAATACGATACAAAAATTTAGTTGTGACCTTTTTATGAGGGTAAACAAGTTGTTACCATGAGGTCATTTAAAATTTAAAAATAATTTTCAATTGAATTTTTTCAGTTGCATTTAGCGAACAAAATCGGACTCCGTTAATTGCTTTGAAACTTGAAAACTTGAAAACTAAGAAAGCCTGATTGCAGTATTAGTGGCGTGAAAGCGACCGTTACGCAGCTTTTTGAAATAACGAGAACTGGTTCAAAAACAAGTTCAAAAAATAGACTTACTATTTTCACTTATTTATTATTGCAAAGCTTTTTTCACTGAAGTCAAAGTTACAGCTTTTCAAAATAGGAGGTTTTTTTTTCTTAACCGCAACAGCGATTTAATGTAAATTTTCGACGAGTTCTTTTTTAGGAATCTTCAATGATAATTTCCCACTACCAGTACAATTTGTCAACTCAGTATGCAAAAGCAAAAAGCTGCAATTCATATTTTGCCTTCGCCGTTAACGCTAATTGGCGCAAACAATTCCAGGCTTTATTATGTGCTTATGTATATATATGTATGTATGAACAACACATATTTTTCTGCTAAAAAAATTTTTAATTTTCATTTTAAACTGACACGTAATGCACAGTTCACACTAGTGCGTGCTGATTTGTTTACACTATAAGGAGCTCAATGTAAAGTTTTTGGTATTTACACGAATGACATATTCACATTACCGAGTGTTCACACTACTCCGATTGCATTGTACGAGTATAGGATCATTTTTTGGAATGGTGCAACCATTTTGGAGGTAAACGCATTTGCTGTAAAGATATTCAGTTTCGTCTGTTGGATTATTTGCCAAGCTGACCGATATTTCCAATCTGAACTTCATTTGAAGTATCTTCGGTAAGAACATATCAATCATAGCAAAAATATGTCCCCAATTTGCACTTCTGAAATGTTCCTAAAAATCAGATAATGTGAAATACCTTGCCACGATTGATATTCATGATCAAATAATGCCTTTCTGATCGTAGAAAAACTGGCTTTGACTTCTCAGTTTTACTTTTCTGTATTTTTTCTCGGTAGCAAACGCCTTTCCTGGAAGCATTCAAACTCAATAATTTTTTTATTTTTTATAAAAGTTCTATGACATAACTGTCATAATCCCCAGCTTGATAGTAAAAACAATATCTTTTTTTACTGAATATTTTTTAAGAATATTTTTGCTAGTTAAAGACTTTTCGTAAGCAGCAGCTAGCGCCATCAGAATGTGCTGCATTTTTGCAGGTTGAACTTTCCATTTCAAATCATAAAATTGTTTATATTGTAGCAAGGCTGAACTGAATAAAGTTTCTTTGCAAATATTTTAATAATTTGTACAGGTCCTACTTGGTATTCCTGACGCTTCGGTTCAAATGCT